GATAACTATAAAGATAACGATATTAGCATCCACACCAGCGAACGATATCATCAAGTGCATGCGCGTCTGTCGCTTTAAATTCTCGAGCTCATTACAGCAGGATTGATTCTGATTGGCTGTCAATGTTTTTATCGTTCATCAGCTGGAAAGAAATCGTTCTGAAAGTGATTCCAACGATATCGTTTCTCTGTGCCTTTGTTGTTATAGTTGTGGTGTGGACTCTGCTATTCTTTAATATTGAGAACGATTTTTAGAACTATATCTTTATCGTTATCTTTAAAGTTATCGTCCTTGGTGTGAACGGGCCTTTACTCAATTTCCTTTTTATTGAAGAAAATGAAAGTATAATTAATGTAATTTGTTTTTAAAGATTTAATTAACTATAAAACTTGTGCAGTTATGCTAATTCAGAAGGGAAACTTTGTTGTCAGTTCAACAAGCCAAAAGTAAACATCTCAATTGCATTGTCTGCAAATTTGCAACAAACAAATGTACAGAGGTCCTATTTTTTATTAGTGGCCTACAGAACATTCTCAAAACAAACAAAGAGGACAGTTAAAAAGGGCTTATTCAAAGAAAAATAAATAAATAAAAATAGTAATTTCAAATAAAATAACCGGGTATCTGCAGGATCTGCACACTTGTTCAAATGAACCACATTAATGGAGCAATTGCAACAGAGTTTGAATCAAAAGTGTGAACACACCTTTAGATCAGTTTGGCTCATCGGCGCATCATGAGAGAAAGCTTTACATATAAGTGTTGTTTGTCAGGCCCGGAGTTTCCTGAACCCAGAGGATGTCCTGAAGGGTGATGTACTGGAGAGCCTGTCCCGAGTGCAGATGGCTATAGATGGGCTGACACACTTCAAGAGCACATATGAGAACAGAAGGGCCAATCTGAGTCAGTACCAGAGGAACCAGAATGAGGTGAAGCCTTGGGATTTCTCACCCCTCCTGGTTTTTGTCGGGCTGGATCACTTCATGAAGAGACTCAGAACAATTGAAGTAAGTGGAGAGACGTACTCACACATGTTCACGTAAGTGTGTGTTTAGGCCATATATGGAATTATTTTAAGCGTCTGTAGTGCAAAATGTGTTATCAGTGTTGTCTGGTTCTTTTTCATTGTCATCATCTAGACTCTCCTGCTGACTGTAGTTGATATGATGAAGTTGGAGAAGGTCGAGTTTGGAGGGATTCTAGGAAAATCTCTTAGCCAGCGAGTCCAGTTCTTACATGAAGACTTCTTGGAGACATATAAAACATTCTCAGAGAAGCCGTATGACTGCCTTGATGTTAGTAATGTGGTAAGTGGGCAGCATCTCCTACAAAACGCAACACAAACACTGAAGGTTGAAGTAGCTATAACAAACAATGCTTCTTTGTAGGAGTTTGAAGCAGATTTTATGGAGTTTCAGCTCAAGGTGGAGAATACCGAGCGGCAGTTGAGTACAATCTTTTGTCATGCTTTTGATGATGCTGCTGGTCTGGAGCATGCTTTCAAGGTGAGCAAAACTTTCTGAAAATGGGACGATAAAATAATGTCTGAAAGCCTTTTTTGGTGGGGAGCTGCACACATGCTCCTGGTCTTAGTAATAACTAAGAGTTTGGACATTATGCATAGACAGTTTCAGTGCTTTTTTCTGTCTTTAATGAGTTATAGATACCTGCATATTATCAAGTCCCAATCAGGAACGCAGCCTGAATTTTGAGACTGGAATGCACACAAATCTCCACAGACTCCAGATCTTTAACAGAGCTCAGTTTGAACCCTGCAGGAGAAGAAAACACACTTTAGGCTCTTTGTGTATTTTTGAGTTGTAGTAATTTGAACTTGCAATGAACAGAATATTCCACCCTGGAACATATTTTCATTTCTGCTATATTTGATTTTTGCAGTTGATAGTGCAGTGAACCATAATATTAAAAAGTATGTCTTTGAATGAAGTTGGTGGAAAGCATTTGTGTTTCTGAAATGCAATAAACACAACACAGTTTCAAAGAGTCTCTGCTTGGCAGGTTTTGGACATGTTTGGCAGACTGCTGGAGCGACCCCTGATAGCAGCCGATGCTCACACTAGATATCGGATGCTGATCAAAATGTTTGACAAGCAGCTGGAATGTTGCAAGTTGATCTTCAAGCAGCAGATGCAGACAGGAGAAACCCAAGGTTCAGTGTTCACAAGCAACATCACCCGGCTGTTTGTTATTAACTTGGGTTTTTGATTTGACATCTGCTGTTTATTGGTCTTCCAGGTTACTCTCCTGTCTCCAAGAACATGCCTGTGGTTGCCGGAGGTTTGAAATTTGTCCAGCAATTGAAGGAACGCATACAGATCCCTTACAATAACTTCAGATTCATCAACCACCCGTAAATATCTTATGCTTGGGAAGGCTCGTTTGGAACTGTTTCTGTGTTAAACAACCACTTTATTTGTGTGATAATAGATGTATGGAGTCTGCAGATGGAAAGGAGACGATCCAGAAATACGATGAGTTGATGCAGCTACTCAAAGGGTCAGTGAAAATATTATATAAAATGTATGTGTGCGGAGTTGGGATGCACGATATTATCGGACTGATATCGGAACCGACTGATAATGGCTTTAAATGTAAATATCGACATCGGCCTGATATGAAAAATTATACCGATATGTCTTGCCGATAAGAGGAATACATTAACTCACATGTGCTCAGGGTGTGCTAGTGATTAGATCACGTCAGCACTGTGGCTCATTCTTGAAGCAAAGTTTTGTCTGAATGATGATTATATTCACTGTTTTGGATCGCTGCATTTAAACTGAGAATGCATGTACAGAATGACGCGTTAGGTGTGTGACAGAGTAAACAGTAATAGCAGGTGCAGCGGCAGCCTCCCCCGGGTCCTAACGCCCGTTCGGTAAGGAGTTTTAATCTGTAGGGGGGCGCTGTTGGCCTACTTCTAATTAAATTAAAAGTAAAATAACCTACACAAATAACATTTAGACTGTGTTTCTGATTAAATAAAGCAGTAATTGATGTCATAAAATAATAAATATGTTTTGATGTAAAGGTCAGAAGCTATAGCTTACATGGGGAAAAAAATCACAAACATGACACTTGTAAATTAAATAATTTTATATATACTGATTTATTAATTAATGTGCAATATGTTTTATTTTTTTATTTTTTAAGCTCTAAAAGATTTTCAGAATTTTTACAACTCTTTTGCTTTAGACCATCTACAGATGTTAAATCTTAAAATATATAGTTTATAGTTATTTTCAAAGCTTCAATGTACTGTCAAAAAAACCTTAATTATTGTTTATTTAATTCTAACAAATAAGTTCTTATTAAAAACTAACCAAAATGAAAAATATTTTGCTTATAATTTCTGCACAGGAGAGAGTTGTTTCCAAACAAAAGGAAATATATCGGTATCGACCAAAATGAGTTGAAATATATCGGATATCGGCAAAAATCCAATATCGTGCATCCCTAGTGCAGAGCTGGGTAGATTACTTACAAATTGTAATTTGTTACTGATTCCAAATTACATGACAAAAATTGTAGTTAGTAATGTAATCCATTACATTACATATTTTAGATTTAGATTACTTTTAGATTACTTTTGACCTAACTCGTTTATGCCATTGAGTTAAATAGGATGATCTTGTACCATATTGGAATACCATATTGTACCATATTAAGAATACAAAGAGTAAGAAAGTATATTCCATTTGTTATTAACAACATGAAGTGCTTTATACATTATATTACATCAAAGTTTCCCAAACTGGGTTTGTGGAGGAACTGCAGGGGATTTATGAGTTTAATAAAAAGCAAATAATTAATTAAATCATACAATTTTAAATAAAATAAATAATTTTAAATCAATCAATCAATCAAAAAAAAAAACTACTAAGAAAATTAAATTGTTATATTTGTTTACTTGCATGTCATGTGACCATAACCGATGTCAGACAACCGTGAAGTGAACATGCAAATGTGTTACTTAATTATTTAAAAAAAAAAATTTTAAATCTCAGGTGTACTTGAAGTAAATATATTCGGTGAAAGAGGATAAGATGACAAAAATGTGTAAACTCCTGACTAATGTTTGGGCTTTGTGTGAATGTCCACAAAACTGGAGGACTTTCTGAGTGTACGTAAGCGGTAGGCTATTTTAGAAAGGAAAAATTAAAAGATGAAAAAGAAGAATTAGGGAGAATCGCACTGTTTTTGTGTTTGTCTCTTTAAATGCAAATGAGCTGGTGCTCCCGGCCCCCTTTTCAGAAGAGGGCGGAGCTTCAAGAGCTCATGCTCAGGCATTTGCAAATAAACATTCCACTATTAGTACAAGCCTGCTATCTTTACAGAAAACGTACTTGATTTAAAAGTCGGTCATCTGATTGTACTGTAATGATGGGAGAAACAAACCATACGCTGGTGACGCCTGCTGGTCAAAACTGTGTAAACGCAACAAAACTCTTGCCAAATCGTGCAAAAAAACCCTCAAAAAACAAACAACAACAACAAAAAAACCCCGCTTTTTCAAACCCAATGCAAATGCTTTCTTGAAAGTACAATATATCAATCAAAATAATAAAAAATGCAATCAAAATAATAAAATACCTTTAAATATGAATTGTCTGTATAATATGTATAATATTTTTTAAATAATTATTATTAATTTGCAGGGCTTGTTTTGTTTGTTTTATGGAGAGCTTGTCTAAACAGGCCAGTAAGAGACTATTAACTACTACTACTACTCATCCTTTTAATATTAAACACAAATGTCTCATTAAAAATGTCTACAAATTGATAAAACTGATCCGTGATCAGAGACACTGGTTCAATGGTTCGCCGCTGGGGGCGATCTCAATGAACTCGCATGGTAAGGTAAACTATTGACATTTTTAAACATTTCGAAACAGTTATGGCGTAACCAAGCCTCGTTTACTGAAATCACGTGACTTTGGCATTTTGATACGTGCTCCGAACCACTGTTTCGAAACAAATGATTTGCAAAAGTTTCGAAGCTTCATAAAGCAGTGTTTCAAAAGTGGCCATCACTATTGTACTGTGCTTAATAAACGTGCGTTTATGAAACAAATATGACTTCTATGTTCCCTGGTGCATCCCAAAACACAACACTTGTAATGCCTCTTTGGCGCTGACATTGTATATCTCCAGCAGCTACAGCAAGAAAACAGTAATGGTGGACTGCTGCTTCTCACTCAAGCACTGTGTCTTGTCATAAATAGGCGGGATTTCTTCCCTACAATGACATCATCGTAGGGAGAAATCTGGAATCGCGTATTCAGAGAGACGTGTTTATGATTTATTGGGATTATACCAATATTAAACCACGCCTTCTTTCTTTGCGTGCACATTTGGGCGACATTATGCAAATATTTCCACATAGTGAGGTAGATATGTGGAGGCGTGTTAGAACGAGCCGTTTTAGGGGGCGTGGACGAGTCTTAACTTTGATAAAGAATATCTCTTTGGTTTTGAGACTTTAGTCTTTGCAACTTCAGAGATCTTATCTATGCACAATCAGCTTGTAACACTCCAAAGAGAAAGGAAAACTTGAAATCGCATCATATGACCCCTTTAAATCCCTGTTATTAATCATGTTTATTTTGATTGTGTGTCTCAGCTGATAACTTTAATCCCAGATGAACCGTTTTTGCTTAGCCAATGTATAGACCGCTATGATCCACCTTTGTTAAAATAAATGAGGCTTTTTATTGAAAGACCTATATATTTTCTGCTGCAAGCATGAACAGTAAGGTGTAACGTGAAGATAGGGTGGTATTGCTGAGGGACCTTCAAGCTCAACTCATGGAATAAACAAATAAAACATGATTTATTTGCTCATTTAGACGCTAGTGTCTGTAGATTATTACTTCAGGGTCTCATTTTCTCCAATTACGTGCAATGCTTCCATATCACAGCTTGAACAATGGTTGTGTAAAGCGTTGCTGATGTAGGAATGCATGTTACATGTGACCAAGGACGTGATGCATGTGTGTGTTTCCCTTCATGTGAGATGAAACAAATAATGCATTTCCCAAGGAGCCAGATCTGCGTTCTCTCCAGTCAGAAATTAAGCCTCCTCGTTAGATTATGGTAATCAGCGATGTTGCGTAAACACAATCTAGCTGGAGCTGTTATTGGTATCTCTAGTCATTATTTCTTGACACTGAGATGTCTGAGTTGTGTGAAGCAAAGCGATATTTGATTTCATGGACTGCAGCTCTGCAACTCTAATAAGACAATCAAGGTCATACCAAATTCAATAAAGGCCAGAGTGTATGGCCTCTCACAATCGGCCTATAAAGAGATTACTGTAACAGTACAGGGACCCGATGCGCTTCTTGATGAATGCTGTACCAACAGTTAGAACCTTACACACATGTAACCCTACTTACATAAGCATGGTCTAAAACTGTGTGTATGTTTAAAATTGAGATTTGAATACTTAAGAGTTTGCCTGTTTAGAGCCTTGATGCATGTGGATGTTCACTAAAGAAGTGTTCACAATCCCTCAGCATGCCTGTCTTGTACTTCAAATCAATGTAGCTCAAAACATTTTCTGACCCCATATTTATTCTGTGAAAGCGAATAAAGATGTTTGAGAGAATGAAGGTGGATGGTGATTCATACTGTCAAGCTCCAACAAGCAAAAGTGTGCACTATAAAAGTGTTCCATCTGGCTTGTGCACTATATTACTTCTTCTGAACAGACTGAAATTCATGCAATCGTTTATCTTTCCATCTAATCCAGCTGGAAAATCTCCATTGCAATTGCATTTGATGCCAAAAAGGTATCTTTGTATGGAGTGCTCTTTTAAGAAGCTTCTTTATGTTGTGTTCATCTTGGCAGTTTGAAGCACTGCCCACATTTGACGTATGAAGAGCAGCCTTTCATTAAATTCCCTAATTTTAGCATACATCAAAAAATGACATGTTAGTAATTCTCCTGCTGCCTTTATCACCAGATACTCCTCTAAACTGTATGACGTCTGGACGAGTTCTGTGGCTGAGAAGTCACAGTTTAATCTCCAGAAGCCGCTGATATCCCGAGAGCAGAGAACGAGACTCATCTCTGTCAACTTCAGCCCGCAGGTCAGGCTGTAGCTCTCCTCATACACATATGTTAATATCTACAGGCCAGTTCCCTTATCGAACTTGACTCTCGTCTCGCCCTATAGCTGGTTTCGGTGCTGAGGGAGGTGAAGTACCTGGAGGCCAGACAGGCTGAAGTCATTCCAGATATGGCTGCAGACATTTATTCCAACAGAGAGCTGCTGTGGCAGTATGTGGCCAATCTGGAGCTCACAACCAACTGGTACAACAAAGTGATGAGCAGCATGCTCGAGGTGGAGATGCCGCTGATCCAGAGCCAGCTGACAGACATTGACGCCAAGCTCAAAGAAGCTGAGGAGAACCTCTGCTGGACAAGCCAAGGTAGAGATGATCAGTGCTGAACCCTCAAATAACTGAGATTGATCCACTACAGCCATTAGTGTGATGCAAACGTCATTATGAACACTTAAAACTACAGCATCCTGCTGGCTAATTCAGGGCAGCACAGGCGTGACATCTCAGGACACTTCCGTCAGTGATATCTGAACATTTTCCATAAAATATTTCATCAAAAGCACCTTCAAAACCATTATCATAGTTAACTAAAACCGAAATTAATAATGAAAGCCATAAATAAACAATCTTGTTACATGAAAGAAAATATAAGTACATTTTTATTTCAGCAAGTTGCCAAAGCAACATTTCTCATTTGAATTCAGTTGAAGTTGATGTACTAAAATTACTAAAACTAAAATTAAAAAAATTAAAACCATAAAAAATGTATTGTTACCTAAAATAATAATAAAAAAAACTTATTTCAGCGAGTTGTCAAAGCAACATTTAATTTAGTTTAGTGTACTAAATAACAAACTGAAATAAAAAATTAATCAACTTTATAGACATATAAAACTGCTAAAATGACTAAAACACAACAACATTTCTAAAACTTGACCTGAAATTTAAATGAAAATGGAAAATACAAAAAACAAAAATGGATTCATTGTATTAATAAAAACTATAATAGTATTTCAATGATACTAAAATAACTCAAAATATCTGCATTTCTCAGCATTCTTCACCGTAGAACGTTTGTTGAAGGCTCAGATCAAAATCTTTTATCAGTTTGTGTTTTTATTTGATAATTGAGCTTAATTATATTGTTCTTTTTAATAGACCCTCGTAATTGGCCCTTTGGTTAGGTGAGGGGGCATTAGATATTATTTGTTAAATATAACAAAAAGTTGTGTGTCTGATTGGTCCAAATGCTACATATTTCTTCTGTTGAGCCTAAAAAGTGATGTTTAGCAGAATGTTCATGCTGATAGAAGTAAACACACCACATAATCATTACAACGGTCATAGTGTCTTACATTTTTTCCTCTGTTGTAAAAAGATAATTTACGTTTGGAATGATGTTTGATGTTATACTGTATACTCTAGATTTTTATATACACTAAATCTCTAATGAGTTTTCTCTGGTAGGGATTTGGGAATACATCCAGGATATCCGTGAGACGGTATATGACCTGGAGCAACGCCTACAGAGGACTAAAGACAATGTTGAGGAGATCCAGACTATCATGAAGAGCTGGACTACCCCAGTCTTTGAGAGGAAGGAGGGGAAGAAAGATACTCTTCTAAACCTGGAAGATAAGACCGAGCGTCTGGAGAGAACGTACGGCCAGATCCGAGCTTCAGGAACCAAGATCCATCTGTTGCTGAAAGTATGCAGCGGTGATCCCATCAAATAACAACTGACAGAATGACTAATTTTAAAGGAGCCGCTCACCCAAACATTTCTACTCCTTATAAGAATTATTTTGTTTCAGGACAACATGTCACTCTTCAAAGCAGACCCATCTTCTGCGCGGTGGAAGGTTTATGTGGATTACATTGATGAAATGGTCATTGATGGTTTCTACAATGCTGTTGAGAGCTCCCTCAAGTTCTTCTTGGACAACACAGGTGTGCTTTTTGATTTTTTTTAAGCCTTACTAAAAATGATTATAGGGGTTTTCCCTCATTGGAGATTGATTGTTCTGCACTAAACAATTACACCAATCCCCTGATACAGACCAGAAGGCTGGATTAGCTCCACTCTTTGAGGTCCAGCTGCTTCTGCAGGTTCCTGAGATTGTGTTTTATCCGTCGTTGGAGTTCAGTGCTTCAGGCGGGTTCCATGATCTGGTGGAGAGCCTCATCAATAGCGTCTTTAGGATCTCTGCTCTTGTGCCACGATTATCTGAGCACAGCGGTTTCCCACACTATCAGGTACTGAGCAAACACATCACTTCATCTGGATTTAGATACTATGAAATGGTGTCTGTGCCATGCTACTTCTGCAGGACTTAAATGTGCTGTATGTAGGTTTCTGACTGTGCTAAAGCATAAAATACCATAATATGTTTGCAGGTGTTTAATATCATTGCGCCTGCTGCACCCATGGTACGGCAGCAAAGTTCCTTGATTATTACGCCGGAATGAGAGTATAGTTCCTAGCCATATCGGCCTAGAAAATCGCAACTTTTTAATTTCCGTCGGTCTTAGTACACGATGTAACTACAGAAGAGTCACGTTTTAAATAGGAAAAATATAGAAACTCTTTAGTCATTTTTGAGCAAGATGCTAACGGACTAATCCGATTCAATTATCTATGCTAAGCTACAGCAAAAAAAAACTACCGCCAGACCCGGAGATCGCCTGAATGGATTCGAAAATGGTAAAACTCAACTGTTTAACTCTAGGGGAGTTGGAAAATTAGTATTTTCCAAAATAGTGGAGTGTTCCTTTAAATTGGAGCAGAAAGCCATAAGTCATAACATTAAATGTTGTCAAGAGGCAGATCAAGTCTTTACATTTTGATAAAACATTTTGAAAGAACAAACATATTTTTTCCCTCTAAATTGTGCACAATGACCCCAGAAAAACATATTAAGAAAGTAAATGCAGTGAATTTTGTTTTCATGTTTCTTATGCAAGTGGTTTATGATCAGATATGTTTACATAAAGTCGTCTTGTTCCATCAGGCTGATATGGAGGACATGGTGGACTTTGCGGAGTGGAGGCATCTTCTGATGGAGCGCGTGAGGAAAGTCATGGGACAGTGCTGTGAGTATCGTAACAGCCTGGAACACTACGCTTACCTCTACGTGGACGACCGGAAGGAGTTCATGCGTCAGTTCCTGCTGTACGGTCACGTGCTCACGAGTGAAGAGATCGAGGCCCACGCCGAGCACGGCGTCCCAGAAACCCCTCCGACTCTGGAGTGCTTCCGCAAGCAGGTGGACTCGTACGAGCTCTTATATGAGGAGGTGCAGAGGCTGGAGCCCGTCCATGTGTTTGAGAGTTGGATGAGGGTGGACGCACGAGCCTTCAAAAGTGCCCTGCTCAACGTCATCAGAAAGTGGAGCTTCATGTTCAAACAGCATCTTATTGATCATGTGACGCACAGGTAAAAGCACTGAGTTCCTAATTTCAATAGAATTATGCATCAGAGCCAGTTTAAGCAGGGCCCTATGATTTCTGCAGTGTGGAATCATGTAATCCAGTCATAAAAATTTTATTTTCTATTTAATGCAGAATGTCACAGAATTGGGCAAATTTTGGATTAATAAATCAAAAGTAGGTCAATACACTTTAATCAAAAGGTCATATGGACTATAGTCTGTGAATATTAAGCCACAAAAATACTATTTAAATATGAATCCTGCATGTTCTGCGTGTCTCGTGAATGAATGGAGCAGACGCATTTTCAGGGTCAGTGCCATTAACGCAAAATAAAATTTCAGTTTAACTTGAAGAAATTATGACAGAAATATAGAACTGTTATATACTAAAATGTAAACAATTTTTCTTCCCAGTGAATTTTGTTTTCATGTTTCTTATGCAAGTGGTTTATGATCAGATATGTTTACATAAAGTCGTCTTGTTCCATCAGGCTGATATGGAGGACATGGTGGACTTTGCGGAGTGGAGGCATCTTCTGATGGAGCGCGTGAGGAAAGTCATGGGACAGTGCTGTGAGTATCGTAACAGCCTGGAACACTACGCTTACCTCTACGTGGACGACCGGAAGGAGTTCATGCGTCAGTTCCTGCTGTACGGTCACGTGCTCACGAGTGAAGAGATCGAGGCCCACGCCGAGCACGGCGTCCCAGAAACCCCTCCGACTCTGGAGTGCTTCCGCAAGCAGGTGGACTCGTACGAGCTCTTATATGAGGAGGTGCAGAGGCTGGAGCCCGTCCATGTGTTTGAGAGTTGGATGAGGGTGGACGCACGAGCCTTCAAAAGTGCCCTGCTCAACGTCATCAGAAAGTGGAGCTTCATGTTCAAACAGCATCTTATTGATCATGTGACGCACAGGTAAAAGCACTGAGTTCCTAATTTCAATAGAATTATGCATCAGAGCCAGTTTAAGCAGGGCCCTATGATTTCTGCAGTGTGGAAAACACAGACACAATCATGTAATCCAGTCATAAAAATTGTATTTTCTATTTAATGCAGAATGTCACAGAATTGGGCAAATTTTGGATTAATAAATCAAAAGTAGGTCAATACACTTTAATCAAAAGGTCATATGGACTATAGTCTGTGAATATTAAGCCACAAAAATACTATTTAAATATGAATCCTGCATGTTCTGCGTGTCTCGTGAATGAATGGAGCAGACGCATTTTCAGGGTCAGTGCCATTAACGCAAAATAAAATTTCAGTTTAACTTGAAGAAATTATGACAGAAATATAGAACTGTTATATACTAAAATGTAAACAATTTTTCTTCCATGTTTTAATTTTAACAGTAAACGCCAGCACTTTTGCAGCACTTTTTTTGCAGAATTTTGTTTTTTTACAGGGTTTGTTCATTTTCATTTGATTAAAAGATTAATTAAACTGGTAATATGTTTTGCCTACATTAGGTTAACAGAACAATTAAAATATATAAAACAAAGAATTTCAGAAAACTGTTCATTGGGCTAAACAAACAAATTAACAAACAAACAAATAAATAAACAAAATGTTTTCATGAATTCAATTGATTAGACATGCTTTTTGATTGTTAAAATTTATGAAAAAATGTAAAAGGAAAACGGAATCTGAAAAAAAATAAAAAATCATGGGGCCCTAAAAATTTTTTTTTTGTAACACTTCTATTAAATTGTTGTTAAATTGTGTAAGTTTAATGATTTCAAATAATTAGACATGCTTTTTAAGTGTAACAATTTAATTTAACCATTAAAATGGAATCCAGAAAAATTAAAACAGAAAAATGGAATTTAGGAAAAGTAAATAAATAAATAAATAGATACATACATAAATAAGTAAGTAAAAACAGGTTTCATACGTTACCAAATGGTCTGCCTGATATTTTTTACATGTCTTGTCTGATCTGTTATGTTTGTGGCTGTAGTCTGTCTGACCTGGAGGAGTTCATCGGGCTGACGGAGGCTGGTCTGGGTAAGAAGGTGGAGGAGGGTGACTATAACGGTCTGGTGGACATCATGGGTTACCTGATGGCAGTTAAAGAGCGTCAGAGCACTACAGATGAGATGTTCGAGCCTCTGCAGCACACCATTGATCTGCTGAAGACTTATGAACAGGAACTCCCAGAGCTTGTGTACAAACAGCTAGAGGTACGTTTGTCTATAAACTAATCCTGAAAACCTGTGAGAGAAGCTCAAACTCACTGTTTTACTGGATCTGACTGATAAAGCCATTAAACTGAGGCCAAGATTTAGCATGACAATCTCTATTAGCAATAACTATTCTATGACCCTAATATTCTGTGGGTAGATTCTGAATGTAATGTGTTATTTAGACCAGTGAGGAATTTCCATGATTGTTCTTGGCCATATTCACAAAAATCTGTAAATTCATTAAACATCTTACATTTGGCGATTTAAGACAAGATTGAGGTTATCTTTATAACTTTAAGATTGTTTTTCTGTCTAAATGCACTAGACAGACAAGTTCAGCTTTTAAAAAATGCATCTTGAGACCATGCTTCTTTTTTTTTTTTTTGATGAACAGGTGCTGCCGGAGAAGTGGAATAACATGAAGAAGCAGGCGGTGTTGGTGAAGCAGCATGTTGCTCCGCTGCAGGCTGGCGAGGTGGCTAACCTACGCAGGAAATGCGCTGCATTCGATGTGGAGCAGCACACCTTCAGAGAGCAGTTCCGCAAGAAAGACTTTTTCAGGTACATGATACAGTCTGGAGGATAACAGTAATCATGGCTACAGCAGGGACGGAAACTAACGGGAGATTTGGGCAAAAATGTCATAGAAAATGAACAAAAATGCCCCCTAAATTCAAGATAAGGTGGCAAAAAATACCCCTGAACAATTAAACTAATTATTAGATTAAAGTGAAATGAATAAAAAGTGTCGATTTCAGCATTACATTTACACTGAGTGAATTCTAAATCTGCGTTCGCAAATTCTGTCATCATAAACATGTACAGAACAGATGTAAAAGATTAATTTCGCAGTGTTGATGCTTCGGTGATTACGGGAGTTTCTACGAAAGTGCATAACTTACATTTTCAGTGTTCTTATTTACGCTTCAGTGTTCTTTACTCACATTTTTTTATATGTGAGCTTTTATATAATATATGCTACTGAAATAACCAATGTGAAGTCTTGATTTTCTAATCCGCAAAGAGCGCTAAACAAATTCATAAATGATTCTTAGCTTGTTTTGTAGCCAAAATTAAAATTTTCTCCACATAAAATGAATCGACATTAATCATTATTACATTATCAGTAATAAATAATAATGATTTTGTCATGATATTCCAGCTTCACCCTAAACAGTCTGTAAATCAACATAAGCACAGCTTCTGTTCCAGCTTTGCAAAGTAAAGATGGCTTCGTTGATGTTGAAACAATTGATTGGTATCAGTATATAGTACTGTCATTGATTAAAGTAACTGGTCAAATTTAAGTAGGATTTTACATTAAAAAAATAAATAAATAGCAACACCGATACATTAAGGTAATTCAAAAAATTGCCCTTACAAAGGTAAAAATGGCCTGTAAATCGATTTCTGGGTCATATACTGGCCCTTAATGGAAAAGTTCATTTCTGACCACAGTCACTAACATGCATTTGCCTCGGTTTGTTTTCAGGTTTGACTGTGTGAATCCACATGAGATGCTGGACGAAGCACACGACCAAATTCAGGAGATGGAGACCACGATGGCCGGGCTCATTGTGTCCGCCAATCTCTTTGAAGTCAACATATCAGACTACAGACAGCTGAAGCAGTGCCGCAAAGAGCTGCCCATTCTCAAGGAGTTGTGGGATCTGGTCTTGGTGGTCCAGTCCTGTTTGGAGGCCTGGCAGATGACGCCCTGGAGACAGATCAACGTGGATGACATGGAGATGGAGTGCAAGCGCTTCTCTAAGGAGCTCCGCACGCTGGACAAAGAGGCTCGCCCGTGGGACGCCTTCAGCGGGCTGGACGGCACCGTGAAGAACACACTAGTCTCGCTGAGAGCCGTCGCCGAGCTCCAGAACCCGGCCATTCGTCCTCGCCACTGGCAGCAGCTGATGAACGCCACCGGAGTGCGCTTCACCATGGACAAGGACACCACGCTGGCCGACCTGCTTCGCCTCAACCTGCACCACTTCGAGGACGAAGTGAGAGGCATCGTGGATCGCGCCGTGAAGGAGATGGGCATGGAGAAGGTGCTCAGTGAGCTGGACGCCACCTGGATCAGCATGGCGTTTGATTTTGAGCCTCATCCACGGACTAACATTCCTCTGTTGAAGTCCAGCGAGGAACTGATCGAAACGCTGGAGGACAACCAGGTGCAGCTGCAGAATCTGATGACGTCGAAGTACATCTCCTTCTTCCTGGAGGAGGTTTCCACGTGGCAGCGGAAGCTCTCGGTGACGGACTCCGTGATCTCCATCTGGTTCGAGGTTCAGAGGACGTGGAGTCACCTGGAGAGCATCTTTATCGGTTCTGACGACATTCGCTCTCAGCTACCAGAGGTCGGGCTTGCTGATGTGTTTCTAATATTATTCTGAATATTTACCCGAAACGCAGCTTTGCAGGAATGTACAAAGGGCATACTAAAGATAAAATGTGAAACAGACATCTGAGATGTTTTAATGGAGAGCCGCTCAGATTCAGCGAGCATCTTGTCCTGCCCTCTGGCACTGTGTTCATAGATCTAGATTAGAGATGAAAATGTCCATCGTGTGCATTTGGCCGAAAACATTTGGATAATTACCATTGGGCGCCTGTGGCCAGACGCGCAGATGTTCCTCAGAATGTCAGAGGTTGTTTTGGGTTTTTGCTCTCTGGCAGATGAAGTTGTTTCGACTCATTCTGTCATGAATGTCTCCACAGGACTCCAAACGCTTCGATGGTATTGATACTGATTTCAAAGAGCTGACGCACGACGCCAGTAAAACACCTAACGTTGTGGAGGCCACCAATAAACCCGGGCTCTACGACAAACTGGAGGACATTCAGGGCAGGTCTGCAGCTGCTTACTGGAATGATGTGCTTGTCTGATTTAAAAACTTCCTCTCTGCAACTTTAAGGAATAGTTCACTGCAAATTGAGTCATTATGTAATCGCCCTTATGTTGTTCCAGCCCCCAAATGTTTTAAAACTATAACACTAACTATAAAGTTTTAATAGTCGCTCTACACTGCAAAAAAAAAAAAAAAAGAAATAATAATCATTTTCCTCCAGCACAAATATATAAACATTCTTGCATCAGTAATATACATTTACTTGAGAAGCAAAATGACTTTGTTTTCTGAAAAATGCATCAAAATGTTGTTTAAAACAAGACATTTTTTTCTTGTTGTTAATTTTGTACTTCATTTTGATACATTTTTCAGAAAACAAGACTGAATATCTGATGTCATTTTGCTCCTCTAAATGTATCTTGGTTTAAGAATGATTAGAGATTCAGATCAAATACATTGGAATCACTTTCAGAGCAATTTTTGTCCAGCTGATGAATGATAAAATCAATGATAGCCAATCAGAATCCATCCGGCTTTAAGCACTCGATCATTTAAGGTGGCAGATGACTGGAATAAACGTTATTGTGTGCTGCCAATACGCTAATGTACAGTACTGTATCGTTATCGGCGTCAAAAAAGGCCAATAAAGCATCATGATTCTAAAGAACTTAATATGCCCTCACACTATATTCCACATCTTCTGAAGCCATACAATAACTTTATTTTATCATCGCTGATAACCCTCTGCTGGAAAAAATTTAAAATCCTCATTCAGGAAGTGCTCATTTTAGAATGCACACATGGAATGCTTCAGTGTACCGTGATGCTTTGCGCTAAACTGATTATCTCTCAGATTCAGAGTGTGACCATGTTCTTGCAGATTGTCTCGTTGTGAAAAAGCCCTGGCAGAGTATCTGGACACCAAGCGCTTGGCCTTCCCACGCTTCTACTTCATCTCCTCTGCTGACCTGCTGGACATCCTGTCCAGTGGCACTGACCCTCACCAGGTACATCTGCATCACATAAAACACATGTTTATGTGCCTAAAATAATTTAGCACGAAGTAGTGCTTATGGCCAAACTGCAGTTCAGTGCTGCCATTATTTGTCTTTTGCACCCATTAGATGGCAGTGTTGATTGTGGTTTCTTAAGTTGTCTTGAAGGCACACTGCAAGTTTTCCATATGTCACATTAGGACAAAATTGAAATGAAATAGCAGCTGTGCAGTTGTGAAGCCGTACATTTTTCCCCTCAGGTTCAGAAGCATCTGTCAAAGTTGTTTGACAATATGGCGAAGCTGAAGTTTGAAATGGACGCAGGCGGAAAGCCCACCAAGACGGGGCTCGGTATGTTCAGTAAGGAGGACGAGTACGTTCAGTTCAACGCGCCCTGTGACTGCACCGGCCAGGTACAGCCAGCCTCAGCTGTATTTACCCACAATGCACCGCAAATTATCATGAGGGTAATTAGAGGAGTTTGTTTACAGAGACAGAGACGCTCCATGTTTTTATTCTGCAGCATACCTTTACAAAAGGCATTTTAATTAGGAAATATTTATTTATTTATTGGACGACACATGAAATAGTGATAGTGGTACATGCTGCATGCTTGGCACATTGTTACAGATATGAATAACAACTCAAATCTTGTGCTTTGTGTAGATGATGCATGCTGCTACATCTCTAAGTGACTGAAATGTGAAATAATCCCACAGATTTAAACTGAAGATGTGTAGTATGGCCACAAGTGATGTCCGGGGAGGATACTTCTCAATATTTGCTTTTAATGACCCTACAAGATCAAAATATCTCCTACAAGAAGAAAATGATTAGGCAAAAAAACAAACAAACTATCTACAGGAATCATGTTTTTTTTTTTACTATTAAAAAAATGGATAGAAAAACAAAAAGCTTACAGGAAATGAAAGGGTTAGTTCACCCAAAATTGAAAATTCTGTCATTAATTACTCACCCTCGTGTTGTTCCAAACCCGTGAGACCTTCGTTCATCTTCGGAACACAATTTAAGATATTTTTGATGAAATCTGAGGGCTCTCTGACCCTCCCATAGACAGCAAGGTAACTACCACGTTCAAGGTCCAGAAAAGTACCAAGATGATCGACAAAGTAGTCTGTGTGACATCAGTGGTTCAACTGTAAAGTTCAACTGTAAACTAACCCTTTAAGCATACTGTACATCTAAAACAAAAACATAATCAGTTATTAATATTTTGTTGTTTTTGATTACAGCAGTCACTCAATATGGTTTGCACATGTGGTGTAATTTGTCATGTTTCATTGCACAATATGCTTACAAAATCCTTAATAGGGTCATTCATATATATATATATATATGAATTATTATTATTATTTTTTAATCAATCTTTACCATGATCCTTCAAACCACTAGCTTTTACCCATTTGACAGCAAAAAAGTTTTTAATAATTTACATATAACCAAATTTAGCATGGTCACTTTCATATATTTTAATAAATACAGGTCAGATGAAGTATGTTTTTATTAAATTCCTTTTAATATTTGAATAAAAGGTGAAGATGTCCATTTTCCTAGACCAGACATCACTATTGGCCACTGCTGTACCTGAGTCACGTCTGCGGTCCAGAATATCATAAAGACTCAGAGACAGGCTCTTTCACAGAGAAACACCACTCATGTTTTCTCCAGCACACGTGGTTATAAATGTGGTTATGTTTGGAGGATCTGCTGTGGATTAAGGCTCAATCTAATCCAGCTCCTGAAGTTCTGTATTCCTGTGGAGTTTTGCTCCATCTGCTCATGGATGATTAGTTTATTTCTAGTGGAACCAATGTAGAGTATCAGGCTGCTGCCAAACCTCCTCACGTCTGGAACCGTGTAACGCTTGTTCAGGTGGAAGTGTGGCTGAACCGTGTTCTGGACAGCATGAGGGCCACCGTGCGTCATGAGATGACCGAGGCCGTCGCCGCTTATGAGGAGAAGCCCAGGGAGCAGTGGCTGTTCGACTATCCCGCTCAGGTACTGAACCAGCACCTGTAAACATCTCTAGGCCGGTTTCCTCTGAATGAGAGAATATTTATGAGGAATTGGAGATATTTCTGGCAGTATTACTATCTGCATGTGCTCACAGAATCAAGTCTCATGAAGGCCTGCTTTTTGGGTGTTCGCGTTTTGCCCGATAGCGATGGATGTCTGTGTTTAAATCATGATTATTAATTTTATTCAGTGGGGCTGAAACATTTCAGACCAAATCTGAGATTCAAACATTTAAATCTGTGAATAAAAGTTGAATGAATTTGAAAAACGTAAAATGAAAACATTCTGCAGTATTTCTAGGTCACTAATCAAATGTGTGACATTGACCGTTTCTTTGTAGCTTCACAAACTGAACAACTAAATACACCTCTTCTGAAATGAACGTGTTTGAATTTTTATTTCATTTTGATATTTCTTTGGAAGCTTAATCAAAAATGTCCAGGTTAAACGACTGGCCTGATGTCATAGTAAAGAAAAAAAAATATTATTTTAATTATATTTGAACCCTTTTCATAAATGCGCACATATTATAACGAATACAAAAGTTTAAATATGAATAAAAAAACAAAACTTTTATTATTATTATTATTTCTCAGAATAAATAAGCAAACCTAAGAATGCAAATAAATTTTAAAATTGCAAATATTTAAAAAAACATGCATTAAAATGAACATTTTAATGATTTACCATTGTTATATAATGATATTTGTAAATTTAATATTTGTAACTTAATTAGAAAATATATGTTTCTTTTTTTATAAAACCTTTAAATAAATTAAGGTGCATATTATTACTTTTTACTTGATGTTTTCACCACATGACATTTTAGTCATAAATTGTAACCTTTCTTGTTTACGTAAAAAAGTTGTTGTTTTTTTAAACCATATGAAACCAATATAAATACAAAGAGTAGATTTCTAAAAACATGCCAGATGTTTATCTTGGACACAAGCATACAGTAGCATTGACTCACATACTGAACCAAATACTGAGACATCCTGACATTCATGTTACCTTTAACTATTGTTATGCTGATCATGTATTTCGGCCTAGTGCGGAACAGAAATGTGTTATCTTCTTATTTGGATAGGTGGCGCTCACCTGTACTCAGATCTGGTGGACGACTGATGTAGGAATGGCGTTCTCCAGACTGGAGGAGGGATATGAGAATGCAATGAAGGATTACTATAAAAAGCAAGTGAGTCAGTTAAACACCCTCATCACCATGCTGATCGGCCAGCTCACTACCGGAGACCGGCAGAAAGTCATGACCATCTGTACCATTGACGTCCACGCCAGAGACGTGGTGGACAAGATCATTCAGCAGAAGGTACCGTCTCATCTGTCCTATTGTCATATCCATCCTTGACACTGAGTTTCCTTCAGATATCTGCAGATGAGTGCATAAGACAAGATTCAATACTGCCTCCATAATCAAAGTCTCAGTGTGCTCCCATGTGATTTGGTCTCATATATTGGTCGCACTCAAAGATGATAAGATAGGATAAAAAAATGCTGTTATTTTGTAATCTACTGCAGGGGGTTTGCAAAATATTTTAATGTCAGACAGGCTAAAGCATAATAGTGCAGTAAGATTTATGTCATAAAGACAAAATGACGTATTTAAATAATACTTCAATATTGTCATTGTACTAAAGCCAAAGCAATTAATATATTATATGGACAATATTTAGCTTGTATTAAGTAGAATTGTTTTTCTCTCCACTATTAGAGTAATGTTAGATGTATAAACATTTCCAATTCAATTAATATAAACTCAAAGTGTAATTTCACATTGCAAGAGAGGAGAGATAAACGCTTAAATAAGAAATATTTTTGTTCACAAAACTATACACATTTTTTTCTTACTGTTAAATACTCTAAAGGCCCGTTCACACCAAGCACGATAACTATAAAGATATAGTTCAAAAAATCGTTCTCAATATTAAAGAATAGCATAGCTCACACCACAACAATAACGATAACGATACAGAGGAACGATATCGTTGTGATCACTTTTAAAACTATTTTTTTTCCAGCTGATGAACGATAAAACACTGACAGCCAATCAGAATCCATCCTGCTGTAACGAGCTCAAGAATTTAAAGCGGCAGAGGCATGTGCGCTTAGAATAAACAGACGATATCGTTCGCTGATGTGGACACTAATATCGCTATCTTTATAGTTATCGTTCTTGATGTGAACGGGACTTAAATGTGAATAGAATAAAATAATTGCAATGAATCTGAATTCATTTAAAATGAAATTTTTGGTAACACTTAAAGCCTTTATGTATAATGCATTATAAAGGTATTCAATAATGCATTATATTTTTCATAAACAATTGCAACCAAGTTAAAATGCATAATGAAGGCCTGCTTTTTGGGTGTTCGCGTTTTGCCCGATAGCGATGGATGTCTGTGTTTAAATCATGATTATTAATTTTATTCAGTGGGGCTGAAACATTTCAGACCAAATCTGAGATTCAAACATTTAAATCTGTGAATAAAAGTTGAATGAATTTGAAAAACGTAAAATGAAAACATTCTGCAGTATTTCTAGGTCACTAATCAAATGTGTGACATTGACCGTTTCTTTGTAGCTTCACAAACTGAACAACTAAATACACCTCTTCTGAAATGAACGTGTTTGAATTTTTATTTCATTTTGATATTTCTTTGGAAGCTTAATCAAAAATGTCCAGGTTAAACGACTGGCCTGATGTCATAGTAAAGAAAAAAAAATATTATTTTAATTATATTTGAACCCTTTTCATAAATGCGCACATATTATAACGAATACAAAAGTTTAAATATGAATAAAAAAACGAAACTTTTATTATTATTATTATTTCTCAGAATAAATAAGCAAACCTAAGAATGCAAATAAATTTTAAAATTGCAAATATTTAAAAAAACATGCATTAAAATGAACATTTTAATGATTTACCATTGTTATATAATGATATTTGTAAATTTAATATTTGTAACTTAATTAGAAAATATATGTTTCTTTTTTTATAAAACCTTTAAATAAATTAAGGTGCATATTATTACTTTTTACTTGATGTTTTCACCACATGACCTGATGAACGATAAAACACTGACAGCCAATCAGAATCCATCCTGCTGTAACGAGCTCAAGAATTTAAAGCGGCAGAGGCATGTGCGCTTAGAATAAACAGACGATATCGTTCGCTGATGTGGACACTAATATCGTTATCTTTATAGTTATCTTTCTTGGTGTGAACGGGACTTAAATGTGAATAGAATAAAATAATTGCAATGAATCTGAATTCATTTAAAATGAAATTTTTGGTAACACTTAAAGCCTTTATGTATAATGCATTATAAAGGTATTCAATAATGCATTATATTTTTCATAAACAATTGCAACCAAGTTAAAATGCATAATACTGTTTGCAGATTTCTTGTTACATCTGAAATTGGTTGTTTGTTTTAATGAAATCTATTTTCTAAAGGTGTGTTCACTTATAAGTGTTATAAGGTATTTATGTAATTATTATTCATGAAATCATACAATGCATTAAAAGGTGCATTACAAGACAATAATTAATGCAATAAAATACTTCAGAATAAACAGACGATATCGTTCGCTGATGTGGACACTAATATCGTTATCTTTATAGTTATCTTTCTTGGTGTGAACGGGACTTAAATGTGAATAGAATAAAATAATTGCAATGAATCTGAATTCATTTAAAATGAAATTTTTGGTAACACTTAAAGCCTTTATGTATAATGCATTATAAAGGTATTCAATAATGCATTATATTTTTCATAAACAATTGCAACCAAGTTAAAATGCATAATACCGTTTGCAGATTTCTTGTTACATCTGAAATTGGTTGTTTGTTTTAATGAAATCTATTTTCTAAAGGTGTGTTCACTTACAAGTGTTATAAGGTATTTATGTAATTATTATTCATGAAATCATACAATGCATTATAAGGTGCATTACAAGACAATAATTAATGCAATAAAATACTTTCATATGGCATTATATATAAAGGCTTTAAGTAAAGTGTTACCTACTGTTTTATTTTCTGATATTGTCCAGGGACTCTCCTAAATGCTACTAGAATCAGAATTTATTGCAAACGCTTTGCATAAGTCATGCGAATCATCTGAAAACCGATGATGGCCTTCAAAAGACCAAAGTTGAAATGGTTTGAGCTTTGAGCCGTGCATGAGGTGAATGCTGCAGCGGATGCATGAGTTCACTGCGGTGACCAGCACTAGCGTTAGTCATGTGAAAAAGCCTGCAGGCGTCTCATAAGAGGATATTCAATACTGCCTCTATTTGCCTCCATAATCCAAGCCTCAATGTGCTCTCATGTGATTGCTCATATTTTGGTCTCACTTGAAAATCCGCAGTTTAGTAGAATAGAAGTCCTAATGAAAGCGCCGTAGAGTGGCTCAGAAGCACACTAATGTTTTTATCCAGCTCAGGTGTGATATTTTCCTCATGCTAATCCTTCATAATCATCTCCCTCAGGTGGAGAACTCTCAGGCCTTTCTCTGGCTGTCCCAGCTGCGGCACCGCTGGGGCGAGAGAGAGAAGCACTGCTTCGCCAACATCTGCGACGCCCAGTTCCTCTATTCATACGAGTATCTGGGCAACACTCCACGATTAGTCATCACGCCACTCACAGACAGGTGAGATGCCAGAAAAACACAGCTTTAGCTTTGGAGTGACTCATTTGAGGAGCCATTAGAGAGCGAGCGCGTCCCATCAGATGCCCTTATGCTAAAGGAAGATGGCGGGTTGCTCAGGCGGGTCCATCTCGACACTTTGAAACCATCACAAAGCAGAGACGCTGCTGTTTGATAGTCAAATCAATGACAGTGCGCTTTCCTGAGCATATGGTCAGTCTATGAGCTCTGCTGACACTTGTTGGGTCTTTCCCAAAAAGACTCATGGCTGTATTCGATCAAAAGGGTGCTTCTACTAAATACTGAGCAAAGGGTCTGAATACTTAGGACCATGTGATATTTCAGTTTTTCTTTTTTAATAAATCTGCAAAAATGTCAACAATTCTGTGTTTTTCTGTCAATATGGGGTGCTGTGTGTACATTAATGAGGAAAAAAAATTTACTTAAATGATTTTAGCAAATGGCTGCAATATAACAAAGAGTGAAAAATTTAAGGGGGTCTGAATACTTTCCGTACCCACTGTACATCCGAAGCCATGTCCGTATTCAGGCCTCATCTGCGCTCCATATAATAGAGACGCAGTGTTCTTCTGCTGTGACTGCAGAGAGGAGAAGACGGCCTCAGGATCACAGATGCACACAATCAATCCCCGGTCATCTCTCATCACATCTCAGCCAGCGCTGCAAACACACATACACAGTGTTTAGAATATGAATGCGAGTTTGCAAATGCTGCTCATCCATCCAGAAAACGTCTGCTTAGCATTTGTTGTTCTTGTTTATGAGCTGGAATTTCAGCGGAGCAGGAACCGTGAGCTCGCTTCTAGAAAACAAAAGACGCCCGCATAATTTCACATGCTTCTGTGTGTTGCGATTGATGCTTTCCAGCGATGCACCCGTAACTCTGTGCTTTCTCTCGCTCGATCTGTCTCTCTCAGTCGTGTGGCAACATCTACAAAGGCCTGGCGCAGACCGGAGCCTGGGGCTGCTTCGACGAGTTCAACAGGATCTCGGTGGAGGTGCTTTCAGTGGTGGCGGTGCAGGTGAGTGACTTACACCCTGATGAATAAACAACAGCATAAACTCGATTTATGCCACTGGCTCAGAAACCTGGAAACTAGGGCTGTTTTTATTTGATTGCATGATGCGCCAATTAAATAATTGAATGAATTGCTAAATAATCGCACATCAGTATGAGCTAAAAAGTTACCCCCAAAAGATCTTGTAAAGTTATTATTGTGCTAAGAAAAGCATTAGGCATTTCTTTTTTTAAAGTAGCTTAAGGAAGAAATATTTTTATTCAACATAAATAATGACAATAACTGTATATATATATATATATATATATATATATATATTTAATGAATGTTGAAATATGAAATTGTTTTTTATTTATTTATTTATTTTTTCATGAATGATACTCTCAAACTAAAACTACACTGGTTGGGTTGGGGGTCTGATCCCCTTAAAGAAGGCTTGATCCCCCTGATGGACGTCAAAACTATGTAGAACGATGTAGTAACCTATAATGCATAAAATGGAGATTTACTTGTAAATATGAAGATGCATTTCTGTAGCTGACATTACCTGAGAGGTTGAAGTAAATACGCAATATCACACAACTCGAGCAAGAGAGCTGATTTTTTTTCCTGAATATCTGCACGAATGCAAATGTGATATTGATTTAATACAAGAGTTCAATAAACAGTAAATTTAAAGTGTTACATTTTAGACACAATATTGTCAGTATTATCTGTTTTTGAGCAATTTTGCTAATGAAAATATTACCTATAAAGCCCCAGCAGAACTCTCTATAACTGTTTGTGAAATTTATCAAAACAAACAATATTCAGTACAGCAATCACAATACTGTGTCTAAACTGTGTCTAACTTCCTGGTTATTGAACTGTTGTGTAAATCAACTTGCATTTGTGCTGATATTGGGGAGAAACTGCACTCTTGCTGGTGTGATATTACTGAACTATATCATATGATATAAATATAAGGGTCATTTTTTGTGCTCATATCTTGAATTTTAGTCTCATAAAACTGCATTCTAATAGGCTTCATCATGAAGTCAGTCGTCCTGCATCAGGTTCATCAGCTGATGGACAAGTCTGAACGGGGTGGCTGAATTAAGTGCCATAATCTTTTGAATGCATTAATTTTTCCATAATTAATCGCACCAAATTAAACCGTTAAATTGACAGCCCTGCTTGAAATGCAACCAGGGAAAGTTTTTGCCTAAAAATAAAGATATAATGCATCAGGAAAACACTGCATGAGAAAAATCCAGCTTTTATGATTCACTCAACAGTTACATCAGCTGCTTATGTCACATCATCTCATAATGCCGTGACATCTGCTGTTTGCCATTGAGATTTTATGCCTTGCAATTCAGAGTTTACGCAAGGATGCTGCAGCGCTGCAGACACACGTACTGTAGTCGAATGAATCATCTTCATAACGCTGGCAGACTTAATTTGCTCACAATGGCTATTATGTTGAAGATGATGATGGGCTTGATTATAAAGAGTTTGATGTGTAGCTGCTCATTCATCTTGAGACGCATTTTGTTGTGATACAGTGCGACGGGTTTTAATGGCCAATTCCTGAAAAGGTGCACTTTTTCCTTTGAAAGCGAGAAAGACTTGTCTGAAATGTCAGGACATTGAAAAGGTGAGATAAAAAAATGAATTACCTTTTTCTTTTGTAGTGTTTTCAGAGAGCAGCTGTCACGAAGAACAATTTACAGTGAATCAGAACATCAGAGTAATGATAGCGAGGCGTTTGTCAGGCCGTCTGACAGGAAGCGACTGCCGTTTAGCCTTCTCCTTTTTTAAGTAGGAGGATATTTCGCTGGAATTTAGTCCATTCAAATGTTATTCTCACAAAGACAGATAGAATCAATTTTCCATTTGGTTAAGCTAAAACAAACAGAAGGGCCTCCAGACGTATCAATATTGAGACAAATTAACCAGCTCCAGCATTTACCTCACCGCCGCTCACCATGGGAGGGAAACAGATTTACCGAGGAGTGTCCCCAAATATCAAGCTCTTTGTTTTCACCTTTTTATTAATTACGAAAAACGAGGCTGTTCTCAGGCCAGGCAATTCATGGAATAGGAAACAAAAATGATCATTCTGTCCTCATTTACTCACTCTCATTATGCTCGAAACCTGTATTGATGCACATGATGGTTAGAAAAATGTCTGAGCTGCTCTGGTCCACACAATGGAATTGAATGGGGACCAGGACCAAAAACATCCTAAAAAAGAGGTTCATATAACTTCAAGTCACAGTAACGCTTTATACAATACAGGTGGTTTCAAAGCAGTTTCACAGTAATGAACAGGTATAGGAAATTATGATCCGCACTCACAAGAGCAATCTTCTTTTTTCTTTTATTTTACATTCATTACTGATGGGAAAAGACACAAACGTTTCGGCTTTTCAGTAATGAATGTAAAATAAAAGAAAAAAGAAGATTGTTCTCGTGAGTGCGGATCATAATTTCCTATACTAAGTAACTCCACAGAATGACGCACCAAAATAAAAAGATCAAGTAACGCAAGAGCGCAGTGCAAACGACGTTGTTAAACAGTAATGAACAGGAAAATAACAAAAAATATTTAAAATTCATCCAATACAAGACAAATTCAAAATCTGCAGTACAGCCGCTCTACAGAAGACAATAGTGTCAGATCAATTCAATTCTACTTTAGTTCTCATCCCATAGTGCTGATAGTGATAGTAAAATTGATAATAGAATTGAATATTTTTAGGAGGTTTAAAAGTAACTTTTGAAGTCATATGATAATCTTGCTTTATAAGCCCTTTTCAGACAGCAGTACCAGTAAATTGCTGTAAAATTACCAGAACGACTTTACCGGTAAATGCAAAAATGCACTGTTCACACAGGCAACGGCATTTAGTCTTTTTACTGGTAAAGCACCATTCATACATCAGTGTTTTTGTTAATATTTTCATTTTTGTGTCAAACGTTCACATTTATGCAGCTGCTTTTGGCCCAGAGACGTCATATTAGATGACTTTAGAATTATTATTTTTTTACTTCCGTAAACAGCGTGGCGTAAATGCGTCATCTGCATCAGAATGTTATGATTGGCCCAGTGTAGACATCTTACGTCAGGGAGTTCTGAACTTGTACGTGTTGATACCGGTAATCTCGTTCTGCATTCACACAGAGAACATCACCGGTAATTTCCCGGTAACGTTACAACTTTTCATACTGGTAAATTGGCAGAACACTTTTACCGGTATTTTTTGAAAAGGTCCTGTTCACACATGATCTCTTAACAGTAATATACTATTAATTCACCAGTTAAGACTGTATGTGTGAAGACCCTATAGTCACCTGTTACGACCCTGTCTAGGGTAAGGCTGCAACATAAATAAAAATCGAATTTACATATATCAACTACAAGAAAAAAACGTAAAGCAGTATTTTAATATTTCTAATCAATAAAAAACTATTTATAAGTGTATTACTATTATCATTACTACATGCTTCATGAATAATTAATTTGAGTATTTTGCAGATTTTTTTTTTTTGCAAATCAAAGTGACTTTTCTAGAAATGCAGAGCTGTTTGGTTAATGGCTTAAAGTCTTGTTTTAAGAATTTTATAAATCTTTTTAGAGAAAATCAATGTGAAAAATCCTTCCAGAAGCAAGGCCACTGAGAAGTGAGCGATTGCGTTTATGCTTTATAACTCATTTACAGCCTACAGTACAAGAGGCATGGCTTACTAGAACGTAAATGTGTTTAAACCGCCAAATCCTTGTTCCTTTCACTCCCTCCACTGACCTTGATGAAATAACCAAATTTAATTTTCTATTACAAATTCATATTAGCCACTGATCAGTGTGGAGAGAGAAAAATAGGAAGCATGGATGCTAGATCAGTATACAGGCAGGCTGTGTTTTAATGGAATATTTTATGAAGTGACAATCAAAAAAAGATCTAATTGGATTACAGCGAACGGTTAACCTGTCAACAGGGCGTGAGGATGGGTTTAGTGTCTGAAACAGTAATGATTCAGCCGCTCGCAGCATTGAAGACAGGCTGATAGAGTTCAGGCAGCTAGCAGATAAACACTGACATATAACATTAAGAGTGAGTCAGATATTGCTGAGAGCTGATGGAATAAGATATGAGGTTTTACCCTGCCATGGCCTTACGTGAACTCCAAACCTCACACTATACACTGCCTTCATGAATTGAACATGCTGTTCTATAGCAGAGCACCTAAGCCACGCACAGGCGTGCATTAAGAGCTGAAACAGCAGAAGAACCTAAGAGGGTGACCGGGACACAAGAGTGGAAATTACTGGGAAATATTAAAGGGTTTGGGTACTCAAAAATAAAAAAAATAGTTATCTTTAGTATGTTTAATTATCTGACTGACTTTGTTCTGTGGAACTCAAAAGCAGATGTTTACCAGAATGTCCATGCTGCTCTTTTCCAAACAATGAATGAATTCATATAGTCTAGGGGTACGATTCTCGCTTCGGGTGTGAGAGGTCCTGGGTTCAAATCCCGGACGAGCCCCCAACTGTTTCGACTCTGTCAAGGAGAAGGCCGCAACATAAATTGAAATCAACAATCAAAGATCCTTTATACATTTATTTACAGAACCACGAGGGAAAACACAACTTCAGGGGTTCTGTAAATAAATGTATAAAGGATCTTTGATTGTTGATTTCAGTTTATGTTGCAGCCTTACCCTAGACAGGGTCGTAACAGGTGACTATAGGGTCTTCACACATACAGTCTTAACTGGTGAATTAATAGTATATTACTGTTAAGAGATCATGTGTGAACAGGACCTTTTCAAAAAATACCGGTAAAAGTGTTCTGCCAATTTACCAGTATGAAAAGTTGTAACGTTACCGGGAAATTACCGGTGATGTTCTCTGTGTGAATGCAGAACGAGATTACCGGTATCAACACGTACAAGTTCAGAACTCCCTGACGTAAGATGTCTACACTGGGCCAATCATAACATTCTGATGCAGATGACGCATTTACGCCACGCTGTTTACGGAAGTAAAAAAATAATAATTCTAAAGTCATCTAATATGACGTCTCTGGGCCAAAAGCAGCTGCATAAATGTGAACGTTTGACACAAAAATGAAAATATTAACAAAAACACTGATGTATGAATGGTGCTTTACCAGTAAAAAGACTAAATGCCGTTGCCTGTGTGAACAGTGCATTTTTGCATTTACCGGTAAAGTCGTTCTGGTAATTTTACAGCAATTTACTGGTACTGCTGTCTGAAAAGGGCTTATAAAGCAAGATTATCATATGACTTCAAAAGTTACTTTTAAACCTCCTAAAAATATTCAATTCTATTATCAATTTTACTATCACTATCAGCACTATGGGATGAGAACTAAAGTAGAATTGAATTGATCTGACACTATTGTCTTCTGTAGAGCGGCTGTACTGCAGATTTTGAATTTGTCTTGTATTGGATGAATTTTAAATATTTTTTGTTATTTTCCTGTTCATTACTGTTTAACAACGTCGTTTGCACTGCGCTCTTGCGTTACTTGATCTTTTTATTTTGGTGCGTCATTCTGTGGAGTTACTTAGTATAGGAAATTATGATCCGCACTCACGAGAACAATCTTCTTTTTTCTTTTATTTTACATTCATTACTGATGGGAAAAGACACAAACGTTTCGGCTTTTCAGTAATGAATGTAAAATAAAAGAAAAAAGAAGATTGTTCTCGTGAGTGCGGATCATAATTTCCTATACTAAGTAACTCCACAGAATGACGCACCAAAATAAAAAGATCAAGTAACGCAAGAGCGCAGTGCAAACGACGTTGTTAAACAGTAATGAACAGGAAAATAACAAAAAAGATTTAAAATTCATCCAATACAAGACAAATTCAAAATCTGCAGTACAGCCGCTCTACAGAAGACAATAGTGTCAGATCAATTCAATTCTACTTTAGTTCTCATCCCATAGTGCTGATAGTGATAGTAAAATTGATAATAGAATTGAATATTTTTAGGAGGTTTAAAAGTAACTTTTGAAGTCAAACGTTCACATTTATGCAGCTGCTTTTGGCCCAGAGACGTCATATTAGATGACTTTAGAATTATTATTTTTTGACTTCCGTAAACAGCGTGGCGTAAATGCGTCATCTGCATCAGAATGTTATGATTGGCCCAGTGTAGACATCTTACGTCAGGGAGTTCTGAACTTGTACGTGTTGATACCGGTAATCTCGTTCTGCATTCACACAGAGAACATCACCGGTAATTTCCCGGTAACGTTACAACTTTTCATACTGGTAAATTGGCAGAACACTTTTACCGGTATTTTTTGAAAAGGTCCTGTTCACACATGATCTCTTAACAGTAATATACTATTAATTCACCAGTTAAGACTGTATGTGTGAAGACCCTATAGTCACCTGTTACGACCCTGTCTAGGGTAAGGCTGCAACATAAACTGAAATCAACAATCAAAGATCCTTTATACATTTATTTACAGAACCACGAGGGAAAACACAACTTCAGGGGTTCTGTAAATAAATGTATAAAGGATCTTTGATTGTTGATTTCAATTTATGTTGCGGCCTTCTCCTTGACAGAGTCGAAACAGTTGGGGGCTCGTCCGGGATTTGAACCCAGGACCTCTCACACCCGAAGCGAGAATCGTACCCCTAGACTATATGAATTCATTCATTGTTTGGAAAAGAGCAGCATGGACATTCTGGTAAACATCTGCTTTTGAGTTCCACAGAACAAAGTCAGTCAGATAATTAAACATAATAAAGATAACTATTTTTTTTATTTTTGAGTACCCAAACCCTTTAATATTTCCCAGTAATTTCCACTCTTGTGTCCCGGTCACCCTCTTAGGTTCTTCTGCTGTTTCAGCTCTTAATGCACGCCTGTGCGTGGCTTAGGTGCTCTGCTATAGAACAGCATGTTCAATTCATGAAGGCAGTGTATAGTGTGAGGTTTGGAGTTCACGTAAGGCCATGGCAGGGTAAAACCTCATATCTTATTCCATCAGCTCTCAGCAATATCTGACTCACTCTTAATGTTATATGTCAGTGTTTATCTGCTAGCTGCCTGAACTCTATCAGCCTGTCTTCAATGCTGCGAGCGGCTGAATCATTACTGTTTCAGACACTAAACCCATCCTCACGCCCTGTTGACAGGTTAACCGTTCGCTGTAATCCAATTAGATCTTTTTTTGATTGTCACTTCATAAAATATTCCATTAAAACACAGCCTGCCTGTATACTGATCTAGCATCCATGCTTCCTATTTTTCTCTCTCCACACTGATCAGTGGCTAATATGAATTTGTAATAGAAAATTAAATTTGGTTATTTCATCAAGGTCAGTGGAGGGAGTGAAAGGAACAAGGATTTGGCGGTTTAAACACATTTACGTTCTAGTAAGCCATGCCTCTTGTACTGTAGGCTGTAAATGAGTTATAAAGCATAAACGCAATCGCTCACTTCTCAGTGGCCTTGCTTCTGGAAGGATTTTTCACATTGATTTTCTCTAAAAAGATTTATAAAATTCTTAAAACAAGACTTTAAGCCATTAACCAAACAGCTCTGCATTTCTAGAAAAGTCACTTTGATTTGCAAAAAAAAAAAATCTGCAAAATACTCAAATTAATTATTCATGAAGCATGTAGTAATGATAATAGTAATACACTTATAAATAGTTTTTTATTGATTAGAAATATTAAAATACTGCTTTACGTTTTTTTCTTGTAGTTGATATATGTAAATTCGATGTTTAAAGTTTTCCCCATTTATTTTCATTGCATTTTTTTACATTTATCATTTTCTGTTTATTCTCTTCTTGCCATTTTTATGTTTGTGTTACTTTATCCTCAGTGTTGTAAGATTTTATCGAATTTTATTATGTATGTACAGTATATGCAAAAAAGTTTGTTTTTAAATTTATTGCAAAACAGTCACATGTGTACAGAAACAGAAAGTCGCTGACAAACTTGTTTACATTGTAATGCTTGATTTTAGCGAGCAGTTTCTGCTGAGCTCCTTTGCCTCAGTTTGGCTTTTTCATACTAACATTGACTTCTCTGATAAACAAGTGTCTCTGTTAAACACATTCTGCATTACGCCTTTATCAGATGTTTAAATAATCGCTAACAATCTCAGAGCTCATGGTTGGTCTCTCTAAAAGGTTTATTTTTATTAAGAAAGTGAATGAGATTTTGACATCCAGCTCTCTGTTGTGCTCTTTGTGTTGATTTATTCTCTCTTTCTCATTGGTGTTTAAGTGCAACTAACATACATTCTGTTCCATTTACATTTATATTGCTGATGTGTGATCCATCAGGTCAAAAGTATTCAAGATGCCATTCGAGACAAAAAGAAGAGGTTTAACTTCATGGGCGAGGATGTGAACCTGGTCCCGTCGGTGGGCATCTTTATCACCATGAACCCAGGCTACGCCGGCAGGACTGAGTTGCCAGAAAACCTCAAGGCTCTCTTCAGGTGCGCTGCGGATTTGCATTTAATTCGGTGCCGTTTGCTTTTAAAGGGGAATTCTGCGTTTAAATATCGACATCTGCATCCTGGTTATAAGGAGATTGGATGCACCTGTGCTTCTTTATAACACAGATTTAAAACAATTTTTTGCAGTTCAAACAATAAAAAAAACTTTTTTTCCCATTAGATCTGTTTTCCTCTGTAGAGTCAGCATTCACAAACACATTTTAATTTGACCGCCTATAGTTTATTTGTGGCTGCATACTCATGAATATAATACATATTCATAAACATCAAGCTCGCAAACACAGATGAGCTGCATCCTCCAGCCAGGTGTTGTGCTCCATCAGATGAACACTTACAACTAATGCAGATTATGTTAATTACCATAAATGTTTTTCTGAAATGATATCTTTTTATTATATTATATTATATTATTATTATTCGAGTTAGTTGACATATAACTTCTAAAGTGGACTATCAAAAAGAAGTGTGAGCAACAAATGTTTTAGTGCTGGAATAAGCTGTGTGTAAATACATGTCTATGGTCGGTTACTGTATAACAGACTGTATGTAAGTGTGATAGGCCTGATCTGCATGTATGCTGCAGTTGATTCAGTCATGATGTTGTTTTGTTGTGTTTCTGCAGGCCGTGTGCAATGGTGGTACCAGATTTCGAGCTCATCTGTGAGATCATGCTGGTGGCCGAGGGTTTCCTCGAGGCTCGACTTCTGGCCAGAAAGTTCATCACTCTTTATCAGCTGTGCAAGGAGCTGCTCTCCAAACAGGTTTAGACGTCTCACACTATCACTCCAATTAAGTTAGCAGCTGTGTCACATAAAAGCTTCGACTCGTTAAGCCAGAGCAGTTTTCTCAGCCATTTGTTTATCTGTCATTGGGATTTTATTTGATTGCGATGTTATGAGACTCCCAATTGCTTTCTAATAAAAATGTTGTCAATCCCGCTATCACACTGCTGTTACTCTATAAATAGTTTTTATGTACATCTGCTACAGACTGTGAAAGTGAAAAATCAAAGACTTTATAATTAATTGATTCTAAGTCTCTCTCATTGTCGCTTTCTTCTCGTTTTTTGTCAAAAAATGTTTTTCTCAGGATCACTATTACTGGGAACATGCTAATTCATGTTAACAATGTGCTAAAACGTGTTAAAAACATGCTAATTCATGCTAGCCGTGTGCTAAACATGTTAGAAACATTGTATAATTGTGTTAAAACATGCTAGCAACATGCTGAAAATGCTAAACATTTTAGAAACACGCTTTCACAGTGCTAAACTTGCTAAAAATGCTAGCAACATGCTAATTCATGTTAGCCATGTATTGAACATGTTAGAAACATGCTAGCATAGTGTTAAACATACTAGCGACACGTTAAAAATGATAAACATGTCAGAAACATGCTAGCATAGTGTTAACATGCTAGATGCATGTTAAAATGATAAAATGCAGCATGCTAAGGGTTAGCCATGTCTGAAAACATACTAGCATATGCCAAATAATGATGAGATGCAGCTATGCGAGCAAAATGTAAAAACATGCTAGAAACATGTTAAACACGCTATCAACATATTAATTCATGTTAGCAATGTTCTAAAAGATGTTTGCCATGTGGTAAAACATGGTAGAAACATGCGAGCAACATGTTAAAAGATATTTCCAGAGTGCTAATGTTAAACATGCTATCAACATGTTAATTCATGTTAGCAATGTGCTAAAAGATGTTTGCCATGTGGTAAAACATGGTAGAAACATGCGAGCAACATGTTAAAAGATATTTCCAGAGTGCTAATGTTAAACATGCTATCAACATGTTAATTCATGTTAGCAATGTGCTAAAAGATGTTTGCCATGTGGTAAAACATGGTAGAAACATGCGAGCAACACGTTAAAAGATGTTTCCAGAGTGCTAAAATAGGCAACCAATATTATAAGTTATTACATGTTAGCACTGTGATAAATCATGCTAGCAATGCTACAACATGACAACAATGCGTTAAATCATGTTAGCAAATTGGTAAAACATGTTATAAGATGCTAGCGATATGCTAAAACATACAAGAAACATGCTAGCAATGTGCTAAAATATGTTATTTTATTGACTATCTCTATCTTCTCTGAGTAAAACCTTCAAACTTAAACCTTTTTGAAGTTATTTTAAACTTTCAGTCCCGGCTTTGTCAAGCCAACATCAAAGTTTGTTATCAAACGTTCCTCATCTAGTTATTAGTCAGTGTGTAACAGCGTTTCCGCTGCAGTAGCTGATTCCACTTTGTTATTCTGTGATTCCACTCAGTGGTTCTATGATTAGACTTAGTGATTCTCATTGTGTTCTCCCGTGTCGTCCTGTTTCAGGATCACTATGACTGGGGCCTGCGGGCCATTAAGTCAGTGCTGGTTGTGGCCGGGTCGCTGAAGAGAGGAGATCCGGGCAGAGCGGAGGATCAGGTGCTGATGAGAGCGCTGAGAGACTTTAACGTCCCTAAGATCGTGACTGACGACATGCCTGTGTTCATGGGCCTGATCGGGGACCTGTTCCCAGCGCTTGACGTGCCCCGCAAACGGGACATGGACTTTGAGAAATTCGTCAAGCAGTCCGTGCTGGATCTCAAGCTGCAGGCTGAGGACAACTTTGTGCTGAAGGTGATCTACATACTGATATACTGATCTATCTGTATATTTATTTTGGAAAACTTTTACTTCACTATATTGCATAATATCTTTTTCTCCACTTCATTTCATAAAACTATATCGTTCCTCCTTATTTCAAACTCAAGAATTCGCCGCTCCCTCTGAGATGCAAGAAAAATGTCTGATTCATGAACTAACTGATTCTTTCTAATGAACCTGCGGAATCGGTTAGTAAATCACACTGAAAGATTAATTCGCAAATCAGACTGATCCAATTGCAGCTGTTCTTGAATAAACAACTCACAGATTCAATGATCTAGTCAAAAGTGAGCGCAGTTGATGGCATGAAAAGTTATTAATGCCGAATTTTAGAATTGATTATTATAAATGAAATCTAGTGTGTTTGCACTATTTTTCACCACTAATTTTGTTTTTCCTACTTTTTAAAATACTGTATGGTATATTTTTTCAAATACTTCATCCACCACTGATTTTATGCTACATTTTTACTCAAAATTCATCCTAAATAAATAAATAAAAAATAAAATGTAAATTATTTACTATCCATTGACAAAATGTCAGTAGAATTTGGAATCGACAAAAGAGTATTAATCAACCAAGTGGACATTAATCAACAAAGTGTTTGGCCATTTTGAAATTATCAACATCGTTTGACAGTCATGACAAACGATGTCGATAATTAAAAAAATGGTCAAACTTTGGACAGCCAATGACTTAATATAGTGATTAATCAGCTAAGTGTTGCTACAGGAGTTGTGTAAGGTGTTTTGAAAGCAAGCGTCATCTCTCGCTCCAGGCTTTCTGTCCTCATCGAGGAGCGAGAAATGAAGAAGCCGATCAGAACGCTTTGAGCACTGATGGGAAATTGCTGTCGTTTCAGTCCGCTCTCATATTCCATTCCAGACAGCCTGTCAGTTTGTGCATTTTTTGGCAAAGATCTTACTCTGGTCCCTTTTGAAACTAGTATCGTTTGAGGAGAAACAAAACAACGATTTCAAAATTTACGTCTGCGGACTAGTAATCACTATTGACTTCACGTCAGTTCGTGATTGACAGACAGCCTCGAGGTTCATCAGGACTCAAAGAATCATCTACTGAACCAGTGCAGTCCTAATCGATGCCACTCTAGCATTTATTCTTCTTCGGGTTGCACATTGTCTTCCTTTTAGAGCCATAAACCTGCTGTTGTGTTTCAAGCAAATAGACATTAGTGTCAAAGCAGTCTGGAAGTGGATATATTGGACAAATCAAAGATAGCAGGAATTACAGTGTAATAGCGCCTCAGGTGCCGGAGCACAGCTCTAATTCTGAGCATTAGGATGAGCTCTGGATATCAGCCGCTGCGCTCAGCAGAGCCAGGGGAAATAAGTGCAATCTCACACAGGTCAAAGAGCCACAGAAACAACATAACAGCACTCCATCAGTAGAGGTTGACGCTCCACCGCGTGTTTAACCCCTCCACAGTGAGAGGAGAGACGCGGGTCAGCGTGCTGCGGCCCGTCTGACCGTCCGTGCTCTGATTGGCTGGAGGGCAGGTGCAAGAGGAGGAAGAGGTGCGTTCTTAAACCACATCTCTGATAGACATCAGATCAAAGCAGCAATCAGCAAACCCTCAGAGATGCCAAAGCAGCGCTGAAGAGCCCGACGGGGAGCTGCATCAATGCCATTGATTGAACATGCCATCAGATCCAAGAGGAAAATCTTGCGCTTCTGCTGCGCTTAGCTCTCAGAGGGAAGCGGCTCACTGTAAAGATGTTTATCATACTCATAATGCTCCAGCAATCATCTAATTGTGGTGTATCAACTGCGGTAAAGCTACAGTTGTAATGTGTCATTATGAAACGCTCTGTAGTATGTCTGTCAGAGTTTTAGAATAGAATTCATGTTTTTATCATCTGAAACATCTTATGACTTGTATTCTAAATCGAATAATATAATACCGTTAGAAATCAAGCATGCGTAATGTAATTTACCATAGAAATATGATGTTTATTTTTTGTTTGTATAACTGTTACAGCGCCCTTTATAGCACAATCTATATAAAAGTTGACATGTTTTTTAGAACCATATGCTGCATATGCTCACCTAGTTTCATGAAGTTTTGGGTTTTAGTTTAGGAATTATAGGCTTTTGGGTATATTTGGCCATGTCCATTTTTTAATGACCCTGTTATACGGTATCTAACCAAAGTGTAAAGTTCAAAAATGTTTTTGATAATTATTGACCTAGAGAGTCTAGAGTCTAGAGAATTGTGCCTCAGTGTTTTTTGTTTTGTTTTTTGAGGTTGAGCAGAAAACCTAGGAGTAGTTCACAAAAGTAGGTTTATCCCATAATCTCAAATACTTAACAAACAATTCGATTGACTGATGTAAAGGTGTTCAGAATGAGACGATCTATCATATGATATGAATACCATGTGTATGTGTACAAAGTTGCGAAATATTCAGTCGTTTACACGCTTGAAAAATGTGATATCGTCCCACAGTGGCTGATTTCTTTCAAATTTTCTTGAAAGTTTCGCTCTGTTTGGCCTCTCTGTTAACCCCAAGATAATAGGTGCTCGAAATTCATTGGCTGAGGCCGACCACATTTTTTGAGATACACAAACGTGCTCATAGACAGCCGTTGCACTTTGGACACAGACACTGTATGTGAACTGTCATTCCGTTGAAAAGTTATAGCTGTTTTAGGAAAAGTGGCCCCGCCTCTTTTGAACATTTTGGTGTTCATTTGCGTAGGTTCCTCTGCGTGTTCCTCTGGTTCCTTTTGGTGTTCCTAAGTTTTGTTTTGTTTTGTTTTATAATAATTCTCTGCAGATAATTTTTCTGCAATGGTTTGGTTCCGATCGGGTGAAAAACCTAGAACTAGTTTGCAAAAGTGTTTTTCAAAAACTCCAAAATAGCCAAAAATGTTCGTCTTGATGATATAAGACACTTGAGTCTATGACAAGCGCTTTAGGAGTTACAGTATGAACGATTTTGTACTTTAGATCCCTGTAGCGCCCCCGTTAGGCCAATCCAGGCAAGACTTGGTGACTTTGTGGACCGACTGTAATCTTTGAACATTTTAACAATTACAATAGGATGTCAGGGCTACGTGCTTGTACCCCTAATTATTTCATACATTTTTATCTAATATCACCTTGAGTATGATTCACTAAATACAGTATAACTGACTCATTAGCGAATCACACTGCTCAGACTGCTCCTTATGTGTTCGATTTGCTAAGAAGAGCAAACCTTATTAATTTGTGCTGTATATTCAGTTCTGTCTGGTGATGCTAGTGGTGCAGACACTACAAACTTTGCCTTTAAACACATCAAATGTTTGAATTGTAATGTTTCCCTAGTAGTATTCAGTCTTCACTGTAGGAAACAGAGAACTGTTTCGCATGTGCATTATTAAAACAATACCACAGTGACAGACTGACCGCTCCTGCGGTACTGCAGATGCACCCGGCCCGTTCCCAAAACTGAACTCACACACAGCTTCACTGTCTGCCTGTTTGCCAGAGGTGCCATTAAACAGCACAGGGAAGAGACTTCTCGAACTTTTTGTTGGTTTTGTTTTGGAATGTTTGGCGTGAAGTCACAGCGGTGCTAAAAACCACTAGATACTTTGACAGGCCGGATCTGCTGAAACTGCTTTTAGCCAGCCCTGCTAGTTTGTCTCTCCTGTGAGCGCTTTATAGCAGAAACACTGAAACGGTCGTGTTCTGAGTGTGATGTGTGTCTGTGTCTCAGGTGGTCCAGCTGGAGGAGCTGCTGGCTGTCCGTCACTCCGTGTTTGTGGTGGGAAACGCCGGCACCGGCAAATCCCAGGTCCTCAAGTCTCTCCACAAGACGTATCAGAATATGAAGCGAAGGGCCATGTGGGCCGACCTCAACCCCAAAGCAGTCACAAACGACGAGCTGTTCGGCATTATAAACCCAGCCACGCGCGAGTGGAAGGACGGTGAGGGCCGCTGCCATTTCCAGTGCTTCCATCACAGCCCAATGCCAGACTCAACACGTGTGCTTTTCCCCCGCAGGCCTGTTTTCTAATATTATGCGTGAGCTGGCCAACATCAGTCACACTGGGCCCAAGTGGATTGTCCTGGATGGTGATATCGATCCGATGTGGATTGAGTCGCTGAACACAGTAATGGATGATAACAAGGTAAAGCCGAGACAGCCAGAACTCCAGCTCAATATCAGCTTTCGCACGCAGCATTCAGATATCTTTATGAAAGAGAGCGCATGAAACCAGCCTCACCTTTATGTGACCTTTCGCTGAGATGACAGCCTCACCTTTATGTGACCTTTCGCTGAGATGACACGTGTGTGTGTGTATGTGTATGTGTGTGTGTGTGTGTGTGTGTGTGTGTGTGTGTGTGTGTGTGTGTGTCTAGGTGCTGACTTTAGCCAGTAATGAGAGGATTCCTCTGAACCCGAGCATGAGGCTGGTGTTTGAGATCAGTCACCTCCGCACCGCCACTCCAGCCACCGTCTCCAGAGCCGGTTAGTGCTCACACTAACTAACTAACAGTAATGATGCTGCTGATGTTACAGGGTGTTAAAACACTGCTTTCCCAATAATGAGATTTTTTTTTTTTGTTAATCTAGCTTTTTTATTTGTATTTTTATTTTAAACATCTCTGTTTGATGTAATATAGTGTTGCGTGGGTACTAATCAGACACAGTCATCTAAAAATCCACCCTCATATGCCATATGGAGCATTAGGAATCAGATGAAATTTAATAAAATGAGTCACAGATTCTTGCATGTCTTGCATGCTTTATTATTTTTTGTAGTGATGCAATGTACAAAATAATATAAGAATATACATATTTTTTAACATTAATGTTTTAGTTATTATTATTGATTAATACATTTTATTTTTTTGAATATTTTAATTTATTAAAAATACCTGTATTATAAATATAAAATGTAGTTTTAGTTAATTATGATCATTTTTATGTTTGTTTGTTTTTGTGGTATTAAGTGTACAGGGTTAAAATTCAGTGTAATATGTTCAAATGCTTATTTATATTTAAAAAAAATGTCATTTATTATCATTATTGTTATAATTTTTTTTTGCAGATACTTTAATCCAAAGCAATTTAAATTGTATTTAAGATGGACATTTTATTTTAGATTTCAGCTCTTGCTTTCTCTGGGAATCGAACTCATGACCTTGGTATTGCTAGCACCATTCTCTACTATTTGATCTACAGGATATTTTTGTACTGTAATCGACGTCTGAGCGTAGTTATAGCTAAAATGTAGTAATGCACAGTTTATTGAAGCAAACTACTTTTAAAAGGGTACCTTGACTTTGCGGTCAAACAATCACCTCAATTTGAAGCTACAAATTAAAGACTAAAATTTTGTTAAAAACTACAAACTTCCACAACACTTCCTAGTCTGCATCACACTGAGCCAATAAATAACGCCCTGAATGAGATCCAGAACTTTTAATCTCATTATTTTACTGCTGTGTCTCCAAACAGGTATTTTGTACATCAACCCTGCGGATTTAGGCTGGAATCCTCCTGTGTCCAGCTGGATTGACGGGAGGGAAGTCCAGTCAGAGAAAGCCAATCTGACCATTCTGTTTGACAAGTACCTCCCATCATGCCTCGACACGCTCAGGTCAAGGTAGAGTCGTGAATGATTCTTGTCGTGACCATATCCGTCCAGTTAAAAATCACGTGCCATTTCTGAATTCTGATCGTAAACACTTGGCTCGTTAATATTAATTATAGCTCCCATAACAGAGAGTTCTAAGATTAAGCAATGTCAGCATGAACAAATTAATATTCATGAGCTTTCGACGTGCTTCATGCAGCCTTTACTAGTCTTATTTTAGTATCACTGAGATGCTGTTACAGTTTTTATTCATTTTTATTATTTTAGTACATCAAGTTAAACTAAATGTAAACTATATGAATGATGTTGCCAACTAGCTCAAATAAATACTTTTTAAGGTTTTGTTTATTTATTTTATTTCAAGCAACAAAAATGTTCTTTTTATGGATTTAGTTCAAACTATAATAACTCTTCATATAATTTTCATGTAAACCAAACCCAAATTAACATGACCAGAGAGGAAAACATTACAATGACAAACATGCCAGACCATTTCCAATCAGCAGCACAAACAAAAACCAGTCTACGTCAGTCTGGCTCAGTTTACTCTACAGTCACGTTACAGCCGCAGAAAAACAGTGAAGAAATGTTCTCTAACAACATCATTCAGACGATATTGACCTGCTGGTGCGCGATTTTGTCCTCTCTTTACAGTACGACACCGCCAAACTCTTCAGTCAGTATTTATTCACTGAAGTCAGTTTTAATTTGACTTTGAAGAACTCTTTCTGTCTTTGTGAGGGTGAATAAATTTAAGTTTCAGAAAATGCAGCTAGAGCCAAATGTGTATTTTGAAATGTAAATCAGGTGTCTGTGTGTGTTTGTGCTGCTTTCTGTCCTGCTCCAGATTTAAGAAGATCATCCCGGTTCCTGAGCAGAGTATGGTCCAGATGCTCTGCTTCCTCCTGGAATGTCTCCTGATCCCAGAACACACCCCTCCAGACAGCCATAAGGATCTCTACGAGCTCTATTTTGTCTTCGCAGCCATCTGGGCCTTCGGAGGAACCATGTTCCAGGATCAGGTGGATCTGATGTGACTAAACTACCGACTGAGCCTTAAAGTCACACACACAAACAGCTGTGTATTCTCATTTCCACATGATTTCATCATGAATAATGGCTGTTTTTGTAATGCGTGTGTGTGTGTTTCGCTGCAGCTGGTGGATTACAGGGTGGAGTTCAGTAAGTGGTGGGTGACAGAGTTCAAAACCGTCAAGTTTCCGGCTCAAGGAACTGTATTCGATTACTACATCGATCCTGAAAGCAAAAAATTTGAGCCCTGGTCAAAAATGATTCCCAAATTTGTGATGGATCCTGACATCCCTCTTCAGGTGGGTACTGATGTGTTTGTGTTTGTAGTTCTACAAAGTGTTTATTAACCAAGGACAGCAGTCTGACAACACTTGCACTGTAAATAATACAATGCTGACTATACTACATGTGCAGCTATGACGTCTACATAGTCCTCACATGAAAGCAGTGTTACTTCAGTCTTTTTTTTTTCAATAAAACTGGACAAAATGGTAAACGGTGACCATAAAAATGCTAAAGTAATAATGGTTAACTAATAAAGTTTAATAAAGCAAAATAGAACGATGATGATAAATAAAACATACAAATACTAGAATCATAAAATTCCAAGATACTATATAAAAGCCAGACAAAATAGTTGGATTACCAGTGTTATTTTATGTGTACACTCACTGGCCACTTTATTAGGTACACCTTGCTAGTACCGGGTTGGACCCCCTTTTGCCTTCAGAACTGCCTTAATTCTTCGTGGCATAGATTCAACAAGGTGTTGGAAACATTCCTCAGAGATTTTGGTCCATATTGACATGATAGCATCACGCAATTATTTGAGTTACTGTTGCCTTTCTATCATCTCGAACCAGTCTGCCCATTCTCCTCTGACCTCGTGAAAATCCCAGTAGATCAGCAGTTTTTGAAATACTCAGACCAGCCCGTCTGGCACCAACAACCATTCCACGTTCAAAGTCCCTTAAATCCCCTTTCTTCCCCATTCTGATGCTCGGTTTGAACTTCAGCAAGTCTGTTTCCTCATGTCATTTCCAATATATATATACGTATATTTATATTTGAAATAAATAGAAATGAAAATTAAATATATATTATTTAATTCATTCATTCATTTATTTTCATTTTAAATTTATTTTATTTTCAATTCCAGCTGGCATATATTTTGTTCCAGATTAATAGGGCTGTCCCTGACTAAAAATTTTTCTGGTCGACTAGTAGTCAATCATTTTAAGCATTAGTCGACTGATCGCACATTTATTAATAAACCATTTAAATCATAATACCGAGACTTTAATTGCCTTCATAGCCTAATAAGCACTCAAGCACATGCATAAAATTTGCCACAGCGCACCGACAGAAGTAATGATTATGAATGTGTCAGGGAAAAACAGTAAGGAGGCTGCATTAACATTTTAATAATTCATTGATAAACTAGTGCTTTTTTGTTTTCGGTTTAAGAGATGACATAATCTGAGAATATGAATCTATTAATCGTAATCTATAGATATATTTTTCTGTGTCTGTAAGGCAAAGATATACACTGAGTATCGCGCTCAAGTTCACAGAGACTGAGACGGCAGAAAGCGCATCCTGTTTCATTATTTTACAAAAGCACAATGTTTTGTTGTTATTGTGAGTGCACACAAATAAACGTAGGGTCTTTACAGATTTGAAAGATGTATTATTCTTATCTGTATGACCAAATATGTGTATTTTAATGGGCAAGTGAGCACTCCGGCGCCTCCATCTGTCCTGCAGTGAATGCTACTGTTCAGCTTCCACACTCCACACAGACACTTCAATAGCGGACATTTCTCTAGGTTAACATTAGATTGAGCGGCCATGTAAAATTGCTAATACTTACATATTTCAGTTGATAAGCTATATTTGAGGTAGATGAATGATCGAGCGTTTGGATGTTCAAGATGTATTACCATAGACTAGCTCTTAACGATTTGTCCGTCACGGATTGCTTGACTTCGCATGTGGATTTTTTTTTTCCTCCGATTTAGGCTCAATCCCAATTCTATTTTATACCCCTTCCCCTTCCCCTACCCATCCGCCTACCCCTTCCCCTTGTCCCTTGAAACAGAGTGTCAAGGGGTAGGGGTGAAAATATTCCCCTAAGAATTGGGACACCACTACTATGCTGTCACACGTCATCATAAGTCGTCTAGCTCCTACAATACACACACCTATGCTGGTGTGCTGGTGTGGATCAGACTTTTATTAATAACAGTGTAAATACTGAATCGCTACATTATATTTTCCAGCAACGAGAGGATAAAATCGCTGTTTTTTTTAAGTAAACCCACTCTAAAAAGAGAAACGCACAGACACGCATACACGCAACTTTCATTTCTCTCTCTCTCTCTCTCTCTCTCTCTCTCTCGAATTGGCAAAAATGAAAAGAAAAGGGTTTAGCGATTTCTAATTATTGGGGGGACTAGCCATCAATGTCTACGGTGGTTATCGCCCTGATCAGACATGAAAATATGTTGTGGCACTCTCGTGCAGTCTATAATGATATGACGTTAGTTAGCAAATATTATCTTTGAGTAACATGACTGTAAATATGAACTCACAATTGAATGTAACATAAAACAAATGATTACTTTTCGTTAAAATCTTTATTAATGCCAAAAATGCTTACATTTATGTGTCTTTTTGTTCGCTCGGCATGTTGCCCCTGAAGCCGGTTTACGCTGAGATAATTCATACCCCTTCGTTTGAAGTGTGGTCCCGAAAAATCTTCATTTGAAGGGCTGTCTGGCCCTTCCCCTACCCCTACCCCTCCAACCAAAAGAGAATTGAGACACCAACAGAAAGGGGAAGGGCTAAGGGGTAGAATTGGGATTGGGCCTTAGTGACTAATAATATTTTGGTCGACCAAGCCTCTTCTGGTAACTAACGGTTAGTCGACTATTAGGGGGAGCCCTACAGATTAACAAGCGCTTTTTTAATGGTTTCGGTTTTAGTTTCTAATTAGGTTTTTAAGTAGATGTAATTATCCATCATTCCATACCATATTTTTATTCATCTTTTAATATATTGAATGAATTATTTATGCGTATTTATTTATTAGTCTCAATTTGTCTACTGTCTGGGATGTTTTTTGTCTTGTGATGCACTGTTATCTTATGCAGAAAAAGATGCTGTACACATGACGCTCCTTAGAATTTGGCAACATCAAGTGATCTTGAATCTGGCTCACAATGCTGCATACACAAGCAGCTCATGATGGCCATCACATCAGTGGTCATCTCTGAAAGTTGTTGAGTTATGAAGGTCATTGAGTTTGTGTCCTGCAGGCCTGCCTGGTCCACACCACAGAGACCATCCGTGTGCGCTACTTCATGGACAGTCTGTTGGAGAGGAGGCGTCCGGTCATGCTGGTGGGCAACGCCGGCACCGGAAAATCTGTTCTGGTGGGAGACAAACTGGGTTCTTTAGACCCGGAGAAATACGCCATCAAAAACGTACCCTTCAACTATTACACCACATCAGCCATGTTACAGGGTGTGTGTGTGGTTTTTTTTCTTCAGAAAAATTATGTCTCTGCTTTCTTTCATTAGACCCTGAACGCAGAAGTGCAACTTCAAGCCCTTTTGACAGTGACAGATTCTTGTGATCTAAAGCAAACACCCATGCCACATTCCTCCCAGCATCAGCTGTTTTTGTCCTGTTGTCCTCCGCTGTCTTTGCAATCTGTTGGTTTGATATTTATCACTCTGCAGCATGTTTAGCCATGTGTCCGTTCACTCACACGCATTACAATCATAATCACATACTATAGCCTTAGTTTATTAATACATATGCTTTAGTATAATTAAAGACTAGGGTGCACAATAAGGCCTGGAATTGTAAAAAAATAATAATAATAAATAAATAAACTTTCTGCAGCATGTTTAGCCATGTGTCCGTTCACTCACACGCATTACAATCATAATCACATACTATAGTCTTAGTTTATTAATACATATGCTTTACTATAACTAAAGACTAGGGTGCAAAATAAGGCCTGGAATTGTAAAAAAAATACAAAAATAAACTTTATTTTCATTATTATTTTTATTATGTAAAAATATGATATAATTTATATTACATAGTAATAATTTTTATAGCTGTTTCATTTTTTTATTTTATATGAACTTTGCGATCTTTATTGTACTTCGTTTTGATGTTTATATGGTGATTGCTAGAAAAAATACAAAATATTTTATGTATATATATATTTTTATATATATATATATATATATATATATATATATATATATAAGCATTTAAATGGGTATCGTGGGTAACTGGGTTGCAAGTTGTAAAGTTACAAATTAAGTTTTAACTCAGTAGGAGCTAGTTAGTTTTAAATAAATAACATGATTGACTACAGTTTGTGTTCAAAATTAGAAAAATACAATGTTTTTTTTTTTTTCTTTTCTGATCATGCTGTAGAAGGGTTCCAATCTTATTTCTCGGGAGTCAGTTAAAAGATGTTACATTTGAAATATTACTAAAATGAATGTAATTAAAGCAAACAAAGTTAAAATAGCTTTTGCACACTGAGCTGAATATCATTTCAACAGATTGTTAAAAATATGAGTTGTCAAAAACAGTTTTAATGTGCTGATACAGACATTAAATGATAATATTGTTAGATAGTACTTTATAATAACAAAACAGTAGCTGATTCAGAAGCACCAGATTGTCATAGCAAAATCTGAATTATTTTTGTTCAACCCCTTGTATTAAAGCTTAAAGTCTGCACTTTAATTTCATTTTAATTCTATTCTGGTGGCATACAGAGCTGAAATTCAGAAAATTGTGTCAGTGTCCAAATATACAGTATATGGACCTAACTGTGTACTGGTTGAGATGGTCCGCTTGCAGGGCCGTCCCTGCAGGCGTTGTGTCTGCTGTTGGTTTGCAGAGTCTCTGGTGTGTCTGTTAGACCTGAGATGAGCTGAAGTCAGTGCATCTGTGGGCCACAGTGGCTTTAGCGCAGACGCGCCGTGAATACAGAGCGTGTTTGTGTGTGGCTGACGAACGCCGTGTCCTCTCAGGTACGACAGGAGCAAGCTGCAGCTGAAGGAGATTCACAATGTGCAGTACGTGTCCTGCATGAACCCGACGGCTGGCAGCTTCACCATCAACCCTCGCCTGCAGGTACTGATATCAGAGAGATTCTACAGCACAGCCTGTCTGACACAGAGCTCGCTGTCACTTCATAAATACACACACGTGTTTGTTTCGCTATTACTTCCATTGATTTTCTATCAGGTGAATGATATTTTCTATCACCTAACCCCACCCATAAACTTACCCATCACAGAAACATATGCAAAATAAAGCAATAAGCCTCAAGAAGCAGTGGTTTACAGTAAATTTATAACTCCGCTTCGCGTCATGCCTAACAACGCCCCTTAGCTGTTATAAATTCACTGTAAACTACGGCTTCACGGGGCTTATTGCTTTTATAAAACGGTTATTCCATATACGTAGTAAGGTTTCACAGAATAAAACAGTAAATAAAGTGTAATGATATTAATAAAAAACAGTATTCTTCCACCAAACAATGTAGTTCCTCAGAAACAATTGTGGTTCCAACAAAGTGGTAGCTGAGCAACACACAGAAGTAAACAAAGGTGTATGTTTGTAGTGTAATTTACAACAGCTTCGAACGTGGCTCAACCAATCAGAATCAAGGACCGGAACTATCCGGTTTATAACACTAGATTTACATAAAACATGTTTTGGCTGATTTATATACCTTTAGTAGTAGGAACCAGTAAAATGTACTCACTAGTGGGTTGTCAGAGTATTTTACAATATACTGTAAGGGTGATGATAAACGGGGCAACTTTTTGAGCAATGTTGCTTGGGCATTTTCCCACTGAGAATGGGAAACAAATTTCTATGGATACTTTAGCTCAGTTGTGGGCCCTGTGTCTCACCTAGTTGCCTATTGACGGCAACATTGCTCAAAAAGTTGCCCCGTGTATCATCAGCCTAAGTGAGAACATTTGGTCCTCACAAGTCACACATATACACACTGCTGTTTAGAAGTTAATTAAAAAACTATACTGTTAGATTTACATGATAGGAGTCATAAGAAATTTACACTACTGATCAGATGTTTGGACGATTTTTTTATATATATATGTTTATTCAGCAATGTTACATTATATTTATTAAAAACAAAAAAAAATTATATTACAAATAAATGTTGTTCTTTTTAGACTTGCCACGATATACGGTGCTGACGGTGATACCGGTGTTAAGCCGCAACACCGGTTACGTCACTTGCCCACCGCGGCACCGGCCCCCACCGTCGTTTTGATTTTATATAGTAATAAAAATCATTTAGTTCAGTAAAAGAATAGACACTACAATTAAAAACTGAACACGGCTGCTCAATGCAGCGTGCCGAACGACAGTCGCATCACAGATCAGATTTCATTTCTCCAGTGAGTCGAGCTGACTGACAAGAAGAGTGAGGTGAGACAGACAAGACGATCGCGGATGATTTCGTTTCGAAACGAGATGCAATGTCCTACGTTGAACAAATGTTCTACGTTTCTTATTTATTTGGTTATATATTATACATGTTTACTTAGCCTATTTCCAGTTTTGTATTCCTATTTAAACTTCATGTAAGTTATTTTTTATTTTATATTAGGCATAGCCTGCCCTATAGCATGGTGTATTTTTATTTGTTTTGTTATTAAAAAATTCAATGTTTTATACATAGGCTAAAGTCAGTTTGACGTTGTATTTTGTTGTTGCATTCAAGCAATTGACGCCGAATTGCCGCTAATTCGAAAAGCTATTTAAAGTTATTTAAAAGCGAGGAAAAGAGAGAAAATTCAAACGAACTAAAAACGAACAATTGCTTTACGCCGAATTGCCGCTATTTGAAAGTGAAAGTAAAATGCGCACTCGGTACGCCGCTTTTACAAGCTATTTAAAAGCTAAGGAAAGCGAGGAAAAGAGGGAACGCCTCCTCGCCCTCGCCCCCACGGTGATACCGGTATTACCGGTGCTGTCACACGTCAATTAACCGGTGGGAAAATTTCCTCACCGTCACAACCCTAGTTCTTTTGAACTTTCAGTTTATCAAAGAATCCTGAAAAATAAAATGTATCACGGTTTCCACAAAAATATTCAGCAGTAGAACTGTTTTCAACACTGATAATCAGAAATGTTTGTTGAGCAGCAAATAAGCATATTAGAATGATTTCTGAAGGATCATGTGACACTGAAGACTGGAAAATTCAGCTTTGATCACAGGAATAAATTACATTTTACAGTATATTCAGAAAATAGCTATTTTAAACTGTAATAATATTTTGCAGTATTACTGTATTTTTATTTAAATACATGCAGCCTTGGTGAATATAAAAGACTTCTGTTCAGTACAGTTCACCCAAAGTTGAAATTTTTGTCATCATCATCCAAACTTGCATGAGTGTTTTCTGCTGAACACATATTTTGAAGAATGTTGGGAATCAAACATGATACACAACGTATAATTGTATGTTGTAGATGTATGATATAATATGAGCTGTTGAAACGGAAGCGTGTGGTTTAATGTGAAGCTGTTGAACGATTGGTTTATTTCAGAGGCATTTCTCGGTGTTTGCGCTCTCGTTTCCCGGTGTGGACGCTCTGAACACCATCTACTGCAGCATCTTGAGTCAGCATCTGCGCGGCGAGGGATTCCCAGCCGTTCTGCAGAAGAGCTGCTCTCAGCTGGTTCAGCTGGCCCTGGCCTTCCATCAGCGCGTCACCGCAACCTTCCTGCCCACCGCCATCAAGTTCCACTACATCTTCAACCTGCGTGACCTCTCCAACATATTCCAGGTACTCCGATCACACTCCAGCAGACTCCAGTTGTGATCTTTCAGTGATAAACCATTAATCCTGGCAATCAGTGTGAGGAAATGACTTACCTGCTGTTCCGTCTCGCTCTTTTCAGCTGGAGAAAGTTTTATGATCTGGTCTGTGTCTATAATTAATTCCCCCATAGATTTTTTTAAATGTGCACATTCTGACAAAGGCATAAATTGACTTTTAATTAATGCATACAATTGATTTTTTTCTTCTAACTAGCAGACGCACTTGTGGTCACATTTAAATCCACTCCATTCTCAACCTAATTAAGGAAGTCAACATCATTATCCAGATGCATAAACAGTTCAGTCCGTCCACCTTTTAAGTGCGGCTCTGCTGTCCCAGTTCTTGTTATTGTGCTGGATTAGACAAACGGCTTTACTGAGCCCCGTTTCCTCGCTTTAGCGATGATGAAAGCTGGAAAAGAAGAGAATAGCCTCTGAAGCTCCACTCATTGTTGTGGGTGCAGTCGGAGTAATGAAGCGAAATGAGAGCGGGAGAAAGGAGCAGATGAGACGCAGCTGAAGGAACATTTGAAGTGCGGCCCTTAGTTCTGCCTTACTAATTCAGCTCACAGCTCAGCTGCCGGAGAACAGAGGCACACCACTGCCTCGTACAGCGGATCTCACGACACGTTCCCTCTGAGCTTTCCATAAGGCTTCGTCTGCAGCTCTATCTTGACTGCATGTTCGGTGTTTCTGTTGAATCGAGACAGCGGCGATTGCTGGTTATTTCTCGGACCTCTTTAATTGGTTGGCGATACAGAGCATTTAAAGTCTCCTGTTACACCGAGAGGGCCCCAAAGGCGCAATCTTATCCAATTTGCTTTTGTGAACTCGTTTAAAAAAAATTAAAAGGCAGCCTGTTCGCCCCACAGCCAAGAAATAGTTTCCCATTTTAAAAAAGTTTGGTGGAAAACGTTTTTTTTTTAGATGCTGCCGGTAGGTACTTTATTTCAGCGTGGTGATTGACGTGAAGTCATTAATTTATAGCCCGGGTGTGAGGAAATGCTCGGATAATTAGGCTCCGTTGAGGACTGGATGGGAAGCACTGCCGTATGTCATCAGAATGGAGTTCCTGAGGCGCTGTCCGGCCGTGACTGGACCTGTATCTCACTGAGCAGCGATGGGCCATCGGTTTGATTTATTTGTTTTCAAAGGAGGCTCATCGCTGTGGAAATGGCATCTGAAGAGCCGCGTATGTGACTGAGATTCACTGCAGTGCAGGAGTGCAGAATAATGAACTGCAGCAGCAGCAGGTTCAGCTTTATGGAGCATTTACAGCTTTAGAATTTAATCAATTCATCTGAATTGGGGTGTTTTGGGTAGTTTCCCTCTCTGCCTTTTTTATTATTAAATTAACTTTTATTTTTGTTCTATGTCTTGTTGGCAACTTTGTCTGAAACATTGTTTATTTATTTTTTACTTTTAAAAGCCTACTATGTATGGATTTTCATACTCTTATCCCAGGCTTTTAGTCATAAAAACTGTTAAAACAAAGAGTGATTAACAATAATAAGTCTATATATAAAAATTAGTAAGTACATATGAATAAAATAATACATTTAAGACAAACAAACAATTTCTATAGTACATATTCACAGTATATTTTGTGAAATATTTTTATATCAGTCTTTACAAAAATTACAACAGGAAACCATTTGTGTATATTATTTTTACATTTTCATATTTGCACTGTAACCACAGAGTGTGATGAAATGCACTGTCTAATTTTACATGTGGAAATGTGGTTCAGAAAAAAAAAAGATTGAGAATGTGCAAAGTTTGTTTTAAGGTCGTTTATATTCTGAGATTTGTAATAGCCAAAAATACATTGTATGGGTCAAAATTATAGATTTTTCTTATAATATTCTTTCCAAAAATCATTAGGATATATTAAGTAAAGATCATGTTCCATGAAGATATTTGTAAATTTCCTACCGAAAATATATCAAAACTTCATTTTTGATTGGTAATATGCATTGCTAAGGACTTCATTTGGACAACTTTAAAGGTGATTTTCTCAGTATTTCGATTTTTTTCAGATTCCAGATTTTCAAATAGTTGTATCTCGGCCAAATATTGTCCTATCATAGCTTATTTATTCAGCTTTCAGATTATTAATTTTGAAAAATTGACACTTAAGACCAGGGTGGTCTTGTGGTCCAGGGTCACAAATATGGAATAGCAGGTTTGCTGGATGGTCGATTAGTATTCAATAGACATGTCTAAAATAGACATGTTTATTGCAGTTTTAATGATTATTAGTTTGATTCAAAACTTAAATGGTTATACTTTGTTTCGAGAGCTTTTATGTAGCTTTAACAGAGGAAGAAAGCATCTAAAAGTGGTGTGTTCAGACAGGTCTGTGCTAGAATAGAGCTCATTCTCCAGTGATGAAGAGCTGTAGCAAAGTCAGCGGAGCTCCGGAGTGTCAGAATAAAAGCTGAGGAGAAATCAGACAGATGCTTGCTGTAAATCCAGTGTCAGACACTCTTTGGAGCGGTGTATGGACTCCGGGTCAGACCTTACAGCCGAGAGGCTGTTTATCCTTCCTCCTGATGGTTAATCAATATGAATTTGAGTTCTGGATCACACCAGATGATGCTTTCAGGGATCCATTCGAGCATGCAGGATGACTACTGGTTTTACCCAAGGTTCCCGGGTCAATTTTTTGATCGATCTTCTTATTTTGGACATTGATGATAGTGTCTCGGTCACTTTTAAAGACCTGTAGCAGTGTAGTGTTCTGTAGTACATCGACACAAAGGGTGTCAATGTTTTATAATGATGAAATTTAAAAACTACGCCTGTTCTGGTGCCTGAAATCCCTCTTAGTCTCTTTAGACGACTGTAGAGTTCAAAGTGGTGCAATATATGGTATTAGACGGATCAGTTGTAGTTCTTTCCCAAAATCACTGGTGGTCAAAAATCAATGGTTTGTTCTTCTCTCTTTTCACTCCAACAGTTCAGTGTTTTTGAGCATCTTTCTCCGTTGAATTGTAATGATATCTGCACTTTTATGCTTTTGTTTTATTGTTTTGCCACAGAGATGCATACAAAAATGTTACGCAGTAGTTTGACATTTGAAATATCTGGAGAAAAAATAACCCTGTTATTGCGGTTTGTCCGTTTGATTTCAGGGCATCCTGTTTTGCACCAGCGAGTGTCTGAAGACTTCTCAGGACCTGGTGAAGATCTTCCTTCACGAGTCCAACCGGGTTTACCGCGACAAGATGGTGGAAGACAAAGATTTCGACATCTTTGACAAGCTGCAGTCAGAAACGGTGAAAAAGTCCTACGAGGTGAGAGTTTGTTTGACTGGATAGAGTCATTAAAGGCCAATGCTAATCAGAGCAAAACCCTGCCAGTCCAGCAAATTGGGGAAAAAATGATTTCTGCTGTTTTTCTCTCCACGACCTATGGGATTAGATCTCTGCCACAATTCTGCATGCAAAAGATCATATTTTCATATATCATATATGATCATATATCATATCCTGCATGTGCGTGAACTGAGGCATATTGTAACGCTGGGTTGTGTTGAGCAAGCCAGCCATCGGCATTTAGAGAGCACTGAGGGCGGGCATCAAGGGAACAAGCTAGTGAAACGTTGCACGTGCAAAAGAGAAGGTCTGCACACATCCAAAAACTTATTTTAAATGCAAAATAGATTGTAGTGTGCTCAAAATACTTTCTTCTTTGTGAGACGAACATTTTCTCCACAAAACTCAGATCGCGCGTGTGCACTATAGGGCTGTCAAAATTTTTTTCAGAATATTCGTCGAATTAAAAAAAAAATCCACATTTGAATGCAAAAACGTTGCATTCGAATTTTAGGTCTGCGTCAGCCGTCAGGCAGCCTATCAGTGGCACACAAAATGCGACGAAGATGTAAGTGTCATTGCATTTTTATGCTTTTGTTAGCCTATCCGTTGAACCCACTAGATGCGGCGCTGCTACGTTGTTGATTCAATATATTGCGGAAAACGAGAGCATCAGTGTGGAGAAGATGTTGTTTACGTCAAAACTGAAACCAAGCCGTTCACACAGAACGCATATTTATCACATTTTCTAGAGGGACAACTGTCAGAGTTGCACTCGCGTCTGGCACAAGAGAGCGGCATGTTTAGAAAGCCATGTAAAATTAATGTAAGTTCAACTTTTAAAAAACATGTCTCTAGACTTGATGATGGTTTTTCACCATCCCACTGTATCTCATGTTTTTAAATGAAGAAAGTAGCCTACTCTTTGTGATTGGTTTTCGGTCCTTTGTATTAAACTATACATGCATGCATGGTGCTGTTTTTTTCCCTTCTAATGGTTTAAGCAACTTTATTAATTATATATGGTTTATAAACATTATTTAAAAATTTTTTTTCAAAGATAGTCGTGTTATTTTATTACGCTTTGAAGAAACGTGCATAATATTTTGCACGATGCGCCCTCTTGTGGCCTCATGAGAGAAGCCAAAAGCTTTTTTTCCCCTAACTGAAATTATGCCTTTATAATTCGAATATAATTCGAATTTTGATCATATTTAAGTGGAAAATTCGAATTGAGATTTTCAGTCATTTTGACAGTCCTAGTGCTCAAAATATGATCTTTCGTGCGCAGAATTGTGGCAGAGATCTAACCCCATAACGGTCCCGCACCTCCTGAGGCTTATGAGCGAACGCTCTGCAGGAAAGTGAAGGAGAGAAATCGCACTCTCCTTCTTCACCTCTGCTCGCCTTTAAAGCAACATCTAATCACCTGAACTACACATACGTGTTGATCGACACATGAAATACACCGATTTCCGTTGGTTTTGGAGAGGAAAAGGTCTCCGACCGCTATGAATTCTCAGGGAGGCGATCGTTTGATTTACATGAGCTCCTTCCCAAGGCAGCAGCGCTCAACCTTAGTTATTCACCTTTTAATATTTCATGGAGTTTTAAGGCTGCTTTTTATTCCCACCAGGATATGGAGGAGACACTAGAGGAGACCAGAGCCATGAATATGTACTGCCATTTCGCCACGGGCATCGGTGAACCCAAATACATGGTGGTGCAGTCCTGGGGGAGCCTGAACAAGACCCTGCTGGAAGCTCTTGACGGCTACAATGAAGTCAACGCGGCTATAAACCTTGTTCTGTTCGAGGATGCCATGTCTCATATGTAAGAGAGCCAGAAAGAGCTTCTGCTGATGGATGAACATCTGGGCACTACTTTAGACTGTGCAACGTATACCAGAAAACGGGATCAGTTATGATAATGTACTATACAGCTAAACATGCTAAAACCCTCTGAGAAAGTGTGATATCAACTTAACGAAAGTTATTATGTATCTATAAATTTTCCCTTTTTATTTCACACTCAAACGCATTTAGATGGATCTCTTTGGCACGTCTTGTGTTGTTTTTAAACGTCCGTGTTTCCCACAGACTTAAACTCTATTTATGGTGGCACTTTCACCGGGGGAATTTAATTTATAACTTTGATATGATAACAATATCGATATTCTATACCATTTTTGATACCACAGAGAAAAACTGCCACAACTTTAAGGGCATATAATTGTATTGAAAGATAAATATAACAAGGTAAGAACATAACAATGAGGTATATATTTACGTTAATGAAAACAACTTGAGGTGGTAAAACACTGGATTTGCATATGTTTACTTCAAATTTCTTTACAGAGAAGTATTATTTTTCCTACTTTTACCCAAAATAGGTTGGTGATAATATATATATATATATATATATAAATAAATGGATTAATACATTCTGAATAAAAGTTTTTTAATTTAATAAGAATGTTTAAAATAAAAAACCTGAAACCAATATAATTACAACATCTTCCTTAAAACCAATTAATTGACTAGCAACCCACCAACTAATTGATTTTTTAATTATGTACATGCAGTTTTGCATCCAAACCAAATCACTGGTGATATCTGGCTTTTGTGCCGATTCTAAACTCTACTGACCGAATAATAAACAAATTTGCTTTCAGGTTTTTTAGTGAGTTGGATTGTCCTGATATGTATTAATCAGCATTAAACACACTATATAATAAATGCTGTCCATTGATAAACCAGTCAGCTAATCTTAGCGGTTGATTTTTCAGGACAAACCTTTTCATGGAGTTAGGCATTACTCAGCAGGATGAAGTTTGATTCTTCCTCCGCATGACTATTTGATCTCCTTAACCCTTCTGACCCTCGTCTCTCCTGCTTCAGCTGCCGTATCAATCGGATCCTGGAGTCTCCGCGGGGAAATGCTCTGCTGGTCGGGGTGGGCGGCAGCGGGAAGCAGAGCCTGACCAGGCTGGCGGCGTTCATCAGCTCCCTGGAGGTCTTTCAGATCACGCTGAAGAAAGGATACGGCATCCCTGATCTCAAGGTTGGCTCTGTTTATTAGCCTGAACCAAAACAAAACATGCTTGCAGAGCAGCTTCCATTGCTCAGAATCACACTGAATCTCCACTGAAACCGCTTGCTGTTTGCCCTATCAAATATTCATTGTAATGCTCCTCGCCAGAGTATAGATCACCTTGCTGCAAATTCACACGCTGCCCTGTAAAAGTCTGAAAAAAGAATGGAATAATTAGCAATTACCAGAGGAGCTCTTGAGCACAATATGAGATTGCAGAGCTCATCAGCCTTTATGCCTGTAATGTTTCATCTCTTAACGTTCTGCTGGGACTATTCCAGGACGAGGAGTTCATGGTGTACGACTGTTGTTTTGTGTATTTTTAGAGCGATCTGGGCGCGTTGTACATTAAAGCTGGCGTGAAGAATATTGGCATGGTGCTCCTCATGACAGATGCCCAGGTCGCAGATGAGAAGTTCCTCGTGTTGGTGAACGACCTTTTAGCGTCTGGTAAGCTTTGCTGTGTGTCTGTGCCCACTGGCATCACGTAGAGCTCGCTTTCTCAGCCAGATGATATGCATGGGGTATATTTGTGATTATATGGCTGGAAATATGAAGGAAATATAAGACTGAGTCATTAGACTACTTTCGCAGTCCTTCCTTGAAGGAGTTCAGAGGTTGATTCAATCAGTGTCTCTCTGATTTATACTTCAATATATATATATTTTTTTAATTAATTACTGTGAATCATTGTTTCAAGAAATCAATTCGATGGTTAGCTTGAATAATCTGAAAATGTTCAGTGGTCCAATAGCTATTCTGTATGTTAGTAAAAGAAAACAATTATTTAATAGAAATATATTATCATCATGTATTATTAACAACAATAATAATGAGGATAATAATAATAATCTAATATTAAATTGATGATGATGATTAATACGTGTTTTTACTACTAATGAGATTTTTATTTTGGTAAGCAGTTGTCATTTGAATTAATAATTTTAAATTATTAAATATGAATTCAACGATTTGTTTGAATCTTCACTGTTCAATGAACTGCTCCAGTAGTGTACTTGTATGTTATTAAAACAAGATAAAATATTTACATTATTTAAAAAAATTAACAACAGTATTAATAACTATATTAAAATCATGATGATACAATGATTATCATTAGTGTGCATCTTTGTTACTAATACGCATTTCATTTTAGCAAACAATTACAGTATGTGGGTAATTATTGCTTTTTAAATAATATATTGATCCATGTATTGTCCATCTTGTGAAAAATTGTGTGGAAAACATAATTATATTTATTTTTTTTACTGTACTTGCTTTAAACATTTTGAATCTACATGTCACAGAGAATATTTGGTTGAAAAGATGGTTTCGCTAATTTAAATCACCCACTTAAATAATTTCTAAGTATGAAGTATGATTGTGTTAGTTATATTTCCCAGGTCTACAGCCTAAATCATGGCCTACTGTCATTTTTCAGAGTGCTTTATTATTTTCCTATGGTCTATGGCATATTTATTATGCCGTTGGCTGTTTCCATCTTTCAGAGCGCTGGAATATTCCTTTGTAAGACTGATATCATGCTCTCAGATGTTGCCAGCATCTGTCTGACTGCTCTGCTTCCATCATCATCGTTTTGTCTTCATCACAGGTGAAATCCCAGACCTCTTCCCTGATGATGAGGTGGAGAACATCATCGGTTCTTTAAGGAATGAAGTGCGTGGCCAGGGTCTGATGGACACAAGGGAGAACTGCTGGAAGTTCTTCATCGACCGTGTCCGTAGGCAACTCAAAGTACGTGAGCAGAAGTGAATCATGAAGCCTTTATACTCCGACAGTCTCGGCTCTCGAAATGTGACTAGATCAACACAAACAGAGAGGCGGTCTGTCCGAGGGCTGGTTCTGATGAACAGATGGGCGGATAGATGGACGAATGGGTTAACGCATGGATGGATGGGTGGATGGATGGACGGATAGATTGACGAAGGGGTGGAGGGATGGATGCATGGATGGATGTATAGGTGGACAGCTGAATGGATGGATGGATTGACGGATGGATGGATGGATACAAAAAGAAAACAAATAGATAAAATAGAGTTAGAGTTAGAGGGTCAAATAAAGATGGAAGAGATGTGTTTCTAGCCATTTCTTGAAGATAGCTAAGTACTCAGCTGCTCGGACTGAGTTGGGCAGGTCATTCCACCAAGAGGGAACATTTAATTTAAAAGTCTGTGAAAGTGATTTTGTGCCTCTTTGGGATGGCACAATAAAGCGACATTCACTTGCAGAAATCAAGCTTCTAGAGGGCACATAAGTCTGAAGTAATGAATTTAGGTAAAGGGGTGCAGAGCCAGTGGTGGTTTTGTAGGCAAACATTAGTGCCTTGAATTTTATGCGAGCAGCTATTAGTAGCCAGTATAAACTGATAAACAGAGGTGTGACATGCATTCTTTTCGGCTCATTAAAAATTAATCTTGCAGCCGCATTCTGTATTAATTTTAAAGGTTTGATAGAACTGTCTGGAAGACCTTCCAAGAGAGCATTGCAATAGTCCAACCTGAACAGAACAAGAGCTTGAACAAGGAGTTGTGAAGCATGTTCCGAAAGAAAGGGCCTGATCTTTTTCATGTAGAATAAAGCAAATCTTCAGGACCGGGCAGTTTTAGCAATTTGGTCTGAGAAATTCAGCTGATCATCAATCATAACCACAAGGTTTCTGGCTGTTTTTGAAGGAGTTATGGTTGATGTGCCATATATATATATACAGTATATATATATATATATATATAGATAGATATACAGTATATAGTTTTAGATATATATAGATTGAAGTTTTTCACCACAGTTCAAACATGACAACTCCCTGAAGATTTTAGCATGGTGATGGATATGACAATGTTAATGTATTTGGTACGCTGCTGCTGAATTGCTGCTGCTGTTGGTTATTGCTGTAGTTGTAGATTATTGCTGCTGCTGCAAGCAAGTACAGGAACTTGCTACTGCCAATGCATATGGCGATACGGTGCCATGAGTATTTAAGACATACTGCTGCTGCACAAATAGCATATAAAATAACCCGTAGCAGATCTATACAGGTGGAGCTGGGGAAGGTGAAGGGTTTCAGAGGAACTCTGAAAGCGCGCTGCAGGAATCTCTAGTGAATGCTAGCCATCCATATAAATGCAAGGCAGTAAGCTCATTGGCTGCATATGCAGCATGAACCAATCAGCTGTGCCAAGTCGTTTAACTCTCTGAATATCATTGGTTACGTTAACAACACGTCGCCTGCGCCATCTAGAGTTTCATGACTGAACTATGTATTTATTTTAAAAATAAGTAGAAATAACAGGAACAGATTCAACAACCACATATATGATTAATCAATTAACAACCTAAGAGCTCTAAGAACCTAAGAGTTTTTCTTCCACAGCTGACTGTTGCGCTCTATTGCACCATGCATTTGACATTTTAGAAACAGTTTAACAGTTTACAGTCATGTCTACTGACTTTTTAAAACTCAAAACCACTCAACAAACACTTTTGAAGACATTTTAGTAATCCATTTTAAACCTCATTATAGGTTTTTAAATTGCCATTTTATATTGTTACCATCAAAATAGCCAAGAAAGCTGGTATAATATTAAAACACCAACCAGCTACAACTGACACCGCCTTCCTGTGATTGTTATGGGAGAGCGTTTAACCAACACTGATGTTGTCCTGCAGGTGGCGCTGTGTTTCTCTCCGGTGGGCAGTAAGCTGAGGGTGCGCAGCAGGAAGTTTCCTGCGGTGGTCAACTGCACCGCCATCGATTGGTTCCACGAGTGGCCACAGGAGGCGCTAGAGTCGGTCAGCCTGAGGTTCCTGCAGGACGTGGAGCACATCCAGGTGAGACGCCCATCAACTCAGAAACAATACATCTTCATCAAATGGTTTTATCATGATTCCCTCAATCCAGAGCACTGAAGGTCTCAGCTGGTTAGACAAACGCACCTCTCTTACTGCAGTAATGTGTCTCAATGTCATCTAATACATTCAAAAGCAAATGCAGAGTGTGATTTTTTTTTTTCTGAGGTGCCTCAAGTCATGAAGAACATAATTAGATTGGCCAAGCACTGTGCACTCAGTTTCTGCATTATATTTCAGGGGAAAATTAAACAGCTGTGACGACTCAGTGGTATGACATTTCTGGCAATATTCTGGTAATTATATTTCATGTATGAACTGCATTTTTTTCACTGATCTAGCCAGAGGTGAAGGACTCGGTGAGTAAATTCATGGCCTACGTACACATTAGCGTGAACAAGACCTCAAAAGACTACCTGGCCAACGAGCGGCGATACAACTACACCACGCCCAAGTCCTTCCTGGAGCAGATCAAGCTGTACGGGAACCTGCTGGCGCTCAAGAAGAAAGATCTGACCTCCAAGATGGAGCGACTGGAAAACGGCTTGGAGAAGCTCAACAGTACGACTGCTCAGGTGCGTCTCTTTGTGTGCCTGTTCAAAATCAGGCCCTTATCGTGTAACGTCAATGAACTATAAACCCAGAGTTACTCACTCAGCATAGCATAATAAATGACAAGATAAATATCTAATGACTTACTGGCATTTAGGATTATTTGGCTGCTTCCAGTGAAATCAAGCGAAGCGTTAGTTCTGGCATGTCACGTTAGTCAAGCTCGCATCAGCTGATCCACATCTACTCATAAGGATGCAACACCTATCACAGCACCCATATATAAGGTCCTTCAGTATTATCAGCAGCTTTCGCGTTGCTCAATAGCTAATTACCCGCCTCCATCCCCAGCTCCTCCTCTCGTCCAGTCAGGATCAGCTTCTGATTCCCCTTATTAAACATTAATGATATTTGCAATACATTTATGTTGGTTCTGTTCTGTTTACCCTGGGGGGGGGTTATTGCTGCTCTCCCTGCTCTCATCCATGCTAGACTGCATTGATGCGAAGGGAGTTCTTGCCCAGAGCAGAATCATATTTGATGATATTGGTCTTGACAGAACTAGATGTTCTTTCACTGCTGTCCTTAAAACAATTAAACACTTTTATTGATTACTTGTATTTAATTATTTGTACATAATAATGGTAGAGTGGAGGTGAAACGAATAAAAATAATTATATTCCAGAAGGTAAAGCGGGACATGCATTAAAAGCATTGGAGTGAGTGCTTGCAGCTCAGCTATAAGATTCATTTCCATGTCATAAATTCATGTACCATTAGCTAATTTATGTTTTCAGTGGTCAGCATACATATTCTTCATTAATAGGTCCTCTTGAATGTAAATGAAACACATGTGCCTCATGTAAGGAGCCAGTAGAAGTCTGATGCGGTTCAGCTTTAATGTTTATGCTGCTGGTGTTTTAAATGCGAGTGGCGTAGGATGTGCTTTCAGTGTTTCTCTTCCCAGCAAACGTATTGCTGTCCCTGTCATTCTCCTGACACCGCTAATGGAGCAAGTCTGTCAAAAACATCACCCGGTCAGCCCTCTGGCTTCTATTGATCTATGATTATTGTGTTAGAAAAATGTCATTCTTTTCTGTCATGTGGTTTTATGGCCTACTGTATAATTTTAGCATGTAAGATGAGCAATACTATCACTGTTATTCAAACTTACTGTTGAGGATTGGATCCCATACCCCAGAGTACGGTAGATTTCAGCTCATTTTCTTTCAGTTAGCTCAGGTTTTCTGTTTCTTTTTGGAACTGATTGATCGTAGGCCTTAATAGACCTCAGTTTTGAGTGAAAAAAGCATTACTTTTGGGTAATTTTGTCAATATTCACTGAAAAACTGAGGAGCATAAGCTCGGATCAATGAGGCCTACCATAAATTAGATTCAATAAGAAAGACAAAACCTGTGCTAATTTATAAGAAATTTGGGTAACTTAAAGGGATAGTTCACCCAAAAATGAAAATTCTGTCATTAATTACTCACTCTCATGTTGTTCCAAACCTGTAAGACCTTCATTCATCTTCGGAACACAAATTGTGATTATTTTTGATGAATCCAACACTTCAACAATTCTCCTCCGCATCACCCTGGCACCATTTTGGAGAGCATCACGAATCATGCTGTGCTGCTGCTGAAGAATTGTTGAATAAAGTTATAATTTTTGTTTTCTTTGCGCACAAAAATTATTCTCGTAGCTTCATAAAATTACGGTTGAACCACTGACGTCACATGGACTGTTTTACCGATGTCCTGACTATGTTTCTGTGCCTTGATCATGATTCATGGTAGTTACCTTGCTGTCTATGGGAGGGTCAGAAAGCTCTCAGATTTCATCAAAAATATCTTAAATTGTGTTCCGAAGATGAACGAAGGTCTTACGGGTTTGGAACAACACGAGGGTGAGTAATGCATGACAGAATTTTCATTTTTGGGTGAACTAACCCTTTAAAGCCTTTATGTATAATGCATTATAAAAGTAGTTTTAATGCATTAATTATGCCTTGTAATGCACCTTACAATACATTGTACAATCTCATGAATAATAATTGAAACCACAGTTAGTACATTATAACATCAATTCATTGTTACACATGCATTTAAATTCGGTTATAATTATTTACGACAAGATATAATGTATTACAGTGCACATTATGAATAATTATAATGCATTATACCCTTTAATAACATTTATAATGCATTATACATAAAGGCTTTAAGTGAAGTGTTACCGTTATTTGTTAAAGACAGGTCATTTTTGACCTGGAACAGCGAAGTGAATCATGGTATGAAAAAAAAATCTCAAAAAAGTATAAAAATTTTCAAACATTTTTTGGATATGTAGTTATACCCTGTGTGAGCAATGTCAGTTAGCTAGTTAATTATTAACTTATTTATTTATTTAATCATTTGTTTGTTTTTCAGTAAAAAAATCATCTCTGTTCAAAATGATTGGAACACAGCATTAGGATTAATAACCTTAATTAAATAAGATTTGTAAAAACTTGTATTATGTGTAGCTACTATTATAATATTTTAATATTTAAAAATTAAATAAACAGTATCTTTTAGGATTTAAGTCAAGTGTGAGGCTATCCTAACATAACTTATAAATATAATTTTTTACAACCTTGAACAATGAGAATGTCTTTTTAGGAATGGACATTTTTCAGAAGCTTTTTCTTAAGTGAAAACAGATGAAAATAGTAACGAAGAATAATTTGATTCTGTTTAACACTGTCTATTCCGAGTGTTTTCTGGCCTCAGACTATCATAGAGACTAGCAAAATAGCAACACCCTAGCAACGTGCCGGTGGCTTTTGCATGAGTGACACAGTTCACATTTTCTACAGCAAATCTCCTTATTAGCAATAATTGTGTTCTCAGCTACACTGTGCTAATTATTATGACTGAGACATTATGACTTATCTAATGTGTCCTTCTGTTTGAGCTGCTTTATGCTTCCTGACACGTTAATCCCGCCGGCATAGACCGGCTCAAACGTTCTTCTCAGGTAATGGCTTCAGCGCTTCGTCCTCGTCCCTCCACCCTTCAGTGGAAAAGCTATCAGAAAGCTCATTTGTGTGCTAAGATTGAGCTTGCAAGCGACGGGAGGGGAAAATGTAAAGTCAGAATTCACACATACACAAGATACATCCGATAGTGCTGTTAGAGATCCACGCCCACCAGAATAGCCTCTTTACATTAGCGATGAGAGGAGAGCCGGCCTGGCTAGAAATCTAAATTAAAAGTTGCTGCTAATGAGGCAGAAAGTTTATTGGTGCTGCTTTATTGAGGTGGGACCCCGTAACATGTAATTAGCGGAGAGCGGATATCAATTCAAGCTAGTTGGTCCCTGCCCACATTTGTGGGCGTAGAGGTGGATTTTTCCGTTTTATAGCCACTCATTAAGCAGTGCATATCTAAATGAGAATCTGCATTGTTTTTCTTTGCTCAAGATAAGCATGTTTATGATGTAACCTTCTTTATGATGATGACGGAGATCAGTCCAGACTTGTGGTTGATGATAACAGCAGCGCCAATTGTCTATTATCTAAGAGTTCTTTTGCCTTTTCATCTCAAACGGTCTCTTTTGAGATGATTTACGGTATTTTAACAATGCAATATTAGGCTCGTGCTCTTTGATGTGAACTTGTGAGGATGTTCTGCTCTCTTCGATGTGCAGATGAAGCAGCTACAAACATGAGTGAAAAGACACAGACATTTGACTGGATGAGCCAACATTTAAAATGTTTAATCTAAAATTGATCAAGCTTTTATTAGTATGCGTACAGCTTAAATGGTCTCGTATTAACAGTTTTTTTTTACATTTATATTATATTCATTTACTTTTTAAAAATGAATTTGTCACACCACGGTTCTCTTTAAAACTTATTACTGAAGACAAAAGGTGGAAAGTGTTGAAAAACTTGAAAGAAGCGTGACGTAAAATGTGCGTTTTCCCTTATAAATTCCTTTTTTAACTAAAATGTTGATGTAGATTAAAATGAAGTCCTTATTATTTTGTTTTATTATGAATTAATTTTTTTCCAAGTAGCTTGAGACTAAAACTTCATTACCCCTGTTTTGTCTTATAACATCCTCTGTCTGTGTTCTTCTCCTGACAGCAACTTAATGAGAACTTGGCAAAGCTGACGGCGAAGTTTGAGAAAGCCACAGCAGACAAGCTGCGGTGCCAACAGGAGGCTGAGACCACGGCACGCACCATCGCTCTCGCCAACCGCCTGGTGAGTCTCCAGCGCTGCACGCATCAACACCACGTTACACCCAGAGCTGCTGCTTCCTGTCTTAATTAAGAAAAAATTAGATGAGCCAGCAAAACAGAAGAAAATTCTGAATAATAATTCAAATGCAGCAAACCCCCAGAATAAGTCATTTATGCTGTCCGTTGAAGCATGCAGCAATACTAAATCAGCAGGAAATCACACAAATAAACACGTGCAGCAGCGCTAGTTTGCCTGAAGCGCACCGGCTGGAGTTATTCATTACAGCGATTGTTTGATCTGGGAATAATTGTGTGTTGAACAGCAGTGATCCGGCAGTGACCTGAACATGTGTAAGGGGTTTGGTGTGGACCAGGGGTTAAAGGTCAAGTGCGTCATTTCCACACCACTGCGGGCAGCAGACACAATCACGCAAATTATGCCGGATTTCAGAATTGGTTGTTGCTGCTCAAGCAAAATCTAAATAATTACATACGGCACCTTTAAATATCTGGCCTGGAATCCGAATGGTTGCACTTCATAATAAGCTGCATTAGTGCTGTCCACTTTGACAGTGGCACTGGTACCAGAAGTCTTTTTCACATTCGTTTTGCATTCGCAAGTCTTGGTTAAAGCATTATAAGATGTGAACCAAACCAACCAGCTATGAGGAGGATCACAACACTACAGACTTCGATTTGAAGCAGGAAAAGTATTTGAAAATCAGACAAAAAGACAAACGTGAGCTACAATCCTATAAAGCATGGCAAATTACATAAAATGCGAATGACATCAAATTAAAAATGATGGTGAAATATAAAGCTATTAATTTAAAGTTGTTAATTTTGTATATATATATTATATAAACTATACATTTGATGTTTTTGCTAAATATGAATAAATATGCAAATATTAAAATATTTTGAGAGCGAAGGGAACCTTTTCAATTTGTCATTCATGGTGCTTTATGGGAGTGGGTGGAGCTTAAGATTTAGCTTGCTGCTACTTTCTGATTGGTGGAATGAACATGGACGAAACGCTTTCCAGACATATACACTTGTCAGAATTACTGTGATTCTGAGTTTCCGGCAAATAGAAACAGCTCACGTCTTTGGTGAACACGTAATTTACTTTAATATAATATATATTTATTACTTTACTTAGAGCTTGTTTTTGTGAGTGTTTTGAATGATATTGTCAGACTCATAGAGTTGTGTGTATTCAGGTTGGAGGTCTGGCATCGGAGAATGTGCGCTGGGCAGAGGCGGTGAAGAGCTTCAGGCATCAGGAGAGCACTCTGTGTGGAGACGTGCTCCTCATCACTGCCTTCGTCTCCTATCTGGGCTATTTCACCAAACGTTACCGCCTGGAGCTGATGGACAACAGCTGGAGGCCGTACCTGAGCCAGCTCAAGGTCTGTCCCACTGGCTAAAAACTGAGCTTTTAAGATGTTTAAGATTAACAGAGTAAGAGATCATGTGTTTGATTAAGGCCAGTGTGGCTTTCACCTGAAATCTAAAGCATACCCTGTTGAAAACCCCAGCATATTCTGGTTAGTATGTTTTGAAGCATGGCAGCTGGTTTGAGCTGGTTTAAGCTGGTCCTAAACTGGTTTAAGCTGGTCATGTGCTTATAACCAGCTTAAACCAGCTCAAACCAGCTGTCATGCTTCAATATCTAACCAGCATATGCTGTTTCTGTTTTTCAACAGGGTAGTTCATTCCTCTGTTAATCGGTGTCATTTGTTTTTGTGAGGGTTCAGTCTGTGAGTGCTCTTCCTGCAGGTGCCAATCCCGGTGACTCCGGGTCTGGACCCGCTGACCATGCTGACGGATGACGCTGACATCGCAGGCTGGCAGAACGAGGGTCTGCCTGCGGACCGGATGTCGACTGAAAACGCCACCATACTCACCAGCTGCGAACGATGGCCGCTCATGGTGGATCCGCAGCTGCAGGGAATCAAATGGATCAAAAGCAAATACGGAGAAGAGCTGCGACTCATCAGGATTGGACAGAGAGGGTAGAACACACATTATGTCTGCATACACACCATATCTGCTTAACCCGATTCATTACTGATGTCTGCTTTACTGTGTGTGTGTTAATGCAGATATCTGGACTCCATCGAGAGAGCGTTATCTGTAGGCGAAGTTGTCCTCATTGAGAATTTGGAGGAAGCGGTGGATCCAGTGCTCGGTCCGCTACTCGGACGTGAAACCATAAAGAAAGGACGGTGAGAGCGTTATAATGTAGTTATTAGTCATATTTATCATTATATATGGTGGTAAAATTTGACCTTCAAACATCTTTTATTAAGACAAAACACCACAGGTGAATTATATTAACCTTGCTGTTTAATCACAGTACATTAAAGGTGGGGTAAGTGATTTTTCAAAACCGCTTTAGAAAACTGATTCGGGCCGAATAGCAAAACAAACTTGTAGCCAATCAGCAGTAAGGGACGTGTCTACTCATGATGTGGAGGAGAGAACGTTCAGTGCACAGGACGGATATTAGCCGAGTGATAGACAGATAGAGATGGCGGGGTGTTGTGCCGCGCCGCATCCAGTGTAGACAATAGATATGTATATATATCTATGGTGTAGACAGCATCACTGATTATAATGAGTTCCATAGTATTTTATCGTGCCGCGCCACTCGTGTCTGGTGTAGACACGGTGTAACATTGGTTTTGCTTTGTATCACAGAACTAATCGTTGCCTGGGTTGCGTACGTATGTGTGGGGCGGAGCTATCAAAATAGGGGCGAGACCCTTTTGGGGTAGGGGCGTGTTTGTTTTGGTGATTTAAATTGTCAACGTTGGCTACCAGAAATGGCTTACTCCACCTTTAAATGTGCATTTTCCACAAGTTGATATGATTATTTAGGGTCTTAATGAAAAGTCTATAACATACTTTGGTTAAAATTTCTCAGTGGTAGTGTAAAACAACACCCTTTTTACCCTGTCAAAAACAGCTCTGTTCACAGCAAGCCGTTTTAGTGCATGTTCCTTTAAATGCTAATGAGCTCTGCTCACTCCACCCCTCTCTTCTGTGGGGTGATGAACCGTTTTCATGAGACTGTAAACTTTAGCCGCGGAATTTGCTAACTAGCACATTATAAAGAAAAAAACTTATACTCACTTCATCTGTAGGTGAAACTGGATCACAAATGATTCGCACGAACATAGGTAGATCAGGGGGGTGCAATCCCTTCAAAAACAAACGTAATCCACTGCGTCTTCAGCGGCTCAGATGTCGGGAGTAAATGACGACTGCTAGGTTCATTATTACATCCAACAACAAAACACCTCAATCACTTAGGAGCCATTCTTGTCTACGTCCCTGCTCCGGTGTCGAAAAACAATGGTAGACTGTGTACAGCTCCCTCAGGGCGGGTCTAAGGCAAGACGGCCTTGTCAATCAACAATCGTGGGAGGTGCCTGAGCAGAACTATGTCACTCTGCCAAGAATCTCAGAACAGTCTGATCTGAGAAAGTGATCATTATTATTGGGGATTTAAAAAAAAAAAGTACTGGCTGGTTTTTATCATTATAGGGTTGATGTGTACACACACTGCCAACACACATTTCAGTTCAATCACCATGTAAAACTAAAGTTTGCTGTATGTAAGAGAAAAAAATTCTAAAGATACAGATTGGAATTGAAATCTACAGATGCAAATAGATAAAGTGTCATAAAATAATGAGAGGATTCTGGTTTCTAATCCGCTACAGCTACATAAAGATCGGCGATAAGGAATGCGAGTACAACCCCAGTTTCCGTCTGATCCTTCACACCAAGCTGGCAAACCCTCACTACCAGCCGGAGCTCCAGGCTCAGTGTACGCTGGTCAACTTCACGGTGACACGGGATGGGCTGGAGGACCAGCTGCTGGCAGCCGTGGTCAGCATGGAGAGACCCGACCTGGAGGAGCTGAAGGTACGTCGGTCTCCTCTCAATCAGACGCTCTCTGAGAAACATCACAGCCATATCAGATCACTCTCTCCACGCTTAATTGCGGGACGGGTTAAGTAGATGGTATTTGACAGGTTTTCTGGAGCTTAATTGGATTCATCAGTTTCTGAGGTCTAGATTGGCTGAACTCAAAGATAATTAGTCAGCATACGCTGATGGACAGAACAGTCAATCATAGCGGTTCTGCAAGCATATTTGAGGCTCCAGTCTTCTCACCTTTGCTTACAAAAGGGTAATTGGTGCATTACTTTTTGCACTTTCATGCATATAATTAGCACACTTTCCCTGAGCATTTTATTTTAATGACCAACACATATGCACATGTATATTAGTACATTAGCATAACATTACTGTAAGTAATTAGCTGGAATGGTCATGCAATTGTGCCACATTAAGAGCATCCCCATTAAGTTTTTTTTTTTTCAGCCTATCAACATTTTTTTTCTCGCTTTACTTCATTTCCTCTTCCTGAAATGTCTGACAGATGTTGAAGATGCTGAAGCTTTCATTTGAGAACAAATTACAACAAACCGAAGAAGTGTTTTTGAATAACTGACAGGAAGTGAATGCGGTTATTTTGAGATGTGCATTCCGTAAAATTGAAATGTTACTTAATGAAGCTTGATTAATTAGTGTATCATAGCTGAGATCCTAAAGATGGGGAAACGCTACTGAACTCTCTTATCATCTTAATTCATATTAAAAGTTGCAAGAAAAGCGTGACAATCCCTCAGCACCTCAGCAGAGTTTCCTCGCTGATCGTTATACTCCGGTCAGTGTTTGCTGGATTTATAATTAGATCTTATGCAACCGCACCGCAGGGATACGCTTTCTTATTTAGATGTTTTTTAGAGGGTTTGTTTTTAATCCCTGGCTTGTTTTACATCACGCAGTACCAACATAATTGCGCTGAGCAAACTTGAGCAGTTTTTTATCTTATTACTTCGTGAGATCTGCACATCCGCCAAGGCCACTAGATGAAGTAAATGTCACTGTGATCGGTGGAGAGCCGCATCAGTCTCGTCTAATGAGCAGGACCACTCTGCTCCTCTGAAATCATCTGACCAACGTCACTTTGGGTTGCATAATTACTCGGCTGAGATTGTAAGCGTACCGAGTTCCTTCACAATAAGGCTGCTAGTTAATTGTTTGTTTTGCAGGTCTGGGTTAATTGGACGCACAAGATGCCAGTGGAAATGTAATCATTAATGAGTGACTCATTAGGACAGGATAGTTGAACATACCTGTTTTCCTCCTCTCTGATGAGAGGTCGTGTCTCTGAACCCAGCTGTTTTTCTCCAGCGCTGTTGTTTGTAAAAGTCTCACAGAGGCTCTGGTGGTCACTGACGGAGCGACGTTATTATACTTGAGTTTTTTTTGCAGATTGACCTCTTCAGGAATGAGTTTTGTCTTGACGGTTCAATACTCGCGCCGGCAATGACGGCTCTCTGATTTGAGATCATCAGTGAGAGAGTGTGTGTGTGTGTGTGTGTGTGTGTGTGTGTGTGTGTGTGTGTGTGTCTGTTTCTCTATCCAAACGTGGGAAATGGATCCATCAGCATTGACAATCCCATCACACGCTGGCGGCTGTGGTGTTTGATGTCCGTTAATCCACGCAAAGACTAGCTTCAATTCTCCTGCATACATTGATCTCTGCAGCTGTTCAGATGCTCTCTCATGTCCATGACTTTGCCCCTTGGCTCTTGTTTTCACGAATCTTCGCACATCCTTCCACACACGTCTTTCTGTGTCTTTTACTTTGTAGTCGAACCTCACAAAGCAACAGAACGGCTTCAAAATCACTTTGAAAACTCTGGAGGACAACCTGCTCTCACGGCTCTCCTCCGCGTCCGGAAACTTCCTGGGAGACATCGAGTTGGTGGAGAACCTGGAGATAACCAAACGAACGGCGGCCGAGATTGAAGTCAAGGTGTGTTCTTGGGTTTTCAGCTACAGTAACATCTTCCCATGAGTGATTTACATTAAATAAATTAATTTTGCTATAAAAATACAGTATATTTTAAGTTTTACAGATCTACAAATTAGTATATATTTCATTAACTTTCAATTAAACAAATAACTAAAATCACTTTTTACCATTAGAATATGCAGACAAACACCATTTTCACCATATAGCATCATGGAACTTATAGTTAACAAATTAACATTTTTCTACCAGAGCATTTTTTCAGTCTTTTACTGTCATAATTTCAATGGTTTTCTTTGCAGTTTTAGATACTGTATAATAAATATACATATTATGTACAGTAGCACAACAGTTTCCATAAAATATATTTGATTAAAATTAAAATAAAAGTTACCATTTATATAAAAATTATATTATAATAATAATATTTATTAAAATATAAAATTGAAATATATAAAAATATAATTAATTCAATTATGGTTAAATCTGACATTAAAATCCACTCATGAATGTAGTTTTAGTCAATACAATCTCATTAGCAAAATGTAATAAGAATATTACAACAAAATGTAAGTTATATTCTTACAATAACACTAAAAACAACACACATAACCAAAAAGGCAAGATGGACACATACGTCTATACACTTATGTAATTATATAGTCAAAAAATAAAATAATATTTTTACCATAAAACGATATAAATAAACTTTCCATTGATGTATGGTTTGTTAGGACAATATTTGGCCGAGATACAACTATTTGAAAATCTGGAATCTGAGGGTGCAAAAAAATCTAAATGTTGAGAAAATCGCCTTTAAACTGTCCAAATGAAGTTCTTAGCAATGCATATTACTAATCAAAAATTAAGTTTTGATATATTTACGGTAGGAAATTTACAAAATATCTTCATGGAACATGATCTTTACTTAATATCCTAATGATTTTTGGCATAAAAGAAAAATCGATCATTTTGACCCATACAATGTTTTATTGGCTATTGCTACAAATATACCCCAGCGACTTAAGACTGCTTTTGTGCTCCAGGGTCACATTTGTTGATATTTATTTGAGTTATTAGTCATGAAAGTGATTAAATTCAGCAGCATATTAACATACATACTAACACACATATTAACAAATTAATAATGATCCTGATCTTGTTTTGCTGTGCTCCAGGTGAAAGAGGCTAAGGTAACGGAGGCTGAGATCAATGACGCGCGGGAACACTACCGTCTGGCGGCGGCCCGCGGTTCGCTCCTATACTTCATCATGAACGACCTCAATAAAATCCATCCCATGTACCAGTTCTCTCTGAAGGTAGCGCCAACCTGACCTGCACAAGCTCTTAAAAACCTGTTGTTTATTTCCCAGTGCTCCAGGATTTAGTTATTGTGTTTCTCTCCTGCTTTTATGGAGCTGTGTTTGTCCCATGCTAACACAGCTATTTAGCCGTCATGAACTACAGCAGTTAATATAATGTTCTACAGACGCTCAGTGTATTACTGCACTAGCTAATAACACAGGGATCACTATGGCTACATTTATTATACTTTATTATGTTTTATATTGCGCTATCGTTTGATCCAAACTGAATGTGATGAGATTTAGACTGTGTACCATGAAATAATGCAAAGATAATAAATAGGCAATACGTCATCACTGGTTGCAAGCAAAAGCAAGCACGCTGCTTCCAGCATCTGTTCATTTAATGAATCATTCCAAAATAGACACAAAATATCTATATATGTGACTCACGTATTGAGATGCAATTTATCAATACTATTGTCAGACTTAAACCCAGAAGGATAAACTTGTATTTTTATTTTATTTTTCCCCTATAACTGCAGCACAGAATTCTTTAGGAAACACTTTATTTTAATATTCATAAGAAGAGCTTTGCAGACATAAATGGAGAATAGATTATGAATGTATAGTTAGTTTGTACGCTGGTTTTCTTGTGTTTTCAGTCATCCTGCTGACAAGATACAATTTACAGCTATCAAAAAATAATTGCCTTTTCCTTTGTGTACAAATTTATGCAGAGGAATCTTGATCTTCCCCAGAACTAGTTACAAAAGTGTTTCATTAGAGAATGAGAGAAAAGCAGAAGAGTATTAAATCAAGTTCTTTCTCTGTCCTGTAATGCATGCGTTTGTGTGCTCCTCACGTCCAGGCCTTCAACGTTGTGTTCCAAAATGCCGTACTAAAAGCCGACCCAGACGAGACCGTGAAACAACGGGTCTTAAATCTGATCGACAGCATCACGTCGTTGGTGTTCCAGTACACCACCCGCGGCCTCTTCGAGTGTGACAAACTCACCTACACCGCCCAGCTGGCCTTCCAGGTGAGCCTCCGCTTCCGCAACATATGCCACGGCTCCTCCGGCTTCTTTTAAACACACATTTATCTCCGCTTTAGGTCCTGCTCATGAATAAAGAGATCAATCCCCGCGAGCTGGACTTCCTGCTGCGCTACCCGGTGCAGCCGGGCTTGATGTCACCCGTCGACTTCCTGTCCAACCACTCCTGGGGAGGAATTAAAGTGAGTTACTCAGTGTAACGGTTTTAGTGAAGGACGTCAGTGTCTGTGTTGATCTTTGATTTGCTTTGCTCACGTCTCTCTATTATTCATTTGTACGAAAGGATGAAAATGTGGCCGCAGGGAGCAGAAGCATCATCATATTGCTGAACAAACTCTCTGTCCTCATCATATCTTAATATAGGTTAATTTGGCCTCTCAAACACGTTCACCAAATCTGCTCAAAAGCGAGATGAGCTTTAATGTCAGGAAAGCTGTTAGCTGAAGCTGACGTCAAGATGCTTTTTTTTGTTGCTGCTTTTGCTGAATAAATCACAATCCACATTCATGGTATGAAATCAGAAGCTCGGACATTCCACATGAGATCTTTGTGTTTTCAAATTTTTCATTTTTGGGTAAACTATTAATTTCTTATACTTCAACTATATACAGTAAATATTAGCTTTAATACTACTACTACTAATAACAACAACAGCTATTATTGTTAATAATAATAATAAATTAGCATTATTGTTGTTGTTGTTATTATTAAAGGTGGGGTAAGGGATTTCTGGTAGCCAATGTTGACAAACAAACACGCCCCTTCCCCAAAAGGGTATCGCCCCTATTTTGATAGCTCCGCCCCACACATACGTACGCAACCCAGGCAACGATTAGTTCTGTGAAACAAAGCAAAACCAATGTTACACCGTGTCTACACCAGACGCGAGTGGCGCGGCGCGACAAAATACTATAGAACTCATTATAATCAGTGATGCTGTGTACACTTCCCCGACAGAAAACTGCTGCTGCTGTGTTCTATTTATGACATATTGACACAAATTTCAAATGATTTTCAGTGGTCGCTTTGTCGCGTCCAGTGTAGAGTAGACTTTAGTCGCATAGACAACTGTCGCGTCTGGTGTAGACACGGTGTTACTCATCTATCGAGAAGAAACAAAGCAACCTCGGCGTCTGATCGCAGGCCTTACGCTCCTTGAGTTCTCTCCAGCGCTGGAAGGCTGATCCGATATTTACACAGGTCCTACTTCTTGCCTTATCGTAAGCCTTCTTTTGTTCCGAAGACGTTTTCCTCTTATGTTTTTTATCCGCCATCTCTATCTTTCTGTCGTCGCTTGGCTCGGCTAATGTCCATCCTCCTGTGCACTGAACGCTCTCTCCTCCGCATCATGAGTAGACACGCCCCTTACTGCTGATTGGCTACAAGTTTGTTTTGGTACTCAGCCTGACTCAGTTTTTGAAAAAATACATACCCCACCTTTAATATATGATAACACTTTAGTTTAGGGACCAATTCTCACTATTAACTAGTTGCTTGTTAGCATGCATATTACTAGCATATTGTCTGTTTATTAGCTCATTATAAAGCACATATTAATGCCGTATTCTGCATGACCATATTTTAGATCCTTGAAGCCCCGTTCACATCAAGAACGATAACTATAAAGATAACGATATTAGCGTCCACACCAGCGAACGATATCGTCTGTTTATTCCAAGCACACATGCGTCTGCTGCTTTAAATTCTTGAGCTAGTTACAGCAGGATGGATTCTGATTGGCTGTCAGTGTTTTATGGTTCATCAGCTGGGAAAAAATAGTTTTGAAAGTGATCACAACGATATCATTCCTCTGTATTGTTATCATTATAGTTGTGGTGTGAACTATGCTATTCTTTAATATTGAGAAAATTTTTTAGAACTATATCTTTATCGTTATCTTTATAGTTATCGTGCTTGGTGTGAACGGGCCTTAAATCCTACGCTATACCTAAATTTAACAACTACATTACTAACTATTAATATGCAGCAAATTATGAGTTTATTAAGGCAAAATCCTTAATAGTTAATAGTGAGAATTGGTCTCCTAACTAAAGTGTGACCCTATATATTGTTGTTGTTGTCTTTTGGGGTTGAACTGTTCCTATAATATTAGAATTTGTATATTTCTTCATCGTAGATGCTATTAGGAATAAATAGTAATTATACAGAAACCATCACTTAGTTTATTGTTTAAGTGCACTACTGTACATCTAGCAATTCCTGTCTCTTCTATTCTGTCTTGAAAACTTTTACCGCTTTCTAAACGACTAACTTCACCTTCAGTGCAAACCTTCAGAAGATTTCCTGCTGTTCTCCAGCACATCGTCAGCGATGGGAATGTAAATCTGATCTCATTTAAGAGTCCATGAGTCCGTAATGTGCTCAAATCTGCCATTAAGATATAGTGTTTCCCATAAGCAAGGCTTTCTGGGATTATGAGTCATCATCATTCTCCCGCCACTTTCGGCACCTTCGGGTCGAGCCGAGACTCCGTATGAAAGAATGGCGTATGTCACAGCGTTGTTCTTCCGAGAGGAGATAAATATAAGTGCGCAATAGGAAATCCTCTGTTCTGCTGCCTAAGCACTTCTGAAAGCCTGCGTTATGAAGAAACACGTTCATGTTTACTCAGCAGTTTGTGCCATAAAGACACTTTACTTTGTAGTTCGATTTGATTAGCGCTTTGACAATGTTGTATCTGAGCTCTTTATTCTGTCCAGGGCTTACATGTCTGTCATCATAATGTCTGATAAGATTGCACACCGTCCACTCAACAACGTGCAAAATAATGCATACTAAATGAGTCATACTTAAATTATTGATGAAACGCTTAGCTGAGACATCAGATATATATTCGGAAAGTCCCGCGGTGTGACATGCTAAACTCCAGCTTTTTGCGAAGTATTTTATAATTATTAAGCATGCCGCTTTTATGGCTTCATATTAATTCTGAGACAACGTGACATATTTGGACACCGCAGGACTATTTCACATAATCTGAAGTCCATAGACATATTGTGCATCAAGTGCCTTTTGAACCTTTTTCACTTCCGCTGGTTTTGTGTGGTATCTGTTATCAGTATTTTATCTCGTTAAGGATTTATTTAATAGAAAATGTGCTTATTTTATGGTGATGTTGTTTCAGGCTCTCAGTACGATGGAGGAGTTTCATAACCTGGACCGTGACATTGAAGGATCGGCTAAACGCTGGAAGAAATTTTCAGAGTCCGAGTGTCCGGAGAAAGAGAAGTTCCCTCAGGAGTGGAAGAACAAGACGTCGCTGCAGAGGCTGTGCATGATGAGAGCGCTACGGCCCGACAGAATGACCTACGCCGTCAGGTCAATCCGTCCTTCAGCGTCATACCTCAGTGTTTGCAGACATGTTTTCCCAGGAGTGTGTGAATTAGGGGTTGAACGACTTCTGATTTTTTCTAAATCAGATACAGATAAAGTAGCACAGTAAAGATTACATTAATATGAATGCATTAGTGAGAGCGATTGCGTGTGTGAATTTATTCTCCTGGCAGCATCTCTCTACTAGTAGTGAAGCTGTGGAATTTAGTTATTAAGAAATATATGCTTGAACTTTTCAGTTTCTAAGCTATTTTATTGAGAAATCACAGAACAGTGTTGACAATACATTTCCGCTCTGAATGGCTCTGTGCATGTGATGTACTCGCTACTGTCTGTAGCCTATGTGTGTGTGTTACAGTGCAGCAGTGCATTAGATTAGAACGGCGATTAACTTACCTGTGCAATAAGATGTTTAAAACGTGCATTCTCACGTTCAATTTCAAGCATCCAGTAATATAATCACACATGTATTGTGGAGCGCTTTCAGAGTATGCATTTATTTGTCATTTTAACTGTATGGAAACGGAGCGTAAATGTGGAAGTCCTTCAAAGATTTCTAATCCTGTTGCGCCCTCTATAGGACCAGCGACTAGTCGACGTCAAGCTTAAAGCGTTATGGCAGAGCATTGAAGTCGACTAGTCGGTGCAACCCCTAGTGTGAATCTGTGTTTTTGCTCAGCTGCATTCCTACAAAACATTTACTTCATTAACTGAAAAAATTGTTACAAAAAAAAAGTGTGAATCTACACCTTGAGTAAAGACTCATTTAGAGGTGCGGCTCAATAAGTGAGTCAGATGGTGATTCGATGAAGCTCTGATGAATTCAGTTCATTTAGTCAGACTGATTCAAATCGATAAGGGTCATTTGTTCATGAATCAGATCTCAATTGAATCTGTCCCAGAATCTTAGTCAGCCTAGTCAATGGATAGGAATTTTTTTTCTACATTATCTTTATATTTGCTCACTCCTGCTTTATATATTTAGTAGTTCTGTGTTTCTACAGTCCATGATGCTTGGCCTTTAGGGAGACAATGGCAGTGTTAATATAATAAGACAGCACAGGCCGGTGTCAAATGCCGAGTTCACACTGCACGATTTTCAAAGACGTCGCATCACTGGTTTCACACTGAATGACTATCTGGGGTAGCATTCAGTTGTTGCTGTGTATCACACTGCACGATGGAACGACGACAGGAGGTTACACACTGCATGACTTTACAATAGGAATCGCCGACAGCTCTGTCTGGTGCAGGGTTGCCAGGTTTTCGCTACAAAACCCGCCTAATTACTACTCACAACTAGCCTGAAAATAGCCCAATTGCTTTTGAGGGGGTCCCCCAGTAAAAATTGCATTCAGGGGGGGTAAAATACACATTTTTTTGGCGGGGTTCTCTTAGTACAATTCACATTCCAGGGCCTAAATATCACGTTATTGGGGTCGCTTCAACCTGCTGACATTAAAAAAAACCTGCGGCAATCTTGGATTTGGCAACACTGGTCCGCAAACTACGTTTCATTTAACTCCTCCCCGAACTTCCCGCTGCCCTGTATCTTGGTCTCTCATTGGCTGTAGGTCATCGCCGATGTGTTTTTCAGTCAGAACTCATTGCACACAGCAGGATTGTGAATCGCCGACGTGTCTGCGATTCCCTCAGATCGCGTCTTTGATAATTCACACTGCCTGATTGTCACTCGCGGGAACGAGCACCGATCTGCCTCTGATTTCAGGCATTTGTTGGCGATTTCGCAAAACCTGTCGGCGAGTGAAAAATCGGGCATAAAATAATCAGTTTCCACAGATGTGCTGACTTTGTGCTCTTTGTATGATCATAATGAGTTTGAAAAAGCCAAGTACGATTCTTTCACCCTTCAGAGATTTTGTGGAGGAGAAGCTGGGCAGCAAGTACGTGATGGGGCGCTCGCTGGACTTTGCCGTGTCATATGAGGAGTCTGGAGCCGCCACACCCATGTTCTTCATCCTGTCCCCTGGAGTCGACCCGCTGAAGGATGTGGAGAAACATGGTACAGATGCATGTGATCTCCAAATGAAGACCATTTACATAATTTCCCCAAAATGCTGCAGTAATCGCCTGTGATTTTAAAGCTAAGGTGTCATTTTGGCATTTTCAAAATGAGCCTGTTAAGATCAGCAGATACCTACAATCCAGACCAATACATTTTGTGTATTTGCTGTCTTAAACTAAACTTAATGTGTTTGAGAGAGTCTGTTGGTGTAAGCAGGCTAATTACTGTGTCCAGACTTTTCCTCAAAGGCCAATTTGAAGGTTTATTGATAGTCTTGCTCTGTTTGTCCATGAATGACTGAGTGTGAGTGATCAGATTAAATACGACTAATCAGATCACACACCAGGCAATTACTGACCACACACAGAACACCTCACATGACTTCATATCTGACTGTCTGTTTTGTCCTTGAATAACATCCTTCAGGAAGAAAACTGGGATATACGTTCGACAACAGAAATTTCCACAACGTTTCGCTGGGCCAGGGGCAGGAGGTGGTGGCAGAACAGGCTCTGGATCTGGCTGCGAAAGAGGGGCACTGGGTCATTTTACAGGTAAAACACACAACAAACTGCAGTTAAACCACCTCAAATCACACAGTTCTTCCTCAGGTCATTACTAAAACACGTGAAGATCATCATAATCAGACCCACAGGTCTGGAGCCAGTTCAGAAAACTTAAACCATAAAAACATTCATTACTTGAAATAAAATAAATATCTAAAATAAAAAAATGCCCCCCACTGTCCAATAAAAACGTGCAATACCCAACACTATTTATATATATTTAGAGTAACGTAACTTTTATTTACATTCCCTTATATACTTGTATATAGCAATATATCTATACATATAATGTCCATTTCCTTTTTTGTCTGTTATTTATATGAAATTCCTAACATAAGCTCGGGTAGACCTAATCATTCAATCCTGTCAGTTATCGCTATGAGCGTATATAAACAGCAGTCATTGTACTGTTCCAGCAACAATTCTTCCAGAATTCCTCTATTTCCTTTATTTCTCCATCACATACAGTACGTGAAAAAAATTAGGTCGGGTTCTAACTCAGAGCTTGAGCCGAGCATTGGGTTCGAGCCTCCTTTGAGGACAGCAAGCCAAGTTCGTTTATCATTATCTTGCAGGACTGAATGGGCAGGAAATTATTCATTCATTCATTTATTCATTATCTTATTACATTTGTCTTAATTGTTGTCATTCTAAGGCTATGGCCACACGAAGCCAGAGCTTTCCCTATCCGATCTTTTTTTCCCCCTCGTCTCAAGAAATATCTGCGTCTACGCGAAACCGACACAAAACGATGTAGTATACATGCCAGACCAGTATGTGGCACTGTAATTCTGCCACAGAGATACACTAAAAACAGACAAGAAGACTTGGACTATGTGTATAAACCTTGTGCGCGGTATACAAACGAACATTGAACAATACATTTATTAATCTGTGTCAATGTTAGTTAATAAAAAGACAATCGTTCAGTGTTTGTTTTTGTTGCTGTTGCTGTTACGTGACGTAGCGGTGTCTGACTAGGGGCGAGACGTGGGCTGATGACGTCATCGTTTCAGAAAATATATGGATTCGCTGTCCACACGAAAACGCAAGGGTGCCGTTTTCAGATTTATCCACTCTGGGACCCGGTTTCAAAAAATATTGGTTTCACTCTCCAAAAATTCCGGATCCATGTGGACGCAACACCTATACGATACAAAATGTATGTGTATACAGCTAAAAGTCAAAGTCTATAGTCTAATTCTGTGCACTGGAAGCTGAAGACAGATTCCTCGTGTGTGTAAGCATAGATGGTAATAAGTCTAATTCTGATTCTAAATCTTTAAAATGAATATGAAAAAGCAAAGTGCAGACATAAAAACTATTCAAAATATTGAACGTGTTTCATGAAAACTATAATAGCATCTCATTTATTCTAAAATAACACTGGCCTGGATGGCAGTGGTGGAGTGATGCTGTACAGTTATAGTAAAGTACACCAGATTGTGATAACCTGCTGCATCCTTCAACCTGACACTGTTCACATTGCATTCAGCAGTTTCCTGATGTGCATCATTCTTTGGTGAATCGTCATGTACTTTCCCCCTAAATGTGTAAACCAGTGCGGTATGACGGTAGCGTGTCTCAGATGAAGAATGCTGCTTGTGCATTAGCACTTAACTGGCAAAGCAAATGTCTGGCCAGCGTGTGCCTCCCGGCTGATTAATGACATGTTGTGCTGTGCTGGGAGAGAGAAATGCCCCACACTCACACCGCCGCTGCCGCCAGCCCACGGAGGCAAACAGCCGCACTCCACTAATGAGTCCATTAGAGCGCCGCCATTTAATTCCAATGTCACTGTGAAGACAGCGTCCACTCGGCCACTGCTGCTCATTACACATATTAGTCTGGACGCCGTCCAACAGCCACCCAAATGTACAAATTGGCCATATGGGCGTGGTTTGATTAAAAAAACACACTCGTGATCAATATGTCAAGAAAACAAGGAGGGCGATGGTCTGAATTCAGATGTTTGCGATACGGACGTCTCTCATCTAAATAAACGTGCTGCATCATTGAACGCACAGGAATGAGGCTCCTGCGCAGAATCACAATGACTTATCGACAGGGATGAAACGGCAGCAGAATGTGAACATCTTTACTTGAAATCCTCCGGCTGATCCGCCGCACGCTGTGCTGATCAGAAGCGCGCTATTTAATAGTCTAATTCGATAGATTCCCATCTCCGTACGGCCTTCCCACAATCTTCATCTGTCGTCTCATCTCCTGTTGCAGTCCAATTATGAATTCAGACTCGGGCTGGGAGACGGCGGGTCAATGGAAAGTTCCCCTCCAGTGAAGGTTAATTATATTGCAGCACATGGGGTCCCGGCCAGCAGAAATGCAGAAATCCACTCACTGTAGAGAGGCAATCAATCGCTAATACTAGAGCAGAAAATCCTCAGTCCTGGGAATCAAGTGGCTTACAGTGACCCGAGGCCCCCTCCCGCTAGAAATGTACCCTTTTAGATACACAATGAGTAGAGACCTGGAGAGCAAGGTGAATTCGCTCAGGGACGACTATTACTTGAAAAGCGGCTGCCAGGATAGTGTTTAACTTTAATGGCTTTTCTGGAAGGAATATGCCGCATTCAGCCAGCTGTTATCAGGCTTTACGGGCAGATTCAGCAGGAAGACCAGTTACAACAGACATGCTGTATGAGGGAACAAATCCGTTGAAATAATGAAATTATGACTCACTGTGAAGTACAGTCACATCAGCTGTGCATCTATCCTATACAAATTATAGGATAGACTTCATAATTGGAGTGAATTAAAATGAATGTCAGAATGTCATTGTTTTCAGTGAGAATCAAATCACCTCCTAAAGAAACCACAAAACATGAAGGCATCTTCGTATTTTACACATTGGATGTGCCTGAGAAATCGTCTGCACTTTTCAGTTTCAGACACAGCCAACGACAGAGATCTCACCTGGGATAGTAAAAACTGCAGATGGCTCTGAAGCTTTTAGCTGCTGTTTCGTCTCAGAGACACATTAAGTCTGTCTGTGCTCTGGAGAAAGAAAGCCTAAATTTGTGTTGACAAGCTAAAAGTTAAAGCGGCACTTTGTTTTGTGGAGGCTTTCAGCTCATCCTTGGTACTTTCAAGTCATTTCCAGCCAATTGCAATATTGATATCATTTAGAGGTTTATGTTCTTTCATTTAAATCTTTCTGTGAATCAATAGCGCTGTTATAGTGATTTTAACACTGTGACAGTTCATTCAGCACAATGATATATTCTGCAGATAACAGCATTAAGGAGGTAATCGTTTGTGCTCCTGCATTATCAGTCATTGTTATTTTCATGGCGCAGTTGTTTTTGTAACCAGTTTCTGTTTTATGCATTAGATTTTTAACAAAATGCAAAACATTGTAATTTAGAGCTTAAGACAGTACTAAAGACATGCAAGACATGATACTTTACATGTATAGAAAAAGGATTTTTACATCCCATTTACAAAAGCCGTACTGACAAGTAACAGCATACAGCACGATAATGCTTCAGGGAATTGCTTGTTGTTTAAATTGCGACTTCTGGTTGGCTGTTTTCTAAACTAGAATATCCACTTGGTGGCTAAATGGCTGGGAATGCTGGAGAAGAAGCTGGAGCAGCATGCAGAGGGAAGCCACCTGAACTTCAGGGTGTTCGTCAGTGCGGAGCCGTCCTCCTCGCCCGATGGCCACATTATCCCACAGGGCATCCTGGAGAACTCCATCAAGATCACCAATGAGCCGCCCATGGGCATGCATGCCAACCTGCACAAAGCCCTGGACAACTTCAACCAGGTAGAGCGACCTGTACACGTTCACACCGCTCCAATAACACACGATGCAGCTACTACACGGTCCTATAGGCAGCTATTATATTATGGTAAATTCATTCATAAATATTATTGTTTTTGGTGACAATGACATTTTACAACCTGAACTAATATTGCCCTGTCATAAAACCAATGATCTAATATTTTAAGACATGTATTGACCTTGACACAGTCTTGAGGCTCTGCAGGGGTTTGATTGATTGATTGATTGATTGATTTTATGTTTCTTCAGTTTTTTTCTCAAATATAAATAAGCATTGATATTAGGACAGTTGTATCACTCTGGCATTTCTGTCTTCATGCCATGTGAAATATACCAAAATGTCCATTATAGAAAATGTGTGTTCAAGTCACTGTATATGAATTGCATTTCTATTGCATTTTTGAATAATGCAGGGGTAAAAGTGTCATTTTATTAACCCATGTCATGTTTTCTGTAAAGTCGCATAAATCCAAATTGTGCTGCTTTGTTTATCTTGGATCTAGTTAATACAATAGTGGCCATCTGCGGGGCCTGTTTTGCTTGTTATGAGAGAGTCTCTGTTTGCGGTGCTTCTGCTAATTAAAATTCTGCATGTGTTATCGACGAACCCAATCCGTGGCGTGACTTTCCAGCTCACTCTAGGCTGATTTAGTGTGCCGATGACTATCTGCCAGATCAGTGCTGCAGCAACACTCGTACTGTAGCTTTCTAGGAGGTTTCCTCCGCCAAACGAGTCGTATTCTAGTCATGTACGCACCTCGAAAGTAAATCAATGGCAGAGAAAAAGGCCTAAACAGCTCTCAAACTCTAGTAAGCAGCAATAATCCAGAAAATGACAGCTACTTTCATATTGACCTTTTTAGCTGTCCTGGCAAAGAGCAGAGTCAATTGCTTCCTGTTGGCATTGTCAAATTCAGGGCTAATGGAAATTATTTTTAACTCTTCATGATTGGTTTGATTGTGACGAGCCATTAAACGTAGCTATGGAGATTCTGTAGACAGATCGCTGGTGTCGCGTGCAGAATGTTAATGGATCAGAGCTTCAACTCCTCCTGTTCTATTATTAAAGCTCCTTTAAAAAGTCCTTCAAGGTCAGCCGCACCAGCACAGCGACATATAAGAGCTTACACCACTGGAGATATATTCATAAGCAGAGGATATTTGTTAAACGGCATTATTGGGTTTCTTGTGCAAACAAACGAATCCCATGAGGTGGAGATGCCATTTGGACGTCAACCCCCCACACACACACACACTGATTGAAGTTGTTTCAAATAATGAGCCCGGCGATGAAAGCTCTGACAAGCAGTGACAATTAAAAAGGAATCTCAGCTCCTAAATATATTGGAATGGAGTCATTCTTTTGTCTGTCCTAATGCCTGGTGTCCACTGGGAACGCTGACAATGAAAGAACAACGCAAAGGTTTTTACTTTCTACGCTTTCTCTTTGTTCTCCGGTCGGAGCTTGTTGGCAGAATGTGAAGCCTGATACCGATGTGTCCTAATTGACAGGATACTCTGGAGATGTGTGCCCGCGAGAACGAGTTCAAAAGCATCCTCTTCGCCCTGTGTTACTTCCACGCGGTGGTGGCGGAGCGGAGGAAGTTCGGCCCTCAGGGCTGGAACCGGAGTTACCCATTCAACACCGGAGACCTGACCATCTCCGTCAACGTGCTCTACAACTATCTGGAGGCCAACACCAAGGTGAGAGAAGCAGAGTTTATTTATGTGAGTGCACTTATTGAACTAGGGAGAGTGAAATGCCTGCTGACATCCGCTGTGTTAAAAGAGACTGATGTGGGTCTGGAGCATGTGTAATTACTCACCCACACCTACACAACAACCTGCTCCCAATTTAATATTCATGCCCTTCATTGCACCCAGCAATTAAGCACCACTGCTTGCTTTTATGGCAAAAACCCAGTGCTAAAGAGCTATGGACTCGATCACCATTTCCTGAAGGAAATAGCAGTGCGAGGCAGCAGAGCAGTGTTAGATACGTTTGGTTCAGTGTAATGATGCGTTAAAGCCATTGTCATGATTCTCAGCAAGCGTCATGTTTCACTCGAGTGCTGCTTATGACTACAGCTATAAATGCTTTAAATATATGCTAGGACAACACCAATCACAAAACATCAATTACAGGCATACTTCAGTATGCAAATGTAGCTGTTGGTTACATTTTGATTACTGAATAAGTCATTGGGAGGTTTTCAAACCTTTAAAGAAATAGTTCACCCAAAAATTCTAAATGAGTAAGCATATCCAGCCTTATGTTTTACATAGACTGAAAGTCAATAGTAATTCATACTGCCAAGATCCAAAATGGACAAATAAAAATGCACTATATTCCAACAGCAGGGGATCATCAGTGAACTATGACTTACATTTCCATCTGGGTTCAGAAGGCTTGGAATATAGTGTGCAGTCATATAGACTGATTGTATGGTCTTTTTTAGGAGTATAAACAGTGTTGGGGAACATTCCTTTTAAAAATAATGCATTACAATATTGCATTACTCCATCGAATAGTTACTTTGTTACTTTTTATGGAAAGTAATGCATTGCGTTATTTCTGCGTTACTTTTTGTCATCTGGGCTGGGTTTGCTTATTTGTTTTTTAATAACAAAAAAACCCCTAAAAACTATATTTTTGGCTAGATGATGGAGGGAGAGCTGTATCTGGCACCCGGCTTCCGTCTGCCGGGAAACACTGATTACAACGGCTATCATCAGGTAAAGAGTTTCACCAACCCTGGCCAGTCTTGTATATCCAGATCTGTGGGACATAAAGCTGTGGGCGTGAGTGTGTCATATCAGTAATGATCGCAGTGATATGGTCAGATGGTTAGAATCTGATGGAAGTGCAGTAATGGGTCACTACATCTGGGGTCAGACTGGGACCTGTGAACAGCTTGGGTTTCTATGGAAATTTAAGACAAAACTAAATGATTTAACTTTTTTTTTTTCTGGGCTGTCAAAGTTATATATAAAAATTTATAAAAGATGTCAAGTTAAGTATTCATCACATAATATTTTCATAATTTATTTTGACTTTAGAACAGGGACATTATAAAATGGTTTTATTTTGGAAACAACATGTTGTCTTGATGTTTTTCTTCTGCCTTTATACTGAATTTATGAAGGGGATCATTATATGATGTAAAACCCTGACACTAGATGGACTAGGCAAGTGTATATGCGACACTGGACCACAAAACCAGTCATAAGGGTCAATTTTTTTAAATTGAGATTTATGCATCATCTGAATAAATACACTTTCCATTGATGTATGGTTTGTTAGGATCGGACAATATTTGGCCGAGATACAACTATTTGAAAATCTGGAATCTCAGGGTGCAAAAAAATCTAAATATTGAGAAAATCACTTTTAAAGTTGTCCAAATTAAGTCCTTAGCAATGCATATTACTAATCAAAATTTACGTTTTGATATATTTACAGTAGGAAATTTACAAAATATCTTCACGGAACATGATCTTTACTTAATATCCTAATGATTTTTGGCATAAAAGAAAAATCGATCATTTTGACCCATACAATGTATTGTTGGCTATTACTACAAATATACCCGTGCGACTTATGACTGGTTTTGTGCTCCAGGGTCACATATGTTATGCTGTTACTGTTATACTTATAGATATGTATAGGCAGATGCCCTATTAGCGGCTGTTTCTATGGGCATCCGCCATATCGGAATGGTCAAACCCGGTCCGTGCACACTCAAGAGCAAATTGCCTGTATACATATATCTGCAATAGACTTATATAGGCCTAGCAGATTATTTTGCTAAACTAACACAATACAAAAAGATGAAGCCGTTAGCTAACACGACATTTAAAAGGTACAATAGTTTTATAAACCTGTAATATTAAGTTAATACGTATTAAAAACGCAAACCAACACATTGTTACCTGTGAAACTTTATTCTATTTCTTTGGGAATTTAAGTTTTAGTGGTTCTTACAATGAGAGGCTGCGCAATGTTGTGACATCTTGAAATTCATTTATGTTTTGTGAGTGACGGCACATTAACCGTTCCAAGATGGCAGACGCGTCAATGTTTCTGGAGCGGTCGAATGTGTCATCTATCTATACATATCTATGGTTATACTGTGATATACTGATAATATACTGTAGGTGCCTGGGTTCAAAACCTGCCATATTTTAACTTGCTTATGTAGCCAGCGATCCTCAGCTTTCATAATTTGACAATAACCCCTTTTGTTTTCCAAAAAGCCATACGAGTTTGGAGCGACAGGATGGTGAGTAAATGTACATTAGAATCATCTGTGTAATTGAAGATTGTCTGTGGAAAGAGAGTGATGCCACACCGTTCAAAGTTGCATCCCAAATGCCTGTTAAGATAACTGAGTTTGAATGACACTTCTGAGCGTTTAATGACATTTTGTGTGATTGACACGTTGCTCTCTCACATCTCCTGCATGTGTCAGCAGCCCGGATTAGAACACTGCTAATAAACAAAGCCTCTTTTCTGTCATCCTGTCAAGTATCTGGGATGCTGGGTCATGCATGGCCAATATTTTGGCGCTAACAGTAAAACAATACATTAGGGTTCATCATTAGGATTGAAGGCTCGTGTTGGTTTGTGTTTGTGTGAATGTCTGCTGTGGTCTCTCATCTGCACTGCTTTTAAATCGTCACACAGACACATCATAGACGAGAGGCCCAGTGGACTCGATGAATGTGTCTTCATGTTTGATGTGTAGTCCAGTCTAATGATGATCGCAGCACCACTTCATTACAGCTGCACACCTCATCCCCTCTCTCTGGATCTGTTTCAGTACATAGATGGTGCTCTTCCACCCGAGTCCCCGTACCTATATGGCCTGCACCCGAACGCAGAGATCGGCTTCCTCACGCAGACGTCAGAGAAGCTCTTCCGCACCGTGCTGGAAATGCAGCCCAGAGACGGAGGATCGGGAGAAGGAACATCCGGATCACGCGACGAGAAGGTTCTGGAGAAACGCTCACATTCGATTGAAAAACACTTTCACCCAATTATTTAGCTACAATTTGTAATAGTATGAAAAGGGGAAGGGAAACATTAATATTTCAAAGTATTGCAGTATTTTACCTCTTGATACTGTATCGATGTTCTCACAGCAAAAAAAAATTAATACTTCTTGTTAAATATTCCACATGAATGTTTTGAGGGAAAAGGAGATGAACACACACTGAATTTCTATTTGATCCAAATCCAAACTCAGAACAAGCTAAAAATATACTTGTACAGGGGCGTCTAGTTTCCACTGGGGAAACTGAAACTAGCAAGTACAACCCCACAATATTTATACCACGGTTAATGGAAACGTGTAGAATTATACATTAATTATATTCATTGTGTTTAGAGATTTTATGATAAGCGCTATATTCCCATCTGAAACATGCAACTAGGACCAATCATCTGCACAAAATGACTGAAGACCAGTTTAATTTTGCATGGGTAGCGTGCAAATCTTTGTACAGGCTGTTCAGCGTGTTTCAAACGGGTAAAAAATGTGCAATATGCAACCCATTTGAATTCTAGGAATAATTTACTACTTACAAAAGGAGAATGGATAAGAACAAACATCTAAATTAACCACACAACCTAAAAAGACAGACGAGAAGAAGAAAGACCTTTTAAACTACTGATGACCACACTAGAATTTACCACGGTATAGTGTACAGTAGTAACTAGTTACTGTGGTAAATTTTGACTTAGCATGATGATGCATGTTTTCTTCAGATGTTGTAGCTATATTTTCTAAATGTATAGGCTGCTATTTTTCATAATACTATCGATTTAAAACAGAAATACAGTAAAAGTAAGCATAGTAATGAGTAGCCATCAATGTTCTTAACTGTAATCAAAGTCTTACTGCTGTAAAAGCTACATTTAAAGGGTTAGTTCACCCAAAAATGAAAATGGGCTTGTGTTTTACTCACCCTCGAAGCATCCTAGGTGTATATGACTTTCTTCTTTCAAACGAATCCAGTCGGAGTTATATTAAAAATTGTCCTGGCTCTTCCAAGCGCTATCATTGCAGTCAGCGGGTGTTGCAGTTGAATAGTCCACAAGTCGTCAAATAAAGTGCACGCATTCATAATAAAATGTGCCTCACGTGGCTCCGGGGGGTGAGTAAAGGCCTTCTGTAGTGAATCCATGCGTTTTTATAAGAAAAATATCCATATTTCAAATGTAATAAACACTTTTATATCACTTCCGCCAACTGTCGTATGCGGAAGCCGTGCCGGCGGATGACGTAACACGTCGGCGTTGCGTGATAAGTGACGAACGCAGAGAGACAACAAAATAAAACGCCGGTTATGAATTAGAAGTACAAACCGAAGATTTGCAAAGAAAAATGTCAGAGGATTTCGATTTAAGCCAAGAGGAGACTGGTTTTCCTTTGCTAAAGTAAGGAAACTTTGCTTCTTTTGCTCCTGTAAACAAACTCGTGAGACTAGCATATCTCAGAGGCGCGCTGCGCATGCATGCTGCATCATCCGCCTGAACGCCTTCCGCGTATGACAGATAACAGAAGTGAGAGAAGAGTGTTTATTACGTTTGAAATATGGATTTTTTTCTTACAAAAATGCATGGATTCACTACAGAAGGCCTTTACTCACCCCCGGGGTGAGGCACATTTTATTATGAATGCGCGCGCTTTATTTGACGACTTGTGGACTGTTCAACTGCAACACCCGCTGACTGCAATGATAGAGCTTGGAAGAGCCAGGACAATTTTTAATATAACTCCGACTGGATTCGTCTGAAAGAAGAAAGTCATATACACCTAGGATGCTTTGAGGGTGAGTAAAACAAAGCCAATTTTCATTTTTGGGTGAACTAACCTTTTAAATAATTACAAGAACTATGGGACATTTTCATAAGTAATCCAGCGTCTGGGCCTTCATGAATTATTGACCAAACAATCAATTTTCCCAGTTATGTTATAAACCAGCTTTGCATGTGTGAACGATACTACAAAAGACCATTTTATAAAAAATAAAAAAAAGAGCACATCTCAGAGTCTCCATGTTAAATTGAACCTCATTATACTCTCAGAGTGTGAATGTGCTTTCGGTAAGGGTCGCGGTGATCACATCGTCATGTCAGGAGACAGACTTTGAACGGCCCTCGTGTCTGAAGATCTTAAACTCTGCTCATTTCCCAGCAGCGGCTGCTTTCAGAGGCTTCTGACTTTTAAGAGATTAGATATGGGAGTCGTGGAGGAGTGCTTGAATGCATTATGACAGCTGACCTTTTTTAGTTAAGAGATTGGGATTTGTAAGCAATGAGCGCTTTGCATTAACTCCTCATGTATCTGACATAGACAAATTGATCTGCTGAGAGGACCGCGATTAAAGAGCCCAGACCGAGCTGTCAGGTTTACGTTCACGTGCTGATTGTCATGTTTAATATATTTGTTCATTATTGTTAGTATTTATTCTATTGAATCCTTCTCATCCTAACCGTGTTTCTGTGCTCAGAGAAGAGATCTGTCCCTAAGCAGTAATACCTTCATTAATAACATGATCGGACTTATTAGATGATTGCATTTCCTGCAGGCTAATTGAATACTTGATTCATCCTGCAAACAATCATTTCCTCTGTGTGCAATGTTCTGATTTACCAATAATGTTTCCTCGGTAAATTAGTCAGCCAAGAAAGATAAAAACACTAATGCTAATGAAAAAAATGACTAACATTTACTAATTACCAACCTATAATCTTTCTGTAAAATTTGAATCAATGGATGACGCATTTACAAAGCGGCATACTTTAAGGGAGTGATTTGAGTGTTCAGCGTGATGGATTGATGAGAGCAGTCGCTGACGTGTGTTTGTGTGTCCAGGTGAAAGCGGCGCTTGATGAGATCCTTGAGAAGCTTCCGGAGGAGTTCAACTTGGCGGAGATGATGGGGAAGGTGGAGGAGAGGACGCCGTATATCGTTGTGGCGTTCCAGGAGTGTGAGCGCATGAATTTCCTGACACAAGAGATCAAACGCTCTCTAAAAGAGCTCAGTCTAGGCCTGAAGGTTAGACACACACACACACACACACACACACATGAACATACTACTGTGCATAAATACACGGAGACACACACACGCACATGTAACTGAATGGCTTGCTGTTGTAGAGTTTCCAAGCCCTTTTGTCTGCTGCTATACGGATCTCATCACCACATCAAATGCTGATCAGGTGGCTGAATGATTTTTATGCCATATTATTAAAATCTGATATGCAGTCAGTTATTGCTTTCTTCGCACACCTGCTAGAATGACACATCCGTCTCTTTCCTGGTGCTTAGTAACGGCAGAAATTAAATCGCTAGCGTGCCGGCGAGAGATCGTGTTGCTCTTTTCAGACCTATTTTAACTGCATTAAACCCCTGAATGATGGTAAGCCTTATGAAGAAAAGACAACTATTAACTAACGCAGGATTCTGGCCTTGGCAGATTCAACAGGGAGTCACTGAGATGATTTCCATTACTGTGGATCACCTACTGAAACGACTGAAGCCCTTTATTGTGTTGTTCTGTGACACAACATGGGAAAAAAAATCTAAATTATTCACATATTCCTGCATATGTTTGGAGCCACGTTGCATTGTGAGAAATATATTATGCTATGAAAACAAAGGAATGAAAAGACAGCAATGTGACACTGAGATTTATAGATGAGAGTAAACACATTTTAGATGCATCTTTGTTTTTGCTTCATATATATTCATATTCAGCTGTGACTTTTCCATTAAAAAACAATTATGCTATATGGAGTGTGAAAAAAGTCTCTGTCTTTTAAAGGGCTCATGTCATGAAGAATCACATTTAAATTCTTAAATTCAAAATAAAAAAGCAATTTTAAAATAAACTAAGCAGCAAAATTGACTCTCAAAAGTCTGTTTGTTTGCATTAGCACTGAACATTTTCAAGGATGCCCGTTGATTTATTCTGTCCACTTATGACTGAAACTGTGACTGTTTTAAGCCACAAAAAACACTTGACTAACATCTTTCATCTCAGGACCTCAAAAATGGATTATATATTACCCCATTTAAAGTTTTTTCTTCAGCTGAATCATTGTAAAGACCTGATTTTATGTACTTTAAATGACAAACACTAGAAGATCGTCTCAGCACATGACAATTCATTTCCCAACAGAGCAAGGCTACGTTCATGATTTTTTTTTTTATTACTAATCATTTTATTTGTTATTTAGGATTTCTTTTTTAAACTGAACATTTAAAACAAACACATATACATGTTCTCACTTGAATCAGAAATGATCAAGCCACACTGTTTCTAGGCTGACCCATATGTTTCTCTCTCAGGGCGAGCTCACAATGACCAACGACATGGAGAATCTCCAGAATGCCATCTACCTGGACCAGGTGCCCGAGTCCTGGACCAAACGCGCCTATCCGTCCATATCCGGTCTGGCCATCTGGTTCATGGACCTCCTGAACCGCATCAAGGAGCTGGAGATCTGGACGTCTGACTTCTCCCTGCCCTCGGTGGTATGGCTGGCCGGCTTCTTCAACCCACAGTCCTTCCTGACGGCCATCATGCAGTCCATGGCTCGCCGCAACGAGTGGCCGCTGGACAAGATGAGCCTGCAGTGCGATGTGACCAAGAAGAACCGCGAGGACTTCAGCTCACCGCCACGAGAGGGAGCCTACATCCACGGCCTGTTCATGGAGGGCGCCCGATGGGACACGCAGGTCAGACTCGCTGTTATTGGTTTTGAGAAGAAAGAGTAATATAGTGAAGTCATCAACGTGTCGATTGTAACTGTGTCGATTGTAAATGAGAGCGAGTGTTAAAGCTACATGACAGTCAGTGAAGACGTCTGTACAGCGAAGCAAGCACTCATAATGGAGGATGTGTAGTTTTGTTGCGGGACCGCAGTGACTGGCTGTTTGCAGCATATTCACACTTCACTCCAGTCCATTTCATCTAGCAGCAAATATTTGCAAAAAGAGCAAAAGCCCAGAACAATTTAACACTAATCACACTGGATTTTTCTTCATCTTATCATCACATTACAACCTTTCCCTCTGTCCTTGTGCTTCATAAATAAATTACTGCAAAATTGTTTTGTAGTGTAGATAGTGCGGTAAGATGTGCCAGTATGTTTGCTGTCACCGCAGACCGTGAACAGACCCGTAATATACAGCTGCATGCCATTCAAATATATATACAAAAATAATGCAAAAAATTTTTTAAAAAAGTAAATTTTCTACATGGCACATAAAATTTATTTTATGTACTAAATTTGTTAATTGAATGTTTAAAACCATATAATTAATTTGATGATTAATTATTGTGTCATGCGTCTCAGTGTTTAACTGATTGTGATAGTGAGATTTGACTTCAAATATAGGATATACTAGGAAATGGTTCATATTAGAAATATTATTAGAAAATAAACTTTTTTAGACTACATTCACGCATTCTAAATATAGATTTTCTTGTCCGATTCATGAAAATGTGTACAATGTGGAAAAACAATATTATTATATTAACAATATATTATTTTCCACATACTGTACATTATTGTTTCTCCTCTATGCCCCGCCTTTCTGAAATGCGCCATTTTTACAAAGCTCATCGGTCTGAAAAGCGAGGTGTGCTCTGATTGGCCAGCTATCTAGTGCTTTGTGATTGGCCGAATACCTCAAGCGTGTGACGGAAATGTTACGCCCCTTACCATACTGTGATGCGATGTCCCGGCGCAACGAGACAAAACCAATAAAACCCATTATAAACGAGGCATTTGTTGCATCCAGTGGGGACATAATTACTGATTATAATGACTTATACTGTCTTTTTATGCATTTACGCGGCGCGATGCAATGCAACGCGTAAACATAAAACCATGTCTGCATTTGTGATCGGAGAAACGACAAACAAGAGCTACTCTACACTGCTCAAAACTCACGTTTGAATCGTCAGTGGCAATTCCTTTAAATATGAAAACGTACTTACAGTCTGCGAGTCAGCATTATTTGTCAGCATCATAGACTGTATAGGGTCAGCATGCGCGCCGAAGGGGAAACAGGGGAACTGAATTCACCGGAACACCGGCATTGTAGGCTACTCTCCCAGGAAACAGTCCTAGCCCTCTGTAAAATCTGAATATTTGGGTTGAACTGTTCTGCAACAGTCGTTGTGTCGTAAATACAACTTAACCACTGATTTCTAGTTGTGTCCTCTTTTGAAAGACCAAACAAAGTAGTTTCGCTTTCACAACGAAACACACAACGTCTCCACGACATGGCGGCGGCGGCAACAATACTACAGCGACAATCAAAGTTACGCCTTCTTTCTTTGCGTGAACATTTGGGCGGTGTTATGCAAATCTTCCCACATCGTGACATAGACATGTGGGGGTGTGTTAGACGAGTCTTAACTTTTATAAAGAATTTCTCTTTGGGTTTGAGACTTTAGTCTTTGCAACTCTAGGGATCTTATCTATTCACAAACAGCTTGTAACACTCCAAAGAGAAAGGAAAACTTGAAATCGCATCATATGACCCCTTTAAAATAGGTAGATAGGTAGGTCAATAGATAATTATTTATTTAATGACACAGCTACCCTGTCCATATTTCTGTCAGTATTTCTATGGCTGCGTTTTCGAGAAGTTTGCCAATCAGTCACATTAATTTCATCTCTTTTCTCTTTCTCTGGAGGTCAGGTGAAGTCAGTGAAGTAAGCAGTGACACAGCGAGCTCCTCTATGCACAGATGAATCGTTCATGAATATTTTACTGCATCTGTAAGATTTACTGGCTTAAATTCGCACTGACTACATTGTCATGAAAAATTAAACAGGAGTTTTAAACACTGACCAGCATTTCTGATGAATGAGGCAGCGGTTTCTGCTCATTTAAATCCAAATGAAAACGAACACTGGGCTGATTTTATTCCCCGGTCTTTGAAGAACCCTAGAGGAGCATCGACATGTAAAGCATCACCTGAGATTCTCCAGCTGAGACTATAATGACACCAGCTGGATATTAACCAGCATTGTTTGCTTAATTTGCCAATTGATTTGCTTAAATGAGTTGATTCTGAGAGCTGTCACTTTAACACTCACTCACACAGGTCTGCAGAAACACACACACACATGCTTCAGCACAGACCCACAACAAAGTGTCTGTTTGCACCATTAGCGCTCTAATGAATGGAAATGCATGCGGCTTTCTGGTAATGTCTCTAAAAACCAGTTTTAATTACACACAGGACAATTTTAATCACTGCGCCCCTCGACTGTTTTCCGCCGTACGTCTTCGATGAACTTAAACTTAGATTCAGGATGCCTTTTGCCCTTTGGGAAAAGCTATTCCAGCTTATCTGAGTGTGAAAGCATATATGCAGAGATGGAGGATCTGGCCTCATTTATATGAATGAGATTTAACACCTATTGTGACGACATCAAACAGATAGGCATATACATGATGGCCTATATACATAACATTATTCTTATCGTATAGTTATCCTATGGCTTATTTCTGAAGATATTCTCTTAGCTGATGAATTAGTGTAATCAGCTTAGAGATTTTTAAAGAGACATAAGTAGAAGATCTAACATGCACGAGTTCCTCTAAACGTGTGCTAGATGTGCAAGGACGCACGCCTTCAGTGTTTTACTGACTTTATTTATTCAAAGAGTCGTAAAACTATCAGTATTTAAAAGCACAATAAACTTTTACTGCAGCCACGAGACAATTAGAGTGAAACCATAAACCGCGTCCTCTGTGGAGCACTGCAATGTCAACATTATTTGCATTTGTCCCTTTAATACTTGGAGCAGAAGAGGATACATGAATTCATGAACTATCCGATGAAATGTCCCGCATCTGAACTCCTGCAAGTTTCCCTGTTCAGAGAGACTGTGGTGTTACTGCAAGAGTTTTCAGTTTAGTGAAGGACAATTCAAACTTTCAAGACAATTCTGTAATACTGTCACCACCAACAGAAACTCAATTCAGTTCAATTGGTGTTTTTTTTCTTCTTCTGCAAACATGGATCCTCTTTATAAAAATTTTCATTAATTAATTAATTAACATTATAAAACACATTATAAGCATTCAAATCTGATTTGATGAGCCACATTTAATTTCTTTTACCAAGTTTCTATATAAATTATATTACTAATTCTGATTATTTTTGTCAAGAAATGTATCTATTGCTATTATCAATAAATAAACCGATTAGTGCATTGTATCATCAAACACACCTTTCCTGTGCTGAAATCATATAAAATCATTATCATATAATGGATAGTTCACCCCAAAATGTAATTTCTGTCATTAATTACCCACCCTCATGTCGTTCCAAACCCGTAATACCTTCGTTCATCTTCAGAACACAAATGAAGATATTTTTGATGAAATCCGAGAGCTTTCTGACCCTGCATAGACAGCAATGCAACTACCACGTTCAAGGCCCAGGCCCAACAATTTCTTCACGTGAACTGTTTTAATGATGTCTTTACTACCTTTCTGGGCCTTGAACATGGTAGTTCCATTGCTCTCTATAGAGGGTCAGAAAGCTCTCTGATTTCATCAAAATGTCTTCATTTAACAAAGGTCTTACAGGTATGGACAGAATATTCATTTTTGGGTTAACTATCCCTTTTCAGTTGCCATGAAATTAAATCAACGTTTTAATGGAATATTGCAATGAAATATAAATCATTATAATTTATTAATGCACGTCATTGTGTGTGTGTGTGTATGTATTTTTTTTATTTATGTGCCCTCGTAATGTTTAATCAAACAGTAATTTTCCCTGTGTTCAAAAAGCAGTTTCACTCAGATATACGTCACATTTCATGCTGACATGTAAAAGATCGGTACTTCATATAAATACAAATATGAATATACAGTATATGATAATATGAGCACATAAAAAGCATATGTTATATTGAAATAATATCATGTATGCCATTATATTATGAACCTTATATTATGCAATATGTTTAACTGATTATTTATCACCTAAGGTTTCTTTAATATTAAATGTCTCTTGAAATGAATGATGAAAACTATGATCATGTAATGTTTGTGTTTTAGGCTGGCATAATGGTGGATGCTCGTCTGAAGGAGCTCACGCCCACAATGCCGGTGATTTTCATCAAAGCCATTCCTGTGGACAAACAGGAGACCCGCAGCCTGTACCAGTGTCCCGTCTATAAGACCCGACAGCGTGGACCCACCTACGTCTGGACCTTCAACCTGAAGACCAAAGAGAATCCGTCCAAATGGACCCTCGCTGGAGTCGCTCTGCTGCTTCAGATATAAAGTACCTGCTCGCATTTCACCGATGACTTATTTTCTATTATTAATGCCAAAACGCGTGATTTCATGACACAGCACCTTTTTTTTTAGTTGCATAAAAGTTAGTTAGTTTTAGTTGTCAAATGTTTGCACAAACACTATGTGCCATGCAGTTCAATTAAAAGCACTTTGATGAACCGGTTTCATATTTGTTCAGTGTATTTTTCTTTCACAGATTTGTGTGACTCTGCTCTACTTCTGTTCTCTCAAGTTTAAAACAGGAAGCCTACAAATCACATTCAAACATGTCACCCTGAGAAAGCGTGGCGTCGGGCTGAAGAAAGTGCAACACCTCAGTGAATCCGCCGCCGCGGCAGCGATGAGCCTCCAGGGTCACTTATATCTGTTATTGAGAAAACTTAACAACACGTACAGAGACTGAGTTATGAAACGGGGCCACGGGGAAACAGAATATGTGGAGAAAAGCAATAAATCCATCCAGAATCCAATTACAAAGCACTGGGAAACGGAGCTTCTTGTGACACACAGCTTCTGCCGTGCTCTTTATATTCATTTCTCTCGTGTCCCGGCGTAAGGGATAGGAGACAAACGTGTTAAAGATATAAATATGAAACCGACACGAAATGTAAGGGAACCTTCTTTATTTGTTTGTGTTCACATCGGTTAAATATGATTAATGTGCTGCTTGTTTATTCGTTCCAGCACGGCAGTAAAGAGTGCACTTTGTTCTCTGAATTTTACATTTGCATTTTTTGAAGTGAATATCAGCACTTGTAAGGCATCAAAAGAGACGCGGGGAGTTTAAGGTGAGGTTTCAGGCTTTGGTTCGGCATCAATGAAACGCTGCATCAGAGAAGCTTTACATGTGTCAGGAGTTAGAGAGACGATTATTTCCGTGAACGCTTGCAGAAAATTAAGTATGTGAATGCTTGGATATACTTGGATTTCTGAACAAATTGGTCATAAAATTTGATCTGATAAATCGCAACAACCAAACGTTTTCATGTATTGTTTGAGCGCACCATGAGAAACAGAATGTGAATCCTGAGGCGAATGACTTGAACAGTCCAATCAAAGAGATGCTGTTCACAAATGTTAATGTGAATCATGCCTCAAACAAAAGACATTTACATTTACATTTGGACGTTTCAAATATGCTTTCATTGAAAGAGCTTGCGGTGCGCATTTTAATAGTTTTTTTCCCCCTTCAAAACCAAAGATCATTTAAGCTTAATGTTGACTTGCATAAAGATTCAGAAGGACCTCTACAATCCTTGATATTCACATTAAAACCAACCCAATCTCATGAGACGCAAAGATTTGGACAACATGGAGGAAAATGTACAATAACCTGTCTAGCAGCTGAAGCTCCTTGGACGCTGGGTGACGCAACGGGGAAAAACCCAAACGCAGGGGTAAATCAACAGCGCCTCAATCCTGACCTGTACACCAAACATATGAGAATGTTTCTGAGTTTAAAACCGGTTTCTAAAAAGAAATGCTGCTAAATCCCTTCTGAGCGTGTGCGGGTCTGATCCAGCATTTCATCAGAAGTTTGGTGGAGGTTATTGCTGCCAAAAGGAGGATCAGGCTGTTATTAAATTAAAGTTATTAAGGATTCACATTTTTTTTCCACCCTGAGCTGTGACGGTTTCCTCAGTGTGTTCAGCACAGACCTGAAAACAGCATTGTGTGTGTTCGTGGTTGTGACTGAGCTGAAGATCGGATCATTAGGGCTAGGAATGTTTTCTGGTTTATTTCGAAGCCATTAAAGAAGAAAATCTGGTTTTCTCCTCGGATTGCTTTTGTATTGATTGTGGATATCAGCTGAGGAGATCAGACCGAAGGCTGCAGTGCTTCAGACATGCAGGGGTTTTTGTGTCACAGACATTGGCAGCTGTCCATGATTAAATGAAGGCTAAATTGGTGAAAGCAATTAATCAAGTTGGTCACGATACAGCTGATTATACAGTGTCGGGACTGCTGCCAAATCAATGTTAAAGAGTTCACTAAGGAATGGCAGTTTCTGTTATCTTAAACTCTTTCTTTATTATCTTAAGAAACTTTTGTTTCTTGCATTTTTCTCACAAGCAATCGAATTATGACATTTGCTTTATGCCACTGAATACTTAGAAGGCCTTTCAAGATCCATTATAATAATAATAATACTAAAATAAAAATCCACAAAGGTATCATAAAAGTCTAAAGTCATATTATAGCTTTGTGTTTCAATGATTGAAAATGCATTCATTCTTTTGAGACCATATTTAAATTTGCACACAAACAAATGAGATTTGAGGCCTGTGGCAATGGACAGGACATTCAGTGTGATTACTATCGTATGGCTTCAGTAAGATTTGGAAAATACATTTGTCGTATGGACTATATTTAATGCGATAGTTCACACAAAAATGAAAACTACCCCTTGATTTACTCACCCTCAAGCCATCCTAGGTGTATATGACTTTCTTCATTTAGACAAATATAATCAGAGTTATATTAATAAATGTCCCGGCTCTTCCAAGCTTTATAACGGCAGTAAATGGTGATCAAGATTTTGAAGCAAAATAAGGTGCATGCATCCATCATAAAAAGTGCTCCACACAGCTATGCATTTGTGTAAGAAAAATATCCATGTTTAAAACTTTATAATCTGTAATCTCTAGCTGACTGTCGTCTGCGCGTTCATGAGAGAGTGTCGTTCCATCAGATGACGTAGGATGTAGGCGTAGCGTAAAATCCAGTAAGAAGTGACGAACACGGAAGTGCAGAGGAGAGAGCAAAACAAAACACCGGTCACAAATTAGAAGTACAAAATGAGGATTTGTATAAAAAAAAAAAATGATGTTGGAGGATTTCGATATAAGCCAGGCGGAGACTGGTTTTCGTTTGCTGTAAACAAAACTTGGTTCTCACAAGACTATTATTCTCACCGGAGCTTATGCTACGCCGACATCCTATACGTCATCCGCTGGAACGCCACTCTCTCGTGAATCTAAGTACGACAGTTAGCGGAAGCTAGAGATTATGGCTATTTAATCAAGTTTTAAATATGGATATTGTTCTTACACAAATGCATCGATTTGCTTCAGGAAACCTTTATTAACACCCTGGAGCACTTTTTATGATGGATGGATGCACTTTTTTGGGCTTTAAAATCTCGACCTCCATTCACTGCCATTCTAAAGCTTGGAAGAGCCAGGACATTTTTTCGTGTGAGTGTAGAGAGTCATATACACCCAGGATGGTCTGAGTGTGAGTAAATCATGGGGTTATTTGAACTATCCCTTTAAGGTTGTTTCTGGCTCTTTTAGATGCAGTGTCTTAACAACTAGTCTGACCAACTAGCAGTTACTAAGAGGTAATGAGTTTTTAATTTATTTAAATTAGACCAATCTACATTTTTACACCACCGGCTTAAAAAAATAGATGACTAACTTGTAAGACTAGTGTAAGCTTTGCAACCAGCCCCTGATCACTTTTATTTTATAGCCTGAACATTCAGCCTGTTCCATAAAGAAAGTCATACAGGTTTAGAACGACATGAGGGTGATGAAAGTGGTCATTTGTGATGACCTATACACTTAAAAATCTAATATTTTATTTCTAGACTACAGTAGCATGTAATGTGGATTTCTTTTCAAGAAGGAAGTTTCCATCAAAGATCATCCTGTCCAGTGGCGTCGGTGACTCAGAATCATGTAGCCTACACTCTTAAAAATAAAGGTGCTTCACGATGCCATAGAAGAACCTTTTTGTCTAAATGGTTCCATAAAGAACTTATAACATCTGAAGAACCTTTCTGTTTGACAAAAGGTTCTTTGTGGCGAAAGAAGGTTCTTCAGATTACAAAAAGTTATAAAAGAGATGGTTATTTAAAGAAACTTTGACAGAATGGTTCGTTGTGGAACCAAAAATGGTTCTTCTATGGCATCGCTTGAAGTCCGCTTGTGAACATCTGCACCCAGCAAGCAATAGCCGTCATTTCACCGTCTCGGTTAACTATAGACCCGATATAGTCCGGCTATGTGTAACCCACTTCTAGCCAAAATATCCTTGAATTTGGTTGTATGTCGTTTTTGCCAAAACAACTTGCGAAATGTATGATATTCCATCATGTAAGCAAAGTCAACAGTGATTACAAGGTGTTTGGTTTCATTTCTTTGACATGTTCAATGCGTAGCCTCGATTTAGCTCATAGTCAGACCGGCTATTTGTAGCCCACTGATTTTTGGCGACTAGTTTTTGGTCAGGCAGCGCATGAGATGGTTGATATCCCATCATGTTCGCAATGTCAATAATATCTACAACACTAAAGTCTAATTTCATGACATAGTCTATCTGTAGCCACCGTTTAGCTCTGAATTGGACGGGCTACGTGTAGTCTGCTTTTAGCCCATGCACCCGGCGAAATCGAGGCAAGCAGTGGTCTAATTTTAACGGCTTGGCTATAGCCCTATATTAGACCAGCGATGAGTATAGCCAAAATAGTCTTAAAATTGTTTGTGGGATAATATTACCAAATGCAAGTAAACTTTTCAAATATTTAAATAATTTTTGCTTTCACAAATAACATTCATTATATTATTTGACTGACTGTGTTTCAATTTAAGTTAGGCTAAATTTTAAAAAAATGCAATGATAATTCTCAACCGCTAGATGGTAATTGTTGCCCTACTGAGACATGACTACCGGCAACGTGAGACTTGAAAGTCAGCAAAATTACTGTTGCAAGATTCCGCGATAAACATTTCCGCCGATTTGAATGTGTTTTTTTAACACGAGAGAGAGCATTATGTTTACCTGTCCGAGAGCAACAAGCAAACTACAAACGTTAAAGGACATTCTTTTATGGTTTGGTATTGTAAGTATCCGTGTTTTCGTTTTGACGTGTTCATTGTTTATCTATATTATTTGTTATCATGCGTAGGAACTGTGACATTTAAGCGTTGGTGTTGAGCGGATTGTAGTTGATCCGTGATCTGTACGGACGAAGCCCCACGTTTCGGCATGCGTGTGTTTATGTGTGATTAATTGCAAAATGTAATCATAATAGAGTGAACGTTTATCATTTGTACGTGTTTACACACTCAAGCGATTTTAAACCATTCCAGCACAAGAAGAGGTGAAAGAGCAAACAACTAAACACAGCTTTGACAAAGATGAATCTAGATTTAATTTATACAGCAAACACACTCAGA